AGTGTACTTCTTCTTCAATACTTGATGGTAATCTCATTGGAGTGATGAAGACGTAACAACTCCCATTCTTTTTCAGTGCGTAACTTGTTGGGCGTGGTTCTAGTGACACCCAGATGGCTAATAGCAGTCAGTAATGTAAGTAACAGAATCAAGGTCATGAGCCACCTCAGATTGCTTCAATTCAAAATGTAAATAGTTAAGTCACAACTGCAGAAAACACGCCTCGATCAGTCTCTGCTTCGACTTGTTGAAGGATGGTAACGAACCCATTGATGTCATCTTTAGAAACCTTTTGTTGAATGGCAGTATATGAAATTATTGTTATATCCTGAATTGTATGTATTCTAGTTACTCGCTATATCTAAACCTATAGACAAGAAGGTCAACTTCTATTCTATTTATACTCTACAATATAGGGTTCTTGGATCTCCGTGTATTCTCTACATTACACGGATCCCGAATCTCCGTGCATCTGCATGGCATATATGAACTGCATAATTGTAATTCCTTGAATGTTAACACGTGTCAATAATGTCAACACGAACTAACATCCAAATTGTGTGCTGATACTTGAGCAACGGATTTCAGGTATATGGCCCATTTACATTGATACCCGTTGTGTTTCTGGTGAGATCAGTGTCACCATTGAATCCAGCCCAGTTGGTCACATATACAGCTCCATTCAATACTCCAGTCTCAAATATAACCTTCCCACCTTTATCCATTCTGCTTGGAAAAAGTCCTGACTGATTCCAAAATGTACTCTAGCAGATTTGGTGTCTAATTAATGGTCTCCATAACTCGGTCTCCCCACTTGGCATCTGGTGCTGACACGAATTACCCACACCGCTGAATTCCCCAACTGATCCATTGGCCATTGCTTGCTCTCATCCTCGTTATCTGGTGTATTGCGTTCATTTCTACGCTGTCTCTAATACCACCTCTTGATGCAGCACTGCACTAGCTGTTTTCTTGTAACTACATGTGTGCAACTGACAGAAGTGTGTGGAATTTTGTTATGCATGAAAATAAGCTATTTGTATTTACAATGTCGCACAGTACCGCACGACAGTTCGGATGGATGAAAATTGCCATAGCAAGACAATGAGACAAAATAGTAATGATTGAAGCGTTTACCAGATAGACTCAGCTGAGTGTGATAGAGAGATGTATCACTAGTCTGGTGTCTCTATTCAGTTTGTAGTTGTTGCACTTCCCTTCACCTGGCTTTAATGTATTATGCAACACAACTGACTGTGTCTGTAATTTTTCGCCTTAAGAAAAAATACTGGCTATTGGTAGACACTCTTTTTTTGCAGCAACGCCCTCGTCTTACAGCATATACACGATGCTACAGTCTTGCGTTGCTACGTCCTACATCCCTACATTCCTATAGCTCTACAGTCCTTCCTTCCTCCTGGGGTCACGTAGAGGGTGTTCACTGAGTACAGAAGACACACTCAGCTGCTCCTAGAGACTCATTGCAGGAGAGCATACCAAAAGAGGCTGTCGTATCTTCTGTTGAATTAGAAACAACACAAAAGCAGCCCCCTCTTGCAGGGTACTGCTCCTCGGAGGTGTAATGATACTACCCATTCAGACCCCATCCCCCCTACAAAAGTCCATAATTTTTTGGACGCCGCCTGGAGAGCCGGGACATATCAAAATTTTTCTCTACCTCTGACCCCGAAATTGGCACATACAAGCTGTATAGACCTAGAATAAGCTGTAAATAAGACAGGCTGGGCTGGAAATAGTTTTAGTTTGTCTGAATGTTGGTGTTGTTGTTTGTACTGGTTAGAACCACCGTGAAGAATGCAGTTTTCGCATCATAACTAACGTTTTTGCTATTATCTTTACATTTTGTCATAGGGGTATTCTAACACTATTGAAGATGCCAGTGCTTGCATTTGCTATGTAAATACAAGTCTTTAACATGCATTGACCCTTGGTTAACTAAGCTGAATGACAACAGCTTGCGTTCAGATGGTGCTTAGGATTTTTGTAACTTTTCCTTGCTTAATCCCTGAATCAACTACCAAATTGGAGGCTGCAGTTATAGTTTGAGGTTGCTCATTGAGGTGTACTCCGTTATATCTTAAGAGTTGTAGACAACCCTGTTTGTCACAACTTTTCAAACTGTTTTGGTGACAGAGCGGTTTCCAGAAGAATCTCATTCAGAAGCTTGCGTTACACTAAAATCTTTTCAAACTGACTTGACATCAGGCCTAAACATGAACTCCCGGCTGGATTGTCTGCAGGTTTAGGTACATCGGCTCGTTTTAATTAATAATATCTATCGTGACTTTTAAAAATACACTACTTTCTCAGAGTTGAACGTGAGCGAAACCTTGCCACATTATAGCAGTTGCACAAGTAATCCATAAATTGAACACATATTACAAATCAATATACAGCTCTACAGTACCAATATAGAGGGACAGCTATTCAGCTCATGCGACGTAATTGTAGATACATTAAAACCTATTAAAGCATTACGAATTGCCTTTTACAATAGGCGTACTAAACTATGTAAAGCATGTCCATGAATTCCTGATATCCATCAGCCGTAGATTAAGCAAATGAATGCATTTCTTGGTTCCTCTATTCAACGTCATCAAATTTTTGATCAACCAATTCTGGAATGTCATCATTAGCTTCTTCGTTAGCTGCAGCTGCTCCAGCATTGGCATCATTTGGAGTCTTTCCAGCTTGGATTTGTTCAGCCAATTGTCTTAAAATCTCCAAGTTCTCAGCTCCCAATTGGGGTAAGATTTGGGGAATTAATTGAGTAATGTTCTTTTCCTGTGGGTACCCAGTAAAGGCAAATGTGTTAGAGGCTGGGGCACCTTGAACTCCAACTCTGTTGAAATGCAAAACCTTACCATCGTCCTTGAAGAAGTTTGCTTCTTGTACACCTTCAATTTTGGTTGCCTTTAATTTACCCAAAGTCTCAATCAACTTGGTGTCATCTTGTTCAGTTTTGACTCCCTTCTTTGCCTTGACTCTTGAACCACCAACCTTCTTGGCAGTCGATTTTTGCAATTTAGCTAACTTTTCTGGATCTACTGGCATTTCAAACTCTTAGTTTAGGTGATCTATTTGATTCAACAATTGCGTATGCGATCTAGTTGACTTAATTTTGATTGTTGGAAAATTTTCAATTTTTGAAAAACGGAAGTGAAAAAAATAAAAAAAAAAAATTTAAAGAAAAAGATTTTGTCAAAAGGAATTGATTACCCTCGCACGACATTATGTTTGAAACTGACTGCGCTTCAGTTATGGTGAAGTTAGGAGAGGGCGATACCCACTGTGAATAATTACCTGTTATTGTGGGGAAGATGAGGACCAATGTTAGTTTTCTTTGTCTCTCACTAAGAGAGATGGCTACTGCGTTGTAAAATAACGCATACGTGAGGTCTTTCGATTCAGCAGACTTTGAAGCACATCTTGCTATGTGGCACGAGCATACCCACGTACTTTCATAGGCTTAACTTTATAATACACCTAAGAGCAAATATTAAGGAAGATTGGGCGATCTGCGTATAGGTCCCTCTAACAGAAAAGGCCACCAGTTGCGACGAATATTTGGCACGACTAGTACAATTGATTTACTGACGTAGTTCAGCGGTAAATTTTGATTCTGTTCCTAGAAGAAAACAATTAGCTAGTCTATACAGATGGATCTGATTTGAAGATGGCTGACTCTGTTGGCAAGGAAAGAAAGGGTTATATAACTAGCGTTGTCATGGTTGTTGTTACCACCACTTTTTGCTCCTCTCCACTTTATGGATTCTCCTGCATATTGACCAACATTATTCTGTCGAAGTTTGTAGAAACTCGGGGCGACAAAAAAGTTGTTTTAATTGGGAAAGAACTTTGTTCAGCTGTTTATGTTGGAAGATGAATTTGCGAGCTCCGTCCATTGGATCCAAGTGCTACTCCAATGCCAATTTCAAGAACTACTTTTCAGACTGGGTTATTTCGTTTGTTCTACTCGTTTACTTTTTCAGTATAGCTGAACATGCCAACCCATTTCAACGCCAATTTCTGACAGCGGACTTGTCAATATCGCATCCCTTTGCTGTCAAAGAACGTGTTTCTGGGGTGGAGTGTATACTTTTGGCTGCACTTGTGCCCTTGTCCGTCATATCTGCGATTGTTATTTTGAAAAGTTATGTGGGAAAACTCAAGTCCAACTCCAATCCATTGCATGTCTTTCAAGTTAGCATTTTGGGACTTTCTATGTCCATATTCTTGGATGGGGTGATTACCGATATTCTCAAGAATTGGATTGCGAGACCAAGACCGGACTTTTTAGCTAGATGTGGCGCACAAGTAAATACGTCTGTCAATGAGTTGGTCGATATAAGTGTTTGCACTGCCCCATTGGGAGACCTGCTTTTGTTGGATGGAATGCGATCAACACCGTCAGGACATTCATCCATAAGTTTTGTCGCCTTTTTGTATCTCACTTTGTGGTTATCAGGACAATTTAAGTTGTTTAACTCAACTCCACAACATATGTACAAGTACATTGTGGCATTCATGCCGTTATTGCTTGCTACGTACATATCATTGAGCAGGGTTCAGGACTATAGACACCATTTCATAGACGTGATTCTAGGCTCCACGTTGGGTTGCATCATTGCAGTGTTGATTTATTTTCATTATTGGAACGACTTACAAAGTGACGCATGTGACTCACCTAGATCATTCAAGAACAGCTCAGAACCTGTTTTACCTTTATAATTGTTAATTGAAAGTGAAATCCAATGCATTTTGTGATATTTGTCTCTAACTTACTGTTAGTTAGCATGATGATACAAATAATTGTAAAACGCTTTTGAAATAAAGTGTCACAAAACCGAAACAAATAAATGAAGAGACAGAAAAAAAGGAACAAAAGTCTCACTGTATCATATGCAGGACCACCAACCCAAAACCTCTCTCTACCTCAAACACACCTCAAACGTGGCACACCCACAAAACATTTGGCAAAGTTAGTATAAGTGGGTTCATCTTGTATATTTTTTTTTTGAAAAATGAATCCTGTTCACCAATGAATCAAGTTTTTCAAAATATGACACCAGAAAGCGATGCTACCTTAACAATGACGTTGACACGAACAGCTACGTTATCTTCAGAACCCTCAGCTTCAAATGATGTCTATCTATCGTGGGAGATATCAACACTCACTACCCAAATGGTTCTTTCGAGCGCGGTCACTTATGTCGTTACACTCATCGCCACTTTGCAAGAAACTAGTACTCCAAGTTCGCCAACCTCCACAACTTCCCCCTTCACAAATACCCTTCTAGCATTACAAGAACAAACATCACCTGTATCATCGTCATCAAATGTAATACTAAACACCCCTTCAGGCTTGTCATCAAGTTTACAATTTGGGGATATTCCGACGACCTCCAATTCTACGCAAGTAGGTATTGCAGTAGGAGTTCCTATTGCCATTTTTGCTGTATTTTTTATTGCGTTGGGTATGTGGTACTTTCTCCACTTACGTAGATCAAAACGTGAGCTCAGCCAGGATCTTGACACATTCAGTCAAAAACTCAACTTTCTGAACCAGCACATTTCCAGGCCGAGCTGGGAGACGTTAACGGAAAAACCATACCCAGTGATTTTTTCTCCAACCAACTATTTGCTTACAGATAAGAACCTTCAAGCTTGTGAGGAAGAGGAACCTAAGCAAGGTACGAATATTAAAGCTCAATTTAATCGTTCAAGTCAGCTATGGTTAGTGAGAGATAGAGATAAAGAGTCGTTAACTTGCCCAGAATCCAATTTCTTCAAACGCATGTCTGCAATGACGCCAATGTTTTTGAAAAAGTTCAATATAAGTGGTATGTTTCAGGGGAATAAAAAGGGAACCAAGTCACAAGTGCTTGATGTGCCAACAACCAAAGCACCAAACTATGCTTCTTCTGGTTTTAATCCCCAACTCGGATTCAATCATCTTGACAATGGATGTATTTCATCAGATCAGAATATGTACAATGTGATCAAACCATATACAAGGGCTCTTGATGATGAGTTGACAATAAGGATTGGAGATAAGTGCATCGTACTTGAGAAATTTAGCGATGAGTGGTGCAAAATTCAGCTCCATAGAAAAAGCGACCACGACTCGAGTCAGAAAGTTGGATTGGTTCCTTGGATGTGTTTACAGAACATATAGATTACTAAGAGGGCATAATTTTTTTGTTTATTTATTTGTTTTCTTTACTTCTTCCACTGAATTGACAAAAGAAAATTCTCCAGTTTTGGTACTGAATGAAATCATTTCCTCTCATTAAAAAGTTATTTCACTATGTAGTTCGATCAAAGTTATATGTCCTCGAATACTGCGCATATGGGTGTTTGGAAGGCGAAGGGCCATTCACATTGTGACTCTGATTCCCGTGAACACCAGGTGATTGGACGTTCGGCGTGTACTGGTACTGCTGATTATCATAGCTTCTGAAATTGTTGGGCTGTCCATAGGCAGACAGTTGATAAGTCTGATGATGCTGTTGGGGATGGCGGTTTCCCATTTGTTGGTGGCCAGCGATTCCCATATTTGGACTCCTTTGCGGTCCTGGCTGTAAGGGCATATTGTTGTTATACTGTTGGGGTTGTCCTTGGTATCCTGTTGCGGTCCTTGGTTGGTTGACACCATATTGCGTAGGAGGGTTCATTGATGGCCGTGGTCTTCCCATCGGTTGCGTCTGGTGTCCTCCCATCTGCTGTACGTGTACTTGTTGATTTGGTGTACTTACTTGAAACTGGGGCAAAGGTTGTTGAGCATGATGATTCGGCGGTTTTGTACCCACATTGGAAGGGCCAAACTCAGACTGTGGTTTGGCGCTTTCATGAGGGTAAGCCACACGACTTGGCGCCTGGTTCTGGCCAGTTTGTCCACCAAGTGGAACAAAAAATTGCTTATTTGATTTTGGAATGTTTGTTTTACTTTTCAACTGTTCACTACTTGAGGGCTCTTCGGTTGGAGGAGCTTTCCTCTGAGGTGAGACGGGATATTGCAAATCCTTTTTAGTTGGTGATGTAGACTCTCGTGCGACTTCAGCTCGTGATGGTCTGCTAAGTTGATTGTGTGAAGAGTTGGGAGACACGATATGTCTAGGTCTGTTAGCAGGATAGGGAACACCTGCACCATGAGCACCCGCATCTATGGGGTAGGGAGATGCTGTTTGGTGTGGCTGCTGTGACTGCTGTGGCTGCTGTGGCTGCTGTGGCTGCTGCTTGTGCGTCGTATCATGTCCCATTGCAAAATTGTCCAAATTTGCACCAAAATGTTGTCTGGTGTCCGCGTTTTGATCAATGCTATTATCCTCAAGAGACGAATCTGGTTGAAGGCCATAGAATGGTACACTCTTCCCCACTTTGTTGTACTGATCATGTAGGTCATTGAACTGAGCCATAGGAGAAACCACAGACGAATAACTACCATTTTGCTCATGCTTTGGTACTTTCAAACTTCCCACAGAAACACTTGAGTCGCTTGGGTTTTGTCCACTATTATGCACACCTAGCAAACGGGGCAGTTTTACACTACTGATTTCTTCCACACTTTCTTCTTCATCATCATTATCGTCACTAAACAATCCATCGTCATTTTTAGGGTATGCATTACTTCCAAGGGTCATCTGTCTTATTCCCAACGGTAAATCATCCTCAATTAAACGTTCTTGCGAACCATTGAGCACCTCTCTGCGGTCGATGTAATTATCCGATGGAGTCTTTAAATCAGAATACTTTTGGTATATTTCCGCTAATTGGACTGAGTCATGCGGATCTACTACACCCCCTGGGGCTAGTTGGCCATTTACTCTTGTGTTGAGTGCCTGATCATCAAAATTTTTAACATTTTGGGGAACTGCGGGAACCTCCACCTCGAGATTTTTAATATTCTTGTCCAAACGTTTTCCAGCTGGTGTGATGTTAGAATGAGGTGGCGGAGGTGGTGGAACCGGTGATGGTGAGGGTTGTACAGAATTCCCCGAATGTGATGTTGAATGATGAGATAATCCAGATGGTTCCTTTCTCCGAATTGTCAGTGCACTTCCGCTACTTGGAAGTCGAGGTGAACTTGACAAGGCTGGACTGTTGAGGGAGTTTACAGCACCGGCGTATCCTCTTTGACTGCCACACCCATCATAGCCTCTTTCAATTTTAGACTTTAATAGATTTTGAATTTCTAAATTCCATGTCCTCAAGTCCCAGCTAATGTAGTTGCCTCTGGCGACTAACTGCTGAATGTCCAGAAGTTCTAAATAGTGAACCCTGGGAAGTGTTGGTAACCCAAACAACAACGAGTCAATATCATTTCTATTTGCCTTCAATCGCTTTGGTCTTCCGTATAATCCAAACGCATCAAATAGTGGCACCAAGAACCTTATCAATGTGTCAAATCCGGGAACTGCAGAATGTTGTTCGGGCATCAAAAAAATCGAAGTTTGTTTAAAGTCGTCCAAATTCTTTTTCGAAACTTTAGTTGACAAACTTGGGGAGGAAAAGTTGATAAATCCTTCCATTTTAATCATTGTTGAATGATCTATCAAGAGATGTGATTGTGGGTATATAGCTGTAACAGCAGATGCATCAGTTATAATGGCCATTAATTGTTTCTTCTTTTTCTGTTCGTTTTCAAAAAGAAGAATTCTTCCCGCAACAAATGTCTTCCTTTTTAAGCTGGATGGTTCAACAACAGCATAACACCGTTTCCAAGCCATACCGCTTCCGTATCTAATACTTATCCAGTCTTCGTGGTCAAATCTTTTTTCGGCTAAAATTGTTCGAATATCGGAAAGCCTTGATCCTCTTGCTGATAACAAGGCACCGGTGTATGCCTCTTGAAGGGATTTGTACTCATAGCTTGACAATCTAAGGGCACAATACCAAGTTTCCAAGTCCTTGGCTGTTTTGAACTGCAAGATGTATCTGTTTTTCAATGTTGTTGAAACAACAACAACATTATCCAAGTTTTGCTTTGCAGCTGGCAAGCTCTTCATAGCACTGTAAACTGCATCGGTGAAATTTATATAACTTGGTTTAGCAGAAGCCTCCAATAAAGCATCAGCATTATTTTTAAATTGGGCCAAGATGGCTGCATCCCAATAGGCCAATTGGTTCCCAGTCAAAATTCCGTACACTTCACGCCATTCTCTGTCGGCGGGTTTTCCATCACCATTGAGGTCGTAGTATAACATAAAAATCCCTTCGTTGTACCGTCTATTTGATTGAGACGACAATAAGGTCACTATTGGTACCAATTCAGGGGACAATCCCTCTAAGTCAATGTTATCAAAGGCACCACTACTAGGTCTATTTGAAATCAAAGTGCGACCACCATCCATATTGCTGTCACCACTGTCTGGGAGTCTGGGAGAACTATTGCCCTTTTGGTTTGAGCCTATTCTTTTCCTTACCGCATCCATACTCGGGAATTATTGTGCGTGTAGTAGTAATAGTATGTAATCTGTATATTCCGAGTTCGACTAAAGGCAGTGTTCAGTTGAATCAAAATTGAATCAAAGATGAAAAACAACAAAAACAACCAAAAAAAAAAAAAATCTGGAATCAAAAGAATGAATGAATGAATTGATAGTTAGTATCCAGGGGTTATATATCACTTGTGTTTGAAAGCTATGATAATCCTATTGACAGGTGGTGTTTCAGATCAATAAAATGAGTGTTTGTAAGGACGTGGATGTGGATGTGGATGAAGATGTAGATGTGGATGTGGATGAAGATGTAGATGTAGATGTGTGTGGATTTTGTTTAGTTTGTTTTTAATTCTCCAGTCGTGAAAGAAGGGAAAAAAAAAAAATTTTTGTCTGAAGATAGATAGTATGACAAAGACTCAGATGAAGACAATAAATGATAACTATGTATCGATTATATACTTAGTAATAAGTGGATAACAAAGTGTAATGGTAAACTTTGGTGAAGGTGAAAAGGGAGAGAGGGGAAGATGTACTGTTTTATTTTGCTGTTGTTGTTGTAGGTTTGTTGTTGTTGTGATTTTTATTTTTATTTTTATTTTTATTTTATTTTATTAAAATCAAAATAACAAACTTTACATAAACACACACACACAGATAACAACCAACCACTGTATATGTATAAGTTAATCATATAGCAAATGTAATAGACTAAAAGACAGACATAACGACAGAAAGGGACAGAGAGTGTATGAAAAAAAGCGTGTATAGGTACCTGTATGTATCTTTATATCTTTGTGTGGTTATAAGCGTGGCAGTGTGTATATATGTTATTGGTCTGTGTCTCCCCTTTATTGTATTTATATAATGTATAACTTTTAAAAACCAGAGATAATTATTAGATCTTTTTTACTTTCCTCATTGGTTTGTCTGCTTAATCCCCAATCTCTGTTGCAATCAAAGGTTAATATTTTAGGTTGAGTTGGGGTGGTTGGTGATTTGGTATAAGTTGAAAGTAAAAGGACCAACTTTATCGGTAAACACAAAAAAAGAAGAGATCAAAAGATGAGATTTATTATTATTACTATTGTGTACTGTATATAATCTTATTATGAAGTAAAAGTCGTGTGCAATTGGCTCGTCCTACAGCATATATACGATGCTACAGTCCTACATTCCTACGTTCCTACGTTCCTGCAGTTTTACAGTCCTTCCCTTCTCCTGGAGTCACGTAGAGGTACTCACTTAGTACAGGAGGGACACTAAGCTCCTCCACAGGTTGCATAAGTAACAAATTAAGGAGAGCATACCAAAGGAGGTTGTCGCATCTTCTGTTGAATTAGAAACAACGCTAAAATGGATCCTTCTAGCAGGGTACTGGCCATAGGAGTGTGGTGGTACTACCCTAGCGGCCCTCCCCTGCACAAGTCCAAAACTTTTTGGGCGCCGCCTGGAGAGCCAGGACATGTCAAAATTTTTATCTCGTACTTTAATATCCGAACTAGCTCCAACACGTGACGTGAACAAAATTTGTGTCCAAAAGCTCTTAATTCATAAGATTATTGCCTTCCAATCACAATATTCGTTTTTAACCGGCTGAAATAGAGTCAGCTGTTGTGGTACAGTGTATTTTTGATTTCTGCAGCCCTTATCGGTGTAGATAAAAACCATCCTTCATAAACCAGTGCTTTCTTTTTTTTTCGTTTTTTGGGTAGATTTGTTGCAAAAAAAAAAATACATGACCAGAATTCCAATATCAAAGATTACTTTTATAGAGGTCATTCAGTCACAAAAGCTCAATAAAATAGGTACAAGGTTGATTAATTCAACTATATATAATATTTATCAGAAAACTAGACGGCAATGGACCGAATTATTGTTGTTTAACACAGACTTGGTTATGTAACACCAAACCAAGGTGCAGATTGTAAGTGGAATTACAAACACATTGAAGACCTTATAACAAAGGGATTGCTTTTTGGGGGATACAGCTGTGTTGTAGTTCATTTTCATTGCTCAGTACTAAACACACACACAAATACACACATTAATAGTTGTGGATCAATTGGAAAAGGCGGAGATTTGTTCATTGCTTATTGCTTATTTCTTATTGTTGATTGTATTTTTGTATTTTTGTATTTTTATATTTTTGTATTGTTCAATCTTTACTCAAAGTTGTCAAATAAAGGTTTCCTTTCTTCATTTTCCATTTTGTTTCTCATCTTTTATAGATCACACGGTATCTCTCTTATCTTACAAAGTAGAGATTCCTCATTTCACCTCTTCCACACAGCCATTGACAATTATACTTCGGTGTATTGTGTATTGTGTATGCGCATCTGAGTATGTGGTTGGAGGACTCTGAAGACTTTCTCGCATTTTATCCCAGTAAAACTCCGAAAACTTCAAATATGAATCTCAATTTCAATTGATTTTCCCCCCACATAATTACTACTCCCCCACCATCCCCACCACACCTTTTTTTTAAACCATTACACAACAATTCACTTATTGTTATTACTATTCACCAATCTTTTTCTTCTTATATGGGTTTTGTGTATTGTAGGAAATTTGTACACGCACTATAATATTACTACACTTTTATACGTCCAAATTCTATCTTTTTTTTTTTTTTTTTTTTTTTTTTTTCGCTTCACCCCCACCCGTATATGAAAAATAAAAAAGAAAAGCCATTTGTTAAACATCTGTACATATATATCTTCTTTTTTTTTTTCCTTTTCTGTTCTTTGTATTAAAGCTTTCATATATAAAAGGATTTTACATCTCTCTCTCTCTCTCTCTCTCTCTCTATATATATATATATATATATATATAGATATGCTATACCTCTATATCTCTCTCTAGTTCTACTTTAGTTCAAAAAAAAAAACATCTACATTTCGCATGTCCCTTAACTTAATTTAGTTTGTATTTCGTTTTTTGTTTTTTGTTGGCTGGTTCGAGTACCATTTTGTGTTGTGTTTTTTGTGTACGTTTGAATTTATAAATTAAGCATACCACCACCACCACTACTACTTACTACTACTCATTACTACTATTACGTATATATATATATATATTAAGCACCATCCATAATTATCCATCATCACCATCAACAACACTTTTCTATCTTCCTTTAGTTTTCTTTTATCCATATCTCAAAAATTTTGCCTACCATTACCTTATTACACTAGGGTATATACATCATTCTTAAAGGCGCACACAACACACACACATACACAAAGAAAAGAAAAAAAACAAGACAGACCAAGGCGTCCTCCTCCGCAATACTTGTGTGAACAAAACATTTTTCAGATTTCGCACGAAACCTCAGCATTTGAATAAATATATCATTCGATTGCTAATCCACTTCTCACTAAAGGTAAGTCTTTGTCAATTTTGATATTACACACCTATCATCACATTCTCCTATTGGAACATTCTAGAGGTTTGACTCATTAACATCTAGGACTTCAGTTAGAATACCTGTATACATACACAGCCTAACTCAGAAATTAACAAAAATTAAAGCACAAGCCAAGCTACACCCACAGTTTTTTGTCTTGTTTTTTATTTTTTACTTCTTGTGGCCGCCGGCGGATAGTCTTCATTTCCATCCATAAACATTTCAATCTCATTAGGTTTTAATATATTGCAATAGAGCTCAATATATTCAATCCATATTTCAATTTTAGTTTCATCCTTTGGACATTGAAAATTTAACTCAACACCCAGCAACATCTTTTAACCAAATAAACTTCCTTCCATTCCCCCCCCTCTTTTGTCAATTATATCCACCATGACTAGAGACATTACAAATCACTTGCTTTTCGAAGTTGCCACTGAGGTCGCTCACAAGGTTGGAGGTATTTACTCAGTTTTAAAATCAAAAGCCCCTATTACAGTGGCTGAATATAGGGAGCGCTACACATTAATTGGACCTTTAAATTACCATTCAGCCCAAATTGAAGTGGAGGAGTTACCTGTCAAAGACCCCTTGATCAAACAAACTTTGGATTCAATGTCTTCCAAAGGCGTCCGCTGGTTATACGGAAGGTGGTTAATCGAAGGGGCACCAAGAGTCTTACTTTTTGACATTTGGTCTGCTGGACATTTCCTTAACGAATGGAAAGCAGACTTGTGGAATATTGCCGGAATCCCTACCCCCGACCACGATCTGGAAACAAGCGAAGCAATTTTATTGGGGTACTTGGTTGCTTGGTTCTTGGGTGAATTGGTTTATAATGACCGTGATAGAGCTGTTATTGCTCATTTCCATGAATGGTTGGCCGGTATCGCCTTGCCCTTGTGTCGTAAAAGAAGAATTGATGTTACCACAATCTTTACCACCCACGCTACTTTGTTGGGAAGATATCTCTGTGCCGGATCCACCGATTTTTACAACAACTTGGCCAATTTTGACGTTGATGCAGAAGCAGGAAAACGAGGAATCTACCACCGTTATTGTATCGAAAGATCAGCCACCCATTCAGCCGACGTATTCACCACCGTTTCTCACATCACTGCTTTTGAAAGTGAACATTTGTTGAAGAGGAAACCTGACGGAGTTTTACCAAACGGTTTAAACGTTGTTAAATTTCAAGCTGTTCACGAATTTCAAAACTTGCATGCCGTGAAGAAAGAGAAAATCAACGAGTTTATCAAGGGCCATTTCTATGGGAACTACGACTTTGATTTGGAAAATACATTGTACTTTTTCATTGCTGGTAGATATGAATTCAGAAATAAAGGATGCGATTTCTTTATTGAAAGTTTGGCAAGATTAAACCATCGGTTGAAGGAGAGTGGCTCAAAGATGACGGTTGTTGCTTTTATTATCATGCCTGGAAAGACGCAGTCCTACACGGTTGAAACCTTGAAGGGACAAGCTGTAGTTAAACAGTTAGAATCAACCATTGAAGAAGTTCAAAAGAAAGTTGGTGAACGTTTGTTTGAACATTGTGCAAGGTATCCTAATTCAGAACACGCAGCAGGAAAGTCAAACGAAGTGCCTTCAATAGACGAGTTAATCAAACCTGCTGATCGAGTGTTGTTAAAGAGAAGAATATATGCCTTGAAGAGAGAAGGCTTGCCACCAATAGTCACCCACAACATGATTGATGATAACACCGACCCAATTTTAAATCAAATTAGACGTGTGCAATTATTCAACCGCCCAGAAGACAGAGTCAAAATCATCTTTCATCCAGAATTTCTCAATGCCAACAACCCAATTTTATCGTTGGATTACGATGAGTTTGTACGTGGCTGTCATTTAGGTGTTTTCCCCTCTTATTATGAGCCATGGGGCTACACCCCTGCTGAATGTACCGTGATGGGTATTCCTTCAATAACTACAAATCTCTCGGGATTCGGATGTTATATGGAAGACTTAATTGAAAACACAAGCGACTATGGAATTTACATTGTTGACCGGAGAATGAAGTCAGTAGATGAATCAATTGACCAATTAACAGGATACATGTTTGATTTCTGTGAGAAAACTAGGAGACAGAGAATTAATCAAAGAAATAGAACAGAGAGGTTGAGTGATTTATTGGACTGGAAGCGGATGGGATTGGAGTACATCAAGGCCCGTCAATTGAGTTTGAAGAGAGCTTATCCTGACAAGTTCAAAAATGGTGCTAACCCATTTAACAACTCATCCAATTTGAAGTTGACCAGACCACTTTCAGTTCCCGGATCACCAAGATCAAAGATTGGATTAATGACCCCAGGTGACTTGGGGAGTTTACAAGAAGCGCAAGAGGGTTTGGATACAGCTGACTACGTGGGATTCAAATTAGGTTTGGGTGCGAATGATGACGACAATGAAGTTGGGGATGATGACCAACATTATCCTTTAACTTTGAGAGGAAATTCAATTCCACCGGAGGATAAGGTGGAATAAACTCTAAATCCGCGCTGAAACAATCTCGTTTCATAAAATTGCTAACTAAAGATCAAATTTAAAAGTATTGATATAGAAATAAAAGGTGTATAAGAAATCCCAAAACCATGGCGGCGGCGGCGGCGGCGGCGGCGGCGGCGATGGCTACGGCGGCCACGACATTCACCTCTACCAACTCACCAGCCAAAAACATTTTCTGCAGCTTGGCAATATTCTTCTGCTAGGTACGTAGAGCAGAGTCCAAGAAATTTATTGCCCAATTCAATTTCTTCCAATTTGTGGTCGATACTTTGTTCAACGGAATCATTTTCTTTGTCAGTGTCCTGAATCCTCTTTCTTGCTGAATCATGCAAGACTTTATGAATATGCTGAAGTACACCTTTTAAATGCACAAGTTTGTTTGTCCGATCTGCTTCGCTAAAAGTCAACCCCATATAATCTGTATCACTACGAGGATCAACATCCCAATACGCTATTGAATTAGGAATTAAAACCAGCTTTCCGTCAACACACGTGCCTTTGTTCAGGTGGCTCTTAGACCATGGCTCTGGGTTGATGTTAAAATCAACCATGGAGCTGACATAGATTAGTTCGAACGAATCCTCCTTCGTCAAACTACGGGTCATAATAAAAATGTGGGGACGATATAGTTCACGCATACATCCACATTCTTTATTGTGTGAGCGAGCAATCCCTAGCCAGAATTTACGTCCTTCTGTTACTTCCGTGAGTGGAATATATTTTTGCGGTATTTGGATAATATTTGTACCTCCTCGCAAAACGCCCGCGTTGTCATTGGCATCTATAGTGTTGAACCTTGGTCCCGAGACCTTAACGCAATCACCAGTCTGTAAACTGCATTTTACAACCCTCAACGGGTTGAAGTTGTAAACGAAATTAATCATATTATGGTCATTATTAGCGTCGGGATTGTCCATGAAGGGAGCCCAATTTTTCTCAATGAAGCTTCTTTTCTTATCCTTTATAGCAAGTAAAATTACTTCGCGTGGGTCGTTGAATGGTCGGTACACATGCATTGCACGTGCCCACTTGACCTTTGCCCTTCTGGCATTAAATATGATGACCGGTTCCTGAAATCGTATCCCCTCTGGATTTTGATATTCGTTTAGTATAACCCTCGGATCCTCACTACCTATAACCAATTTATTTTCTCTCTGACCCAAATCTAGATCATGAGGCAATATGGTTGGGAATACTAAATCAGAATGTGGAAATTTGAATCCTTTTATTTCACGCCAGTTTTTATCAAACACTTGTCCTGATAATATGGAAATAGTAGGATTATTTCGTCTACCGTCTTTTGCATACACAATACGGTTCACCATAAAGTAAACCTTGTAGAGGTCTAGCCAAACCGCACTTCCGCAAAATTTAAACCACTTCTTTCTAAGGATATACTCTTCCAGATGTTCTGGGTTGTCTTGGAAACATAACTTGTAAGCCTTGTTTTCCTGGGAAAGGGCTTGCAACTGATTTCTTAAATGTTTCAAGTCAGACGCCTGGTTCAAATCAAATAACTGACTAGCAGAAATGCTTGCTGGGTCCACCACTTGTATCAAGCTACAATTAAACAGCTCACCAAGATGCGAAAGCTCTATAGTATTTTGTCTCTTGTCATTGGTTTTCTTGGTATCTTGATTCTCCAGTTGCGGGTCCAGTTGCGGGTCCAGTTGTGAATCCAGTTGCATATCTTGCCTTAGAATTACCAGGTGTTGTTGTCGCTCAACGTCGAAAGAAAATCCCGACACTATAACGGGATCGAATCTCTGCTGCAAAAGTCGACTATGCAAAGGCGATTTATCTAATCTCTGAGCGTGCTGCCTCAAGCTCCATATTAGAAAGTACCACACGTTAAGATTTAGTATGACGATGCAGATAGCTATTAAATTGATGGCATAATCTTGCTTTTTCCGCTTATTGCCCTTATATTGCTTGCGTAACACATATACTGATATCGGGCTTAGTATAAATGCTGTGATAATGTATATATGTGTGCCAGTATCAAGAAGACTGAGATCATTTATAGAGAGCATAGTGACAACCTAGTCTGCACTCTTTCAAGTTGAATTAACGTTGGTGTAGCTGAGATGATGCACCGCCTCTACCGCAAACTTGGAATGTGGGAGAAAAATTTATCAACAATCACGTGAGTAAATTTTGACAGCCTTATCTATTCCTACCACAGACAATGTCGTAGAGGTATAGGTATCTCAAAACGTGCGAAAAGCAGCATGCAGTGACAGAGGAGAATACCATGCGGTGTTGTAGATAGGTTGGAAGTTACTAGTAATTTCAATTCTATTCTGACATATTATTAGACGAGCAGATGCAATCTTGGCGGTTTCTAACGACCATTGAGATACTTTCACCTTCTACAACTTTAAAAGTGAAGTTGGCCAAATACTTGCTTCTTTCAGGAATCAACTCCGCTGGATCTCACTAAAGATTGGGGATCTGATACTATATAGCCTCAAATCAAGTCACGTGAAACATACCACGTCTCCAAAATACAAAATATGACACAAATCGGAAAGGGAAACTAAAAAATAAACAACAATTTTTGGATGTGCTAGAGATTCAATTACTTTCGAGATTTATTTATAGAAACACACTAGCACATGCAAGACAGGAGTAGCAGATTAGTCGACATATATATTTTAAGTTTATAAGGAAAACCATTTTTTGTTTTGCAAGATTAGATAGACGTTACCGCTGTGGCAACTCCATACAGTGAAAGTCATAAAGAAGAGAAACATTCAGTGGTTGAGTTTTAGTGGTCCAACATGAATGAACAAATCAGGCTTCTGAGCTCAGACAGAGATAGTGTATATTCCTTTGATTCTGTTAGCACAAATGAGCGCTTGCTCGATCGATTGGATTTTGACTCCGAGTCAATTATATCGACAGACACATACAGATCTTCTACATATAGTTCACATGGTCTCCAAGGCGACAAGCATGGAATGAACCGTACAGGAGCTTCTAGGTCAGAACCCCATGAACAACAACCGTGGCGAACAAATAGTTCGTCACCGTCACGTGGAATCGCCCTTCCCCAACAACCGATGAATAATCTAAGCGCAATAAGGAGGATGAAAGATTATACTAATCCAACCGATCTTGGTAGGGCAAATGTAGTAGGCCGAGGACACAACGGGCAACGAGGTGTGATATCTAATAGTAATGCCACAGGGGGCAGTAAAGATGGCCCCGATTGTGAAAAAGATGATACGACGAGCAGTCGACCTATATTTAGTTGCCCAAATAATGCCAACCCTCAAATTCTGGACAACACAATTCTGTTAAAGGACAGAGGGCCGCCACTAGATACAAGCTATGCACAGACGAGGACCACTGGCCCCATGCAACCTCGTCTTCACAACAATGCCCGATTTCTTGCTAGTCATCATGCAGTAGATACTGGTTCAGTAGCTATGCCAGGAATTCTGTCGCTGAGAAAAATAACTGGGGATATCGTTACAAGCAGAAGCAAAAGCTCAATTGCAACAACGACTAATTCTACGGATTCCTTTACTACCAGCGAGTCTCACGTGCCCGCTGGCACATCTCCCTACAATGAGCTTATTGATACGCCCACCGCTGGAATGCTGCTTCTAAGTTTGAATTCAACACTGGAACAAACATCCTCGCATGTAGTTACCCCCTTAACGAGAACTGACTTAAAGAGGCAATTACAACCTCACAATACGCCAATTGGACCGAATGCACGCGGCAAAGACCGCGAAATGGACAGCAACAGATCATCCAGTCTTAACTCATACGAGTACCTACCTGCTCACACATTTACCCCTACTGAAAATAGTGCTGATTCTGTACGTGGACAGCGTCTACAAAGCCAAGAGATATCACCTGAATCAAGAACGGTAATATCACAGGAACTAAGGGCTCAAGGAAAACATCGGGAGGCTTCATATCAATTACAAATAGCTGCTAATGAACCATTCAACAATCCCAAAGCCATGTATCTCTATGCGTTGGCTTTAAAGCACGGACAAGGTGTAAAACAAAACTACAATGCATCTTTAAAATGGTTGTGCAAATGCATTTTGACAACATCAATATCTGGCAATAATTCCCAAAATGGCACTGATCGCATGACTCTTAATTCTCCCATCGTGATCTCAAAATTAAACAAATTGCCTCAGCAGGACTTGATCCAATTGGTCCTTGCTAATCTCAAAAGCTTTGAAAATTCCGATGGACTAGAGAATGGTCAAAACCCTGAACTGTTGTACAATTGTTTCAAGAATTACAACAAATCAGAGGTGAATAGAATTTCGGCAAAGAACAAAAGCAAATCAGATGTTGTTGCCTTGTGCTATTTTGAACTTGGAATATTTCTTTTAAACGGACTTGCTGGCGGCTCAAACCAAAAAGCAGATGAAGCTAATGGAATTACCTGTTTGTCAAAATCTGCTGCGATGTGCAATGTGGATGCAATGGAACAATTGGGCGAAGTGTGGGCTACAAAAACCAAATTTCGCAAAAAAGATTTGAACAAAGCTGCTGCGTGGTTGAGAAGTGCGGAGATATTTGGTGCAAAGTCTATTGGTAATAGTTGGATCTACAAAGAAAAGTACCTAAAGTCCAACTCCAGTTAGCTTGAACACTTTCCGATTTTATGTTTTTTTTTATGTTCTTTCTTTTTTGGTTTGTTTTGATTCGATTCGATGCCGACTTTCTAATGTATTTGAGGAGTAACAAGTCTATACAAGTCTATGAATGGCCACTCTGTAGTTTGTAATTAACAAATTTGCTCGGATTCATTTTGTTATATTTCTCAAGGAAGTAGACCGCTAGGTTGAATAAAATACAAGTGACTTCATTGAGGTTTGAATATATCCCCATTGGCAAATAGTATGTTTGTAGGCTGGGTTTGATTGATTTGTCAAACGAGTTCAAATTATAAGCTTGCTGGGCCCGGGATATGTTCGATGTTCTTTTGTCCCACACGTAAGAGAATGTAGATGCTAGCATCGAGTTAAGATATTCTGGTTGTGAGTTTAGGAAAAGCTGCTGAATGCGTTCGGAATTGTTTAGATTTTGTTGCTGCAACTCAATGATTTTTTGGCTTAGTTGCATACTGGCAGCAGCTGTGGAGGCTGATTCAACGTTATCTTTTGTTAAACTGCTTTTTTCGATGTATGTATTGACCACTCTTAACAATATCGAGTTTACTCTCTTTACGATTAATGCTCTTGTTTGGAACATCAAGCACTTTAGTGTTTTTAGAAATTCAACCACAATTTGGTGATCTTTTGGGGCAGGAGAACTTTCTCTCAGAGCAAGTAGAAGTTCAATATAGGTTATTAGCTTCCCCACATCCGTATCAAGAACCTTCCATGAGCGCTCGCTAGGAAGCGTGTTTGAAACTATCTTTGATCGCTCGTCATAGTCCAACGACACCATTTTCATGATAAAAATATCCACTTGCATTATAATTATTTGTATATCTTCAGATTTGCAGCGCAACTGCTTCCAATCATGGGGAAATACGCCCCGTGTTAGTTCTAGTTCTTTCCACAAAATGTCCACGCTCGCCTGGACATCTTTGCATATATCAAGCCAGTAAATCTTTTTCTTGGTGAACTTGGTTTTCACCTCCTCAGCTTGCCCCTTTGTCAAATGTGATTCAGACAATACAGAAGAGTGCTCAGACACAATGGCTTCATTGATGAAGATACCTGCATTAGCGTGATTTCGGCTAGATTGTTTGCCGGCACGCTCCTCCTCAATGTCACGCTCTAGTGACTTCAACCTATCCAATCTATCTTTCGATTGTCTATCCTTTTCCTCCACAATTTTGAGAAGTTTCCTAATCTCTTTTTCTTTTGCTTGTATCTCCTGGATAAATTCATACCTTGCAGTATCTGTGCCATGTGATGTTTCCACCAATGCCAACAGCTGTGGTTTCTTGAGATGCGGTAACTCACTTGAATTTTTTTCTATAATGTCTATGTCCTTAGGCAATACCCTAGTTGTACCACGACTGCTTTCCAGTAAACTAGTACCTACAGAACTTGCTTCATCAATTTTATTGCTGGTACTTATTTTGAATGCACTCAAACTCGACGGACTACTAGACGAGGTGGCAACTCTCTCCTTAAATTTCATTTTATTGTTCAAAATGATACGAACAAGGAATTTTGGTTTTGCAATGTCGTGCATTTTGTTGATCCACTTGAAAACTCCAATGCCAGTCTTGACGCTTTTGAATGTAGGAGACGTGGATAGTTTTCTAACTTCTTTCGTAGAATCACTAAACTTCGAGGTTTGGCCGTTACTGGCAACAAGTGATTTGGAGTTTGCATGATGACTGTTGCTGTTAAAGGATGCAGGCAAAGTCGGTGACAACATTAGAAGAGGCACATCTTCTGCCAAATTATGAGCACCATCGCCGAACTGAGCAGCTTCATCGGTCGATTTGTCGTTAATGGTACGTCGTGAGGAGGAATCGCCATGAGTAGTTGTTTCACTTTCCGGGGCTACTCTGTCTTTTCCAAACAAGTTAGATCTAGGAAATGTAGGAGTAGGTGCATTGAGCTGGGTATGATGATGTACTTCTTTCTTTTGAACTTTCGTTGGATCCCTTTTCAGGGAAGCTGTGCTTGAGATGGAAGAGGGCATGGTTTGTGGTGGCAATGTAGGTGACAACGGGGGCGGTAAGTTGTTGGTGCTTTCGTATTTCTCTAGTAGATCATCTAGATTCCATGTCAGGGGGATCGGGGCAGGTGAGGCTGATGATTTCAGCCGTAGTTTGATATCAAACCGACGATCTGTGAGTGCAGTCAGAGAATTTACTCCGTTAATATAAGGGCTTGACAGCTTGGAACGCAAGCTGGTTGTATTGGGACCGGACGCAGGTGGCTTGGCAGAGGCTTCTGCATTGCTAAATATCGAGGACTTCAATGACATGATATTGTACACATCATATATTTCAAGAGGGGAAGGAGGAAATTAAAATGGAACAGTCGTCTCCTTTGTAGAAAGAAGGTGCAATTTCGTTGTGCGAGAATGCGCAGCGCCTATATTTCTTGTGAGTTAATTTGATTGATACTTCTCTGGCCAGTAAAAGAAAGAGCAAATAGTTTCAAATGAAGAAAGTGGTTCGACCTTAGATAATAGGTTTTGAGCCACTATCCAAATATACCGTGATCATTTTGTACAGATTAGACCTAGAATACAATTGCGCTAAAAAGAAGTACAAGCAGCTAAATCATCTGCTAATTTTGTGGACGAGTCTGTTACCGGTTCCACGGGTAGTCATAGTCTGAAACGAGACCGGTTAAATTGTATCTATACACTTTATTAGTTCAGCTACCCCCACCTTTATATATATATAAGAAGATCTACAACAAAATACTCAGGATTTGTCTTAACAGTATGGATACAAATAATATAATACTCATATTTTTTGAATGTTTGAAGAAGAGAAAAATAAAAAAACACCACCATCAAAAAGACGAGAAAAGAGAGAAGCACCGTCAAGTTACAAACTAATCGAAAATAATACTTCATCAAGACCTATTGTAGGAAATCTCCAGCATTGTCAAACCTATAATTTCTGGTGACTTTTTGCTTACAAAAGACATCAGAAAACATCCTTTACGATTATTCTTTTTTTTTTAAAACTGGAACACATTTGGTCACTGAGATAGAGGAAAATTTAGGGAGGGTTCAACCGCAATCTGCAAGTGTCAAAGATGGCCAACTATAACGAAGTTCAACCCACTGCATTCAAACCTAAAAATAGTAATAAGAGACGAGGACGTAACCACGGCGGTGGAAACAATGGTGGTGGAGGAGCAGCAGGTGGAAGTGGGGGGAGAAGAGAAGGAGGAGGTAATAATAGAAGAAATAATCGAGAAGGAGGAGGAGGAGGAGACAATCTCAGCAGTGGGAATGGTAGATCTTTCAAAGAAGGGGGGTTTAACCATGGCAATAGAAATAATGGGGTTTATGAGAGGGAAGAGAACAGTAACCAGAACTATACACCAGACAGCACTTCCTTCACAGAAACGAGTTATTCACACGATGAATATACATTCGGAGAAGATGGGTACGATTCCCAGAGGGCTAGTTCACCAAAGGTTGAACCCCAGAGCCAACCCACGAGCTACACTCAGATATCACGACGTGATACTAGGAATGATCCAATACCTGTAAAATCTAGCTATAACTCGCAACCGACGCACTCCAGGAATTCCACACGACGTTACAGCAACACATCCCCAAAACGCCCGAGTATCAACAACGCCGAAGCTCATAACGAACAGCCACAGCCTCCACAAACGCACCAGCCGAATAATAACGATAATTTTCCGCCTTCCTTTCGCCCATTTGTTGAAAGGAAGCTAGTTGCTATTGGAAATCTCTCTCCAAGGGACCAAGCTGAAGCTAAAGAACAACTTGCGATACTCATTACACTGGCACAGAACAGGGAGCTTATGTTCATCAACGATTGGGCCAAGCAGAAGATCCCGTTGTTGGATGGGGGAGGGGAGATGCTATTGCAGTGTGAGGAGGAAAATGCAAGCAACAGAAATCGGACTACACTGGATGGAGTGAGTGGGGGATCATCTCGATATGGTGGGAGTAGGAACCAAAACAACCATCAAACGGTCAATATGACCACACGCTATACCACATCGACAAAGGAACCAATTTCACCACCGCAAAGGGAACTGGCTGTAGATAGAATACCTTTGGATGGGGGTGCAGATGTGGCTCCCATAAATGCAGAATCTTCAACCTTTATGAGAGGAAAGCCACAAAAGTCTTTCGGGTCTGCCCAAGATGGGGATATACCACGGCAAGCTAAGCCTTATGCTGCTGTAAATAGTAAACGAGTTGCAGAGGAGGATTACGCGTCACACGAAAGAAAGCGACAAAGGGCAGAGAGATTTGAAGCCACGAGCCTACCTCACACATTGCCACCAACTACCGCGAACGTAAAAAATGGTGGGCCTATTGTGGGTCTTAATCCTAACTTGGAGAAATATTACTTGCGGTTGACTTCAGAACCAGATCCAAGGAATGTGCGACCTCAGCACATATTGGAAAAAAGTGTCCAATACGTCCTCAAAAAATACGGTACATTGCCAGACAAAGAAGCATATCACTATCTCAATAATCAATTCAAGTCCATACGACAAGATCTCACTGTCCAGCACATCAAGAACGATTTTGCCATTTCTGTGTACGAGCAGAACGCTCGACTTGCTTTGAAACACGATGACCTCGGCGAGTTCAATCAATGCCTGGGTCAGTTGAAGTTTCTCTATAACTACAAAAGACAGTCATCTCTTGATTGGCTGAAGCGTTTTATTTCGCTGGAAGTTGAGATGATCTGCTATAAGATCATATACATGATGATAACAAATAGTAACAGTGAAATTTGTAAACTAAAACTTAGTTTGTTACAAGACTACAAGGGGTTCCAGAGGGAGAATGCGAATGTGGTGTATTTTAAGTTTATTATGTCCTTATTCAGGCTCAATAACTATAAGCTCACAAACAACTGTTTCCAGTTTTATGAAGAGCTAGGTGAATATAAAGGTTTGAACGATGTGCATTTGGCGTTAAAAGTGATATCAGGATTCTTGGACAACAAAATAAGATTGTCCGGACTTTATGTTATTTGCAGCGCAAACAGAACAGGCATGAAGATTGAATCTTTGCAGGATTTGTTGAGCTTCGAGGATAGGAGAGATTGTGATGCTTTTTTGCGCAAGTTTCAGTTGGACACATTTATCACTAAAGATGATTTTCAAGCTTTCAGGGCTAAGGGTACTGTAAAAGCATTATACAAGAAATCAACAAAAATAGATATCAAAGGACAAATTTAATGCAAAAAAAGAGAAAAAAGAAAAAGAAAAAAGAAGAGAACACATGATTGTATCGTATTGCTTAGTCTAATCTAATGTTGGTCCTAGTGCCATCAAGGCAAAATTGTGCTTATTCCTTTCATCAGCATTATCGATGTAGAATTGAATTTTGTCAATCAACTTCAGTTCCTTGATTATGCTCTCAGCGCCGGCAGCACCAACTTCACCCAAGTCAATGGGACCGTTTCTTCTTCCGTCCAACTCGTACAAATGGTTGTCCTTACCTTTGATGAAACTGATAAAGTGGAATTCAATTGACTCTCCTGGTGCAGGTGCCTCTGTTTGCCCTTTGGACCCGAATTGCTCATCAAGCTTGATGTTCCTTTCCAACTCCTCGACAATTAGACTCACTTCTTCCACAGAGAGGTTTCTACCTTCAATTTTGGTAGCCAAGTCGTTTATTTGCAGATGGCTTAATGTTAGATCGGGCAGAATATTAATCAATATGTGTAGTAAGGCGTACAAACCGCAACCATTTCCAATAGTTTGCTTGAACCAGTGCACGTTAGGATTTTCATTTCCATATTTACCACCCTCTGCATCTTTCTCTCTTCTGTAGGCTTCATAGCTTGGAGTTAAGGGAAATAAAAGTATAATTCCGAATACCGGCTGCGGTAAAAATGACAAAAGCTCAGGATCAGTTAGTGAATACACATCATGAAATTGCAATATAGGTGAAAGACCCAATTTTTGAGAAAGGTCGGTGAAAATTGAAGGATTTGACTCTAAAGGAATTACCAGTTTCAGATCAGCCATGGCCGTGTGTAGGGTTATTATGGAGGACTTGACTGCAATGGTTATGCAAAGCTAATCGACAGTAGAGGATTGGGGTTTGTTTTTTTTTTCTTTTTTTGTTTTAGCGATTTGCCACTAAGAAAAATACAGAAGAAGAGGTTTTTAGTTGGACAAAGATTACATCGATAAGATTGATGACAATAATAAATACCTTACCTATATCTCATTAAATTTATTCACAAAATACGTACTTTTCCTTCCCCCAAGTTACCCTCATCGTGACCCCGACCTATCTACCACTTGGTAGCACAGAGGTAATAGTTCTTCAAATATATCACAAAGGAGCCTTCTGCAGAATGTGGTATACACCTGGCAAAGGCTTTGCTTTTTAACCGAAGAGGATACATGAATTATCCCACTAAAACAAGGAAAAAGACTGACATAGTTGACCTATTCCTAAGTGCAGTAAACGCTCACCACTTCCAAGTCTCTATGATATCTAAAAGGCAAACAACAAGCAACCAATGATTCAAAAGAAGATTAGTTGTTAGTACCCCCTTGGATGACTCTAAAATCACCAAAAACGCCCCAACAACAAAATTCATTGGGTGCAATGTTGCTTTGCTCGCTTCCATAATTGTAGCATATTTTAACTTAATTGGATATCTAAGCTGGTTCTAAGAACTTATCCTAATCGGATTCCTCTAGGAAATTCTATATCCTTTTATATTAAACCAGGATAACATTCATCAAAGGGGAACAATCGCTGATTTTTCCTTATCACTATAGAAGAAAAACAAGAATTTTGTTCAATTTACTCTTTTAGGATAAAAACAGTTACAGTTAGTAATAGGTTCATTGTAAATCCATAATTTCTTATCCAGGATAGCCTTCTAATAATTTCCTATAACTTCCGCAATCAAAGATTGGAAATTCTCACTTTATAATGGTAGATGGTCTGTTTGTCAATTCAAGATACAAAATTGAAGCCTGAACAAGTAACTTAGAACTGCAGCACAAATGAACTCTTATGAAAAAAAAGGTTAGCCAGAAGACCAATTGCCTAGGCCATGATGATCAAAATTTAAGTAAGAATTAACTTCGTACCTTCAACAAAACTGTTGTATAATCAACTAAATTTGTCTGTTTCTAAATGGACTTTGTTTGCTTAAAGTTTCTTCTAAAGTTTCCCCTTATTCACGTATTGTTTTCGGTTCCTGTTCCTACTACAATATATTGAATAAATCTTCCAGTCCTTATTCTCGAATACATCAAAAACCTTCAGAAAAGGTTCTGTGGTCTAGTTGGTTATGGCATATGCTTAACACGCATAACGTCCCCAGTTCGATCCTGGGCAGAATCATTTTCTTTTTTTTTTTCATGTTTTTTTTTGGCATGCACATTCGTCTTCCTACTTCTCTTCCCCTACTTGGATTTAGTTTAAGCAGTCTTCCAACAACTAACGCTTCACATACTGAAGAGATAAAAAGTTATATGGCAAAGTCTGTACACATTAATACATTCTATAAAACTTTAAACTCTAAACACTTTGAATTTGATCGAATTCCTTGCGCAAGTTTTTAAACAATTTTTTACTCTTACCAATCTTGTGGCGCTGGAACAATCTCTTGTACACCCTAATAAGTCGAGAAAACCAGAATTTTTCTCCCAATACCATAAGCACAAAGTTTAAGCCAGCTAAAAGTAAGATGTAATAGTAAAAGTAGCTGCCAAGTCTTGTCAATTGCATCAAATCACCAAAGCTTGAATCCACATTGACGAAAAATAGCGCAGTAGATAAGGCTAACGCAGCAACCAAGTTCAATAAAAATGGAACATTCTTTTGAATAGGTGCACGGTATGGAGGGCCCTGGTTTAAGATCACCGCAATCAAGATGTACTGGAAGTTGGAAAACAAAAATAGAACTGTATTGTCAGAAGACAGAACTTCGTCGTCGTTTCCAGGAACTGGCTTGATGTACCAAGGTTCTTTTTTCACCCACAGCCAAGTGAGCATTTGGAATAACAATAGAAGTAAAATATTGCAAACCAAAGGTATAAGTATCTTTGGTGACACCAAATTTGCCGTAGGTCTCTTTAGTGCCAATTTAGGATACGGCTTTGACCAAGACATGAAAATTGCCAAGGGCAAGATCAAAAACAAGTCAATGTACAAAAATTGAAAATCACCCAAATTGGTCCCTGTTTTGTAAAGTATAGTGACAGTGATAAATTGAATCGCTGAGTATAGTGACATATATTCAAAGCACGAAAAACTCGTGACCAAGCTTGATCTTCCTTCTTTGATAATATCGAGGACACATGAAATCTCAAATATCCGGGACGTGAAGGGCGCTGCAACTGACGCCTCAGCTTCAGAAAGGGAAATACCCACATCTGCAGCCTTCAAGGCCCCACAATCATTAGCACCATCACCACAAAATCCAACAGTGTAATCGATTTTTTGAAGTTGCTCGACTAATTCATGTTTTTCATCCGGCGACATTCTTGCAAATATATCACACTTCATCAACACATTTTGGTTCAAATTGACGTCTTTGAGCTCGGTCAATAAAATTCTGAATATATCACCCGTAATTGCCAACCTGTAATTGCTGTCTTGTCTTATATCAGCCGGCTTGAGTGTTTCCGGGTCTAACCTGTTTTCGGGATCATTAACGTCCTGCCACGAAATATACTGCTGATCATCCTTCGCTTCAATCAATGGAACGTAAATAATACATTTGCTGTCAGGAACTAATTTTGATTCCTTTGCAACGCTGATTGCAGTTAAAATGTTATCACCTGTACACATAATAGTACGAATTTGCGCATCGTTCAACTTTTCTAAAGTTGGCGCCGTGGAGAGTTTGAGTTTGTTCTCAAAAATGATGAATCCGGCAAATGTCAAGCTGGACTCGGCATCAGATCTCTCGAGGTTGCAGCTGTCAACATGCTTGTATGCACATGCTATGACCCTAAATCCCAAGTGTGTATAATGATGAAGTAGCTCTTCATAGTTGGATGGGATGGACTCCGGAACGCATATCTCGATCATTACTTCCGGGGCACCTTTAGTAAACACGTATTTCTTCTTATCCGATTTACAAATCACAGACATTCTTCTCAAAGGCGCCAAGAATTCAAACTCCCTTTCTATAATATGGGAGTTGGCTTTGCCCGAAACCACTGGCTTTCCTGAATTGCGATCTTCTCCGTAATCCCATTTTGTAAACTCAAACATCTTCACGTCCAAAGGATCGCCCATTAGTTCGTCGTCTATATGTCTTAGGGAATGACAGGACGCCATACACCGCAATAGAAACTCCCCGTTATTCGTTTCATAGCCAGAGCCTCGGGTTAGATTTAGAAGCAGTACATCAGTTACCAAGTCTTCGAATACGATTTCTTTTCTTCCTTTTGCGTTATTGGCCAAATGGACTCCCAATACATCTAACCCATCTTCGGTCAAAGTGCCTGTTTTATCAAAGCAAATGACATCTAATTTCCCTCCTATGTTCACACGAGTGGGCGCGATACAGTATATATTGAGCTTTTTGAGTCTTGCAATGGCAAAAGTGGTTCCAATAGTCAAGGTTGCCGGTAAAGCTGGAGGTACCACTATTGTGATTATATCCAATGCCCTCAATATCATTAGTCTTTTACTTAGACCAAGTTTTATAAAGTTGTAGGTTGAGTAAGTAAATCCCAATGCAGCAATTAATGTCATAAATCCAATATACTTGAAAGAGTCTCTGTAAAACTTGAAGCCTGTGGGTTTAGGGAACATCATTGATCGAACTAGAGACCCTTTGGTTGTACTGAATCCTGTTTTCAACGCCATTGCAATAACCGGTTCATCATTGGTCGACTTCATTTTTAGTAATTTAGTTCCATTGAATAAATACGACCGCGACAAGTTGGGGTCAATAAAATTCTGCGGTAAAAGTTTGACAACGTCCTTTGTAGCTTGTGCCTTAGTAACTGGCACACTCTCACCTGTCAACATCGATTCGTTCAAAACACACTCTCCGTTGACAAGTAGAGCATCACAAGGAATCACGCTCAAAGAGGGATCTATTTCAAAAATATCACCGGGTACCAAATCGACAGAGTCAATTTGTTTCCAAAATCCATTTCTCCAAACTCTCACCTCGCATTCGAATTTCGAAATCTGTTGCAATCTCTTCATAGTAGACTTGGTTTCAATCAATGAGTTGACAATTGAGACCATGGAAATGATGAATATGCACGAGGCATAGTAGTAATAGTCGTCTGCAAGCCACAAGAAGATCGAAAATATTTGAAATATGTAGAATGGATGCAAAACCTCATCTGCAAGCAACTGAAAGGTTGTCTTTTCATCAATCTCTATCTTGTTTGAGTCAAAAATCTCAAGTCTCTGCTCTTGAAGAGATTGTGAAATTCCTTCTTTGATCGTCTTTAAACTCAACCAGCGTATATCGTACCAGTTGGAATTTGTTCGAAAAATGTCTTCCGTGGGATCATAAAAAAATTTAATGTATCGGTAAATAAATGAGTGAACGTAAGGTACCACTGGGTCACTTTGTGCTTTTTCTTCATGTATGGTCAAAAAATTTGAAAGTCTTTCGTCGAATCGTTGTTTGTCAATGTCTATAATCTGAAGCTCACCAAATTCATTCTCAATGACGCACCAATCCGATAACCCAAGTGGACACTTTGTGCTCATAAAGTTGACTCTATATCTGGGAAACCATCTTAATATTAAAAACCCCACCCCAAAGGTGCTGATGCATAAGATGTAGTACAAATACTTCTTCCACCAACAGTTGCGGTAACCAGCAATACCGACGACAATGTCCTCTTCTGCTAAGTAATATCTCTGGGAGTGAAGCTTGGTGGGGTATTGTTGGTAGAAGTCCTCGTTGATTTGGTTTGTTTCGTCGCCGTTTTCATTGAACAGATCTGATTTGTCACTACTTGCATCTGAATCACGACGATTCCGTCGTTCAAATTCCACTGACCCATAATCAGGTGCTTCAGGACTTTGCATCCTGCCTGAATAGGCGTCAGCAAAAACTGCTTCTGCTTGCGATGATTCTTCATCACCAACAAATTTGTCTATTGAATAATCCCAATTTGTATTATAATCAACAGGGTCTTCCGGGTTCTCTATTGTAGATCCACCTTGGGCCATTTCAATCTCATCGGGAGAAAAGAATCGAAATTGTGACTGAGTCTCGTCAGATCTTCTTGATGCAGCGGAATTTACTGACCTCAAATCGATGTTGTTTTCATCTGCGCTAAGCAACGGCGACGTTTCTCGAGACACTAATGACTCTCTTCTGTTACCAAAGCTGTGGGGGTAGTGCAAAGAAGTAATGGACGACGGAATAACTTCGGATGCTGCACCCGAAAACATCTCATAGTTGTTATCCTCCAAGATGTGACTTGCTGAAGAATCCATGGATGTTATCGAGTTGGTACGGGACCGCGGAAGTCTCCGATCATAGGACGAAGATCTGCGGCTTCTAGGTATCGGCCGCTGGGTTTTGGTCATTGTAACGAAGCAATTAGTTAGCTATGGGGTTAGGGTCTTTTGAATTGGGGTTAGAGAATACGAAAAAAATAAAAATTCATATTTTGTAGATGAAATAGCAAGCCAAAAAGAGGATGAAGTGAAGTAATGGAATACGTGAAATGTCTTTAAACTGAAACCACATTGTTTAGTCTACAATGCTTCTGTTGTGACTAGGTCCATGTATAATCTCCCCTTCAAAAGCCAGGTGTGGTACGTAGGAGCTTCAAAAGACAGCCATGTAATGGGACATTTGCTCTCTGGCTTCAATCATTTATTTGTCCTGCATGAAAAAAATTAGGAAAGCTCTCTCTATCTTTCTCTAAAGGAACCGAAACATCAACAGTAGAAGCACAGAACACAGGAATCCCAAAGATGGCTTTGAAATTAAAACTCAAGGTCCAGCCAATGGACAGTTTGAGCGGTCCACTGCCTCGGAATGAGCAGAGTAATCAGAAGCCGCCTAGTTTAAAAATTAAAGCACCGCAGGCGAGTTCGTCAAAAAGAGCTGCAGAAGTAAAAGAGCCAAATGAAGAGGAGAGGCCAAAGAGACTAAAGCTAAGCTTATCGAAGAGTAAAACCAAAGTTTCTGGCAGTACAACCAAACCCAAGTTTGTTCCTCGAGTGAGGATAAAACCCACGAGAATACCTGGTGAAGGGTACGATTCTGAAGCCCCTGATTTGGAAGATGACCCCTTAATTGAACAAGGGATAGTTTTAAGATTTTTAAACGACATAAACCTTGAGTTTGTACACAATGCCGTTGAATCGGGTGATTTAACAGGACTCAATGTGAAATGGATTACAAGAGACAAGGCAGTTGTGAATGTTAACGGCACCCTTTATTCGGCAAGGCTAATTGATTTGCCAACAATGATTGAGGTTTACAAAACGGTTGACAGAAAGAATATACTCAAGAATTTAGATGTATCGCAGGTATTACTTGTTTTGCACACGATAAATCCCACACAGTTGAATACAGAAAAGGATTTTGAAGTACCTGATGACTATCTATTCAAACACCCATTCTATGAGTATGTCAAAAACCACGAGGTACCTCGGAAACGGTCGGTATGTCGAAATGGAGTGCTAGAACCATTTAGGGATGTCTATCGTAGGTTTCGGCCCACACGAGCTGATCACAGAGTGATCCAGGATATTGAAGATAGGGTTGACTCTTTGATAAAACTAGACAACGAGGCTGAAGAAAGCCATTTTGAGTTCGTGGATCCACTGTCATATCCCAAATATGGACACTCTAGTAACACACCTTCTGCAGTGGCATCGCCTTATCCTGAGCATTTGGGTCAAAAACTAGACAAACCATTGGGGACTAACATCGGAGATGCTGAAGACTCAAACGATCTTCGTGGTATTACACACACAGGCAATAATAACATCGGTGGATTAGGAGAAGAAGAGGATGAAGAATTGAATCCCGAAGACGATTTTGAAGTTAATCTTGAAGAAGAATTGAATAAAGTGCTTGGTGGCAAGGACTCATCAAGCGATCAGCAAGTAGTAACAGTATCCCCACTGATGGCAGAAATGCTACAAGAAAAAGGTGCACTAATGGAAGGCTCGATAAGTGGAGAAGATGAAGACGACGACGCACTATTGTTTGGGGAAATAGAAGATGAAGAAAATGAAGGCGACGAGGATGATAAGGATGGGGAAGAGGAGGGAGAGAATGAAGAGAATGAAGAGAATGAAGAGAATGAAGAGAATGAAGAGGATGAAGAGGACGACGATGATGACGATGATGACGAAGAGGACGAAGATGAGGATGAGGACGAAGATGAAGACAGTGAGCAGAGGAAGGGAAACCCATTGCATTCCAAATTACTAGAGGAGGAAATTACAGAATTGGAGAAAGCAGTAGAGAAACATAAAAAGAACCTTTCTTCCACAAGCAACACAATGACAAAAATGAAACTTCAGAGTAATATTTCGTCGCTTAAAGCCTCATTGGATCAGAAAAAGAGGGATTTACTGAAGTCTATTGAAAACGAAGAGAGTTTGCAGAACAGTTCAAGCACTGGCCAATTGAACACAGAGACAAGGTCCAATGCACGAGAAGGTGAAAATGAAGAAGCTATGGAAGAGGCAGAGGATGAAGATGATGCAGACGAAGGGGGAGCTCTGGATAATCAAGCAAATGACAGTGCTGACTCCATAGATGATCTTTTTTGATAAATAAATGAAACATAAATTGGGTAGCGACAATTGTAATACCATTGTTTTGTGTGCTCTTTTTCTTTTTTTCAAAATTTTTTTAAATTTAAAAAAATTTAAAAAACTTGTTTTTTTTGTTCTACACACACACACACACACATACATTTGTCAATCAAAAGATTTTGTGAGGTAAACTCATCGTGAGCAGAGAAAAGCAGCATTTCCCTTTTGCATTACTTTGTTGGACTAGTATATTGACTCTCCCCCCTTTTATTACAGCAGCGGGATATACATATCTACCTATATATCTACCCACCTACTCACCTACCCACTTACCCACTTACCGATGTCAACAAATTCAATCAAGTTACTAGCTAGTGATGTCCACCGTGGCCTTGCGGAATTAGTGTCCAAAAGATTGGGACTTCAAATCACTCCCAGTGAATTGAAACGAGAATCTACTGGAGAGGTTCAATTCTCTATTGGAGAGTCAGTGAGAGATGAGGACATATTTATTATCTGCCAAATTGGGTCAGGGGTAGTCAATGATCGTGTCATAGAGTTGATGATTATGATTAATGCCTGTAAAACAGCAAGTGCAAGGAGAATAACGGTGATTCTTCCCAACTTCCCCTATGCCAGACAGGACAGGAAAGACAAATCTCGAGCACCAATCACTGCTAAATTAATGGCAGACATGCTCACAACTGCAGGATGCGACCATGTCATTACAATGGATTTACATGCGTCGCAGATTCAAGGCTTTTTCGATGTTCCCGTCGACAATTTGTATGCTGAGCCTAGTGTAGTGAGATACATTAAGGAGACAATCGATTACAAAGATGCAATCATAATATCTCCCGATGCCGGTGGTGCTAAAAGAGCTGCAGGTTTAGCGGACAGACTTGATTTGAATTTTGCCTTAATTCACAAGGAGAGGGCGAGGGCAAATGAGGTGTCAAGGATGGTTTTAGTGGGAGATGTGACTAACAAAATCTGTGTAATTGTCGATGATATGGCAGACACGTGTGGCACCTTGGCCAAGGCAGCGGAAGTTTTGCTAGATAACAACGCCCAAGAAGTGATTGCTATTGTGACACACGGAATCTTGTCAGGAAATGCCATAAAAAATATAAACAACTCCAAATTGAAAAAAGTTGTTTGTACCAACACCGTACCGTTCGAAGAGAAATTGAAGTTGTCTAATAAGTTGGACACCATTGATGTCTCTGCAGTGATTGCAGAAGCTATCAGAAGATTACACAACGGTGAAAGCATCTCTTATTTATTCAAGAATGCTCCATTGTGAGTTATTATTAGGAGTCTCTTATTTTTCTTATAAACCAGCCTAAATTAGCCAGAGGTTGTTTCATTTACTTCAAATAAAAACGTGATACACTTGTCTGATTATCTGTCCTCTACTTTCAACCCCTCCTTCCATTACAGACTCTGGACGTCATATCCTGCATAATAACAGCCTCTTTTTTGCTTTTTCTCTGAAGACGCTTTTTGTATTTTGATTTTTTTTTTTCGTTTTCCAGTTTATTTCAGAAAACAACAGTACAGTTTAAGTATTACCTGCAAACGCATTTTATCTAAGCATGGCGGGGTCAAAACAGTATGTCAAGTCTAATCAGCTCAGTATCATCAAGCATTTCTAACATCTCATATGATAGCCACACTAAAATCAAGGCATGTCTTTTCGGTACGTTTATTTTCAATAGCTTTGCAAAAATTCTTTGACGCGCTTGGACTAACCCACACAAAAAGACATGGATGGAACTATTCTCAATACAGAAGACATATACACAGAAGCTGCCTCCGAGCTTCTCGCCAAGTATGGGAAGGGTCCCATGACCTGGGACGTTAAAATAAAACTTCAGGGAAGACCTGGTTTAGAAGCTACCAAGATAATGGTTGAAGAATACAAGTTACCGTTAACTCCAGAACAGTTTGCCCAAGAAGCCGTTGTGATTCAAGCCAATAAATGGCACAAAGCCAGGTTCCTACCAGGAGCTTTGGAGCTATTGGAAGATCTCTACAAAAAGAATATTCCAATAGCATTAGGAACAAGCTCCAACACAGTCAATTATGACAGAAAAACCAAGCATCTTCAGCACGGCTTTGAGCTTTTTGAGGGGCATATTGTAACTGGTGACGACCCAAGGATCCCAACAGGACGAGGAAAACCCCACCCAGACATATGGTTTGCATGTTTAGCCAGCCTCAACAAGGAGCGTGCCCAACAAGGTTTGGAACCTTTGGAAATCGAAGAGTGTCTCATTTTCGAGGACGGAATACCGGGTGTGCATTCAGGCATAGCTGCAAATGCCCACGTCATCTGGATACCCGATCCAAACGCGTTATCTATTCTAGATGGGAAGGAGAAGGACATCATTGGAACAAGGGGAGAAATCCTTTCTAATTTGACAGAATTTGATTTGGAAAAATATTATCTCTGATATCGATTTTAGAACAGCATATAGATTAGATTGGTAGTAAAGCTTTACGCTTACTTTGAAGATTGTTGACAGTTTTAGAGAAGAAATACATATAAAAATGATTGTTGTAGATTGGTGTGGCTTATCCTTGTTCATTGTTTGCATTTAAATACACACAGAGCGGTTTGAATTATCCAGTCGACAATGGACAACTTGCAATCAGTTGTAGATAAATCAAAAGTTGTATAAAGCACTGTGTTGTAGTCGACAAAAGGACAAAACAAAGATAAAAAATTAAAAAAAAAAAGGCAACTTGGCTTTGTCATTTGCACGACAATTGTAAACCTCATCATTTCACCCCCAAGCTATGAGACAAGGCGTACATATTCTCATCTAAACATAGCATGATTGGTAACGATTCCTACCATATTATATTTGATTTTCTCCCATCAACTAATTTGAGTTCAGACTATCGATATTCAGACATAAGTATAACGGACATTGACATTAAGCCATCAACAGATCTGAAGATGATACCCGAAGCAATAGAACCAATCAAGGCTCAGCTGATTGGAGAGGGTGTGATTAGACTATACCGTGAATTTGAAGATGATGATTTATCTGATGGAGTGCTCGGGAAGAGGAAGATTACGACCAACCCCGGTGATAACACCATGGTTGCAATTTTGGCAATACCCACTTATTTCACTGCAACAGACCTATTAGGGTACATAGGGGAATCATTCATTTGTTCAATTTCACACATCAGAATTCTAAAAAGTGATAAACAGAATAGATTTTTAGTATTGATCAAGTTTCGAGACATCGTAAAGGCAGCAGAATTTCAATTTCAATTTGATGGCAAAAGTTTCAACTCCATGGAGCCCGAAACGTCTCATGTCATTTTTGTGGACTCTGTTCAAATTCACTACCAACAGCGTCACGAGGGGATGCAATCATTGATTCCGTTCCTCCTTTCCGATCCGTTCACATCACCTCCTGAAAATGATCATACCTGCCCAACCAAGGATGCTATTGCAACAACCAATAATACCATTATTGAGCTTCCGACATGTCCAGTGTGCCTTGAGAAAATGGATTCTGCTGTCACTGGCCTACTTACTATTCCATGCCAGCATACGTTCCACTGTCAATGTCTATCTAAATGGCGGGACGATTCATGTCCTGTTTGTCGATACTCACATAATTTGACTAATTTAGCTAGCTTGAACCATGATAGGAGGTTACAAAATCTAAATCTAAGAGAACCAATGCTGCAGAGCAATGTACTGCAGGCCCCTTCTCCTTCCGCAAACGACGAGAATGAAGTTTGCATGGACTGTCAGGAGAGTTCGAATCTATGGATTTGCTTGATATGTGGAAATGTAGGTTGCAGCAGGTATGCGCCTGAGCAACATTCACTAAAACACTTTGTCACAACAGGTCACTGTTTTGCTATGGAGATAAATACAAGTCGGGTGTGGGATTATGCAGGTGATAACTATGTGCATCGCTTAGTAACAAATGAATCTGATGGTAAATTGGTTGAGCTTCCTGACAAGGGCGATCCAAAGGGGACAAAGAGTTTGGGTAATAACATTGATAAGATTGATGCAGTTGGATTTGAATACTCTCAGTTATTAATCAGCCAGCTTGCAAGCCAACGAGAATACTACGAGGAGCTTTTGGATCAACAGGCAATAACATTGACATCGTTATCCAAATCTAGAAAGGGTTCCACTTTCGCGTCAAGCCTGAATCTGGACACCATGAAAGAGTTTGAGATTAAAATCGAAGATTTGTCTAGTAAAGTAGCGGATCTTACAACTTCGGTTGTACCATCGTTGAAGGAGAAAGTCCAAAATAAGGAGGAGAAGATTCACAACTTGAGCAAACAGCTAAGTTCAGCCAATGCATTAAATGAAGCGTTTTCAAAAAAAATTGAACACGTAATGCAGATGAATGATGAGCTCAAGCATAGTGTTGAGGAACTTAAAAACCAAAATAAGGATCTAAATGAACAAGTAAGAGACCTAATGTTTTTCCTCGATAGCCAGGAAAAGCTTCAAAACGAGTCAAATGACGTGAAGCAAGGTACTGTGGTTGTCAAGCAAACATCGGCATCATCGAAAAAGAAGAAGAAAAAGAAATAAATATACGCTTAGTAAGAGGTCTGATGACGATCTAGACCTAAAGGCGGTTCAGATGCCAGACCATGCAAGGAATATTAATTTCCTAAAATCGTGTGTACACCTCGAATTATTTTATTAAAACTATTACTGCGATATTTCATTTTTGTGTTTATTCTATCAAAATGTTTAAATTAATTAGATGGAAACCAGTCAAAGGATTCTAAGAGGCAGCATAACTAAAATCGGAATTATCCCCAATGCTTTTATTTATTTATTTATTTATTTATTTTTTTTTCAAACAAGATACACCACCCTACACAACTGATTCATTGAAAAGAAATTCTATGATATGCCAATTTAATTTTAATGAAATAAAAAGGATTATAAGCAAAAGGAAAAAAAAAGTACATAAATGTGATGATATGCTTTAAATCTCATAAATGATCTCCTGTTGGTCAACTTTTCAACCAAATGGCAAGTTATCAGGTTTCAATGAATAACGGTATTTGCCAGAATCCGGGACCTGTGCCTAGACTTCCATCATTTCGACAATTAAATGAGACGTTGAAGGATATAGAGTTTGTTTCGCCAACACAGAGAGTTGTACAGCATCCATCTTCAATCAGAAATCTGGCGTTATTTGAGGATAGCCAGCCTGCCCCACAGAATTCATCAATAGATACAAGCTCGAATGGGCGCTCATTTGGCAAAGGTCAAGAATACATGTATGGAACTCCTATTTACGGCAGACATGAAAGCTATCCCAATCAGTACTACACCTCGAAGAACGAAGTAAGTCTACCATCGTACTCCACTTCGCCCTCGTCGATCGAAAGCTTGGATATATCGAAAACGGAACAGGATAGGGGCCAACCACACAAAGAGAACGACTACAAATTCGTGTCTGAGTTGATTAAATTTTTTACATATTTCGAGCTGAAGTGTAAGGAAATCAATGTTTTGCTGTACTACACCTATGAAAACACTGGACACACCTTTGAGAATGTTTTACAGAGAATGAAATCTGCTGAAATCGACCAGGTATTGAATAACCTTCGAAAGGTATCGGGACTATTGGAGGATGTGAAGCGGCATAAGGATAAAAAACAACTTTTGATGGGATCGAAAGTTGCAAAGGCTCAGAGTGGGAACAGTGCCAGTGCTGGTATAAAAAGAGGATTGAGTCAGCACATGTTGAACAGTTGTGCACAAAAGAAAAATCGGAGAAAGAATTTGAAGATGGAACCCTTTTTGAGTGGTGGTAATTTATTGCCAGGTAATGTTAGTACGGATCCAAATGATGCGTGCTTGTATTTTGAAAGAAAAAACCAATTTGAAGAAAGCAGGGTTGGCCCAGACTCGACTCTCAAACCAGAGGTGGTTTGTCAGCACTGCCATTCAAAGGAGACACCTGAATGGCGAAGGGGACCCGAAGGAAGTAGGACTTTGTGCAATGCTTGTGGATTGTTTTACTCCAAGTTGATAAAGAAATACGGTTTGCATGAGGCTGATAAAATCATGCTCGAGCGGAAGCAAACAGGGGCTGTGAATGATAGAAGGATATTTTGATGCTGCTCATGGGATGAAGGTTGTTTATATATATATACATATATATTCTAACAATAAGGTTATATTGATTGATCTCTCTGGCTGTATATGTTTTCTTCTTGTGTCTTATATAGAAATGCAGTTTTGTGTGTCCTTTTTCCAATTAGGTGCAGTACACTCTCATCTCATCTGGACAAAATTCTTTTTGCAAAGAGAAAACTATAAAACATTGCCCTTTTCTTATTCACACTTTAACCACAGCAGCTTCATTTGTGTCTTTACAATATGTCTGATGCTACTGACTCCAAAATAAGTAGCAACGAGTACGCTTTTCCAAGAGGAGGTGCTACTGGATTGACTCCGTTGGAGGTGAAGGAAATTTCAAACGAGGCAACCAAAGATGTATTATTTGAAGTAGCGAGTCAAAATAAAAGAACCAAGAGTGACACTGAATCAGATAAACCTCGGAAGAAGCAACGCACGAATAAGAAGAAAGGATCAAAGTTGGGTCTGTCTAATGCAGAGGATGATGCCGAGGACGAGAAGAAGACACAAGCTGAGTACTTGTCGTTTAAAAATCTAGTTCCAGGGTCATTTGCATTTGGACAAATTAAAGCAATTAACAAGTTGGATATTGCATTAGCGTTGGAAAATAGCTTGGTGGGATTTGTGCCCATCACTGCGATCAGCTCACACGTTACAGATTTGATTAAAAAATATGAAGAAGATAGCGAAGATGACGGTAGTGAAGATGATGAAGATGATGAAAATGGCGCTCTTATAAAGTCAAAATCCGAAAAAGTGTTTCCCGACTTGAAAGCTATTTTCAATGTTGGTTCATGGTTGAAAGCAAAGGTTGTTGAAACTGAGACGTCTAACAAGAAACGAATAGAGGTGAGTATTGAACCTGAAGTGGTTAACGCCAATTTAGAAAAGGAAGACTTAGTTCCGGGAAATATTTTGCTGTGCTCGGTCAAGTCTATTGAAGACCATGGTTTGATTTTGGATAGCGGAATTGAGGGGCTTTCGGCATTTGTGTCGAACAAGGAGTTAAAGAATGCTGAGATAGACCCCAATAGTCTTGGTGAAGGGTCAGTATTTACTGCCTCAGTGGTATCTAAACCCGCAGGAAGAATTATTACTGTTAAACCGGCCGCATCGACCATAAAGAAATTAACTCCAGTTACCACTATTTCATCTGTCGATGCTATACAAGTAGGAGCTATTGTGGATGCCCTTGTCAGCGATATTAATGAGTCGGGTATCTCTACAAGGGTATTTGGACTAGTTGATGGTACAATTAATTTTTCCGATGTTCAAGTGTTTAGCGTTCAAGAATTGAAGCACAAGTTTGCTATTGGAAGCACAGTCAAGGCTAGAATAATGGTGATATTGCAAAAAGGTGGTGTTCGCAAGTTGATCCTTTCATTGGTGCAGCATGTATTGCAGATGGGAAATGAAACTACCCAAACAGATGCTCTTGAGGCATTCCCTGTAGGTCACGTCTATGATGATCTGGAGGTGCTTGGATCCGATCATGAATACATTTATGCGAAGCTTGGACTGTCCACTTTTGGCCAAATCCACAATTCAAATATTGATGAAACGAAAACATTGATTGATTACAGCGTGTCTAGTAAGCACAAAGCCAGAGTAATTGGCTACAACATGGTTGAGAACTTGTACATTTTGACTTTCAAGCCTTCAACGATCGAGGCTCCTTACCTAAGTGTAAAAGATATTCCCATTGGAACACTTCTACCCAATTGTGAGATTGTTAATGTTTTGCCTGATTCCGGTGGCATTCAAGTTAAGTTTTTGGATGACTTCCATGGGTTCATTCCTCCGAGCCAAATGTCGGATGTGAAACTTGTTTACCCCGAGAGGAAATTTAGAGTCGGCTCGAAAGTTAAGGGGAGACTTTTGGCTCACAGAGGAAAGACTCCATTGGTCACAGTGAGAAAGTCATTGGTTAATTTGGAGGATGATGATATACTTTCAAACTTTGAGGAGGCAAAAATTGGCATGAAAACGAATGCCACTGTTGAAAAGTTTGTTCACGGAGGTGCCATTGTTTCATTCTTTGGATCACTTCGTGCATTTTTACCAAAAACTGAAATTTCCGAGACATTTGTCAATGATGCATCCAAATATTTAAAACTCGGTCAAGTGGTCAACGTAAAGATTTTAGATATAAACAAGGAACAAAAGCGTTTGGTGGCTACTTTGAAACAATCGAGCCAGTTGTCCACATTGCAAAAAGCCGAGATTACCAATTTGATACCTGGTACCTCTGTTGTTCAGGCAGTTGTGGTTGAAAAGAAGAATGACTCAGTGTTGATCGAGTTGGAAGGCTCAAACCTCAGAGGAGTTATTAGTGATGGACAACTTACCGACGGAAACTATGAGCAGAACAGAGCCTTGTTCAAGAAACTTGAAATTAGTTCGAAAATTGAGGTTTTGATTTTGGAAAAGGACTTGAAAGCAAGAACTGTTATAGCCACTGCCAAAAGATCTCTTATTGGGGCATCAAAGAAGAAACAATTGCCAACCGATTTTGATGATATTCAACCAAATAAAATTGTTAAAGGTTATGTCAAGTCGGTTACTAATCTAGGAATATTTGTTACTTTCACTGGAAGATTAACCGGATTGATTTTGGCGAAATATGTTTCCAAGACTGTTAATGAAGATTTGTCGAAAAGATTTTACAAGTATCAATCATTGACATGTCGGGTTTTGAGTGTTGATCTGGAAAATAAAAGATTTTTGCTCACTATTGCCGATAACAATGAAAGTACTGGGGACAGTTTGGTCAATCCCGTGGATCCAACCAAAAAGTCGATCGAAGATTATGCTCCAGGAGATTTTACAAAGGCCATTATTAAATCCGTTAAAGGTACTCAATTGAATATTCGATTAGCTGACAATTTAAACGGCCGTATTGATGCAACCCAGTGCTTTAAATCAATCAAAGATATTAGCAACTTGTCGCAGCCATTATCTGGATTTCACAAGGGTGATGAGCTCGATGTGAAAATCATAGGTGTTCATGATGCCAAGAACCATACATTTTTGCCAATAACCCACAATAAAGCTAATAAGCAAACGGTTTTGGAGTTGTCGTTGCATGATGCCAAGACACACAACAAGAACTTGAGTGATTTGAAGCTTGCTGATGTCAAAGTGGGAGACGAATTTGTTGCATTCATCAATAATGTTGATCGTGGGTTTGTCTGGGTGTCAATATCTCCATCAATCAAGGGGCGTATTTCCTTTATGGATTTATCTGACGATGGTACGATTTTCCACGATTTTGATAACAAGTATCCCACCGGTGCTGCTGTAAAGGTAAAAGTCAAGGAGGTTGATAGTGAACATCACACATTGGCCTTAACTTCAAGGAAAAACTACATTCGCAAATTTGACGATGTGGTTAAAGGAAACACTTATCCAGCACGTATTATTAAAGTCAAAGACATGTATGTATTGGTCGATCTTGGTGACAAGGTAATAGCGTCATCTTTCATTACCGATGCATTGAATGATTATTCAGATAAATTGGATCGTGCATTGCACGTCAATGAATACGTCGCGGCAAAGGTGTTGGATTTGGACGCAGACCAACAAAAGATTTCAGTTAGCTTGAGGGATGAAACTAGTTCTGATAAAACAATCAACACCTTTGAAGACTTATCTCGAGGGGACATTGTCAGAGGGTTCGTCAAAAACGTAGGTGCCAATGGTGTATATGTTTCATTAGGCAGATCGGTATTTGCATTAGTCAGGGTTTCTGATTTGAGTGATTCGTATTTAAAGGATTGGAAGAAGTTCTTCAAGCCTAATCAATCGGTTACTGGGAAAATCGTCAGTTGTAAAGAGGAAGGTAGAGTTTTGATGACTTTAAAAGAAAGCGAAGTCAATGGAGAGTTGAAAACAATGAAGACGTTTGATGATCTATCAGTTGGTGATATATTTGAAGGTTACGTAACCAAGACTACAGATTTTGGTGTATTTGTTAAATTGGATGGTACTGTAAATATAAGTGGGTTATGCCACCACTCGGAGATATCCGAAAATGATGTCAAGAATGTGATGGCATTATTTGGTGAAGGGGACCGTGTCAAGGTCAAGATATTGAAGATTGACTCAGCAAAGAAGCAGTTATCATTGGGAATGAAAGCATCGTACTTTGAAGATGCCGCTGAAGAGAGTGTCAGCGATGTTGAGATGGAAAATATCGAGGGAGAAGAAGAAGATGAAAATGAGGAGACCAGTGAAGAGAGCGAGAACGAGGATGTGATTATCGATGCCGAAGAAGAGAGCGATGATGAGGACGATGAAGAAGTAGAAGAAGAAGAGGAAGGAACGTCATTATTGGAACCTAGTGCTTTATCAACAAATGGTTTCGACTGGACTGCATCAATTCTTGATCAAACTGAAGACCACGACTCTTCCTCCGATGACGAAGATTTCATGAACAACTCCAAACGCTCTAAAGCAAAGAAATCGCGTAAACAAACCCGAGTTGAAGACAAGACCATTGATTTAAATACTCGTGCACCACAGTCGGTGGCTGATTTTGAACGATTACTAATTGGTAACCCCAACAGTTCCATCTTGTGGATGAATTATATGTCATTCAATTTGCAATTGAGTGAGGTTGATAAAGCCAGACAAATTGGTGAACGTGCTTTGGAAACAATCAATTATCGTGAAGAGCAAGAAAAGTTGAATATATGGATTGCTTTACTAAACTTGGAAAATACCTTTGGCACTGATGAGAGTTTAGATGCTGTATTCAAAAAGGCTTGTCAATATATGGATGCATTTACAATTTATCAAAAATTGGCCAGTATTTTAATTTTGAGTGAAAAGTTTGAACATGCACGTGACTTGTTTAAAGTTATGGGTAAAAAGTTTGGTCAAAGTGTCTTGACTTGGGTATTGTATGGATCATTTTTGTTGGATCAAAATTTGAATAATGAGGCTCATCAAGTGTTGGCGAAGGCTTTGCAAGTGTTGCCTAAACGTGACCATATTGAGGTTGTACGAAAGTTCGCTCAATTGGAATTTGCCAAGGGTGAGGTTGAACAAGCAAGATCCTTATTTGAAGGGTTGATTGCTGATGCACCAAAGCGTATTGATTTATGGAATGTATATATTGATCAAGAAATCAAATACGGTGGTGGTGAGAACGACAAAGGTGTTGGTGCTGGTTCTAATAAGCAGCAAATTGAAAACTTGTTTACCAGAGTGATTGAAAACAAAAGAGTATCGCGTAAACAGGCTAAATTCTTTTTCAACAAGTGGTTGGCATACGAAGAGGGTCAAGGTGACGATAAGATGGTTGGTAAGGTTAAAGCAAAAGCTATTGAATATGTGCGTGATAATGAGTAAGAAGGTAAAAGAGGTTTGGATTAGATGTCAAAAAGGCTTCAAGAAGTGAGAATAACTAAACCAAAGATTAGAGAGCCAACGCTTGAGTGGGGGGGGGGGGGGACAGTATGGCTGCGTCCTTTGTCAATTGAGCTGTTTTATAGATAGGTAATTTCATCTTTTTTTAACAATAAAAATTGAACATTAATGTATTATTTTAAACAGTAAGGAAAACTCAGGTGTTTTACTTTTCTAGTAAAGGGAGGGGAGTCCCGGAGATGGTTGGGTTAAGGGGGCTGGGGTGGAAAGGCAATGTAATGGGGTAAGAAAAAGAAACCGTATGAAGGTAAAAGCGATTGATCTAAGACATTTTACTCAAAACTGAAACCATTGGTTACGCAAAGTCTAAAAGGGAGAGTGTGGAGAGTGTGGAGAGTGTGGAGAAAGAGAGTGTGTGTGTGTCTGGTGTGAGTGAAGGTGTAAATGTTGTATATATGTATATGTATGTAATGTATATGCATATTGTCTTAATTGTAAAAGTGTTGAGATAGAGACAGAGAAAGACAAAGAATGAGAGATCTCTTTCTAAGTTGGATTTACGAATGAATGAAAAGGGAATGAAGTAATAGAATGACTAAAGATATGTTGTTGAAATTGTCCACTCCCCCTCCTTCTTCTCACCCCCACTAACTAAAACCCAACATAAACTGTGTGCTTTTGTATATACAGTTTTCACTGTGTCTCCTTAGTTTGTTGGGTAAGACATAGGCAGACATTTGTGATTCACGCATTATATGTATATATGTATATACTCTAGATAGTATCCAAGTAAGATTCTTTAGACCTGAGTACAGGCTTACTTGAGTATTGATTAAATCTGTGTTTGTCTCACTATTGTCTAAGAAAAACAGAACAAAATATTTATCACATGCAAAAATAAAGTTAATCTTGCAAAAAAAAAGACAAAGAAAAAAATAAAATCAAAATTAAATATAGAAACAAAAAAAAAAATAGATTTTCACAAGACAAAGTAAAAATAAATTAAAAAAGAAGGTGATTTCTTTCTTCTTCAAGTTCGCCAATTGTACTTGAAATTGACCTCTCCTATTAGAAATGTCTCCCACTCAAAGTGAAGTAAAAAAAAGAAAATAGGTACAGATATTACTACATAGTACGTTTGTTGTTTCTGTGATAGAGTTATACATATAGATATCTATGTAAAAAGATCAGCTGAAATTGTGTTTGAATCTTTGGTGGAGAAGAAAGTGGGGGTAAAAGGCTTTCTCTGTCTGTCGCTATCTGTCGTTGTCTGTTTTTCGTTTCTAAACCTTTTTTTTTTTTTATTAGGACGAAAATTAAAAGAAATAAACCGTATAAAAATGCTTAAATAATTTGGTAGTGAGACACAAAAATAAAATTATAGAGAGAGTCACGTGCACAGCCTCGGAGTTTTTCAATTGTCCTTTTTATTGTGATGTCTTGTGAAAAGAAACACACACATGCACACGCAGACACACACGCAGACACACGCGCAGGCATTCAACCGAAACATTAAAAGAGTAAAGACAAAACAGATAAATTCTCACCACTCTCATTGTCCACTGATATCAAAAGAGGTGACGCCAGTTATCAGTTGTTGAAGACCATAAAGAGGAAAGACTACAAGTAGATTGTATTACACTCAAAGTAAAGCTTCACATGATAAACTTTTTTTCGCCATTTGTTTTTTGTTTTGTTTATTTTTCTTTGTTAACTTTTGTGCCAAACAAGGAGGTAAAGGAGAAGAGAAAGTCAAATAGTCGATAGGTAAACTATACTAACTCCGAGATTCTAACAAAGCAAGTGATAGATAGTCTTATGATTGATGCTTAGTTGTTGGTATCATTCTAAAATCCCTTGCTTCATATATATATATATATATATATATCTCCGTTTGGAGTTTTGCTGTATATGATATCATTTTATACACATTCATAAAATTATCACACTCATTTATTTTGAAAAGAAAAACATGCAGATGTTTTACGTACTATATTACGTAATAACAAACGTTTAACTTTTATTATTCTATTTTATTTTATTTTCTCTCTACATTTAACAATTTTTCTTTTTTCCTTTCTTTTTTATAAAGAGTCTAAGAAACGACCATATCTAGTGATAAATCCCAACACTTTTATATATATATATAAATTCATCATCATCATCATCATCATCACCACCATAGTATCAAATCTATAAGATATATATATATATATATATATATATATATATATCCCCATTTCTTCACTACACTTTGCAGAATATTTTCAACTTTTGTACTGCCCGTCTATATTTTACAGAGAGTGCACACATTTACATATACATATTCATATACAAAGTTGTACTGGTGATATATATTTTCACCTGCCCCACATTACACCTCACCACAATATAATATACTCACTTCGAGTAATCCCATCCCACCAACAGTGCTAAGCTGTAATTTCTATAAGACTAGTAGCCGAATTGGAAAAATATCAAAGTATGGACCCACACTCTTCAAAACCACCACCTTCTCCTCACAATAACAGAGATTCCACTGCTAGATCTCAACCACTAGGGGCTGATACCAACACTTCTGCTACACCAGAGTTACCACCTCCTCCGTACTCAAAGGATCCAATTATTCACAATACGTCCGCTTCTCAACCCCAACGACCAGGCTCTACAATGTCGGCATCCTCACTTTCTATTCATCACATGCTAAACTCTGAGAACCTGCACCAGCACCAGCACCAGCAACAACTGCTTCCACTACCACATGTGTCTCCTGAACAAAGAGATTTGTCAGCTGCAGAAGCACTAACGCAGTTGACTGGAAGCGCTACTCCTCCTTCTGATGCTGATACTATGGTAACTACCGACTATGATGAAGATTGCGACATGGCAGATTCAGAACATCAACAACAACAACATCATCATCACCAACAGAGACACCCCCTTGTTTCAACTGTTTCAATGGTTGCCAAACATCCCATTGTGATGAATGCAGTTAAGTACTATGAAACTTCCAAAAGAAGATACTCTTCATTTAACTATGCTGCTGGAATTGTTGAAGCTGCTGCTATACCTGTGGTTACCAGAATTGAGGACAATTTAAACACTAGACATCAAACAAAGAGGCATGTGTCATCATCATCATCATCATCACATGGTGCTGGATCGCCTCTTTCGCCAACATTGAATCAGTATAGCATGTCATCATTCGACAATAAGCAAAAGAAGCGAAGACTATCTTCATCTTCCGCAATTTCCGTTGCAACAACTTCATCACAATCTGGTATTGTACCTAGTTCAGATGCAAAGAGGAGATTGCAATTTTGTATCCATATCCTAAGGGCAGCTAATGCTACAATTAATTCAAAGATTAATTTTCTTCAGCTTAAACTCGATGAAACTGAAATGGCAATTAAAGAAAAAAGGCATCAATTACAAGCCCAACGATCAAATGAAAGCATTATTTCTGACCAAACAACTGAAAAGACAAAGGGAGAGATAGTGGGTACTGTCAAAAAGATTATCCATCTTATTCTGAACTTTCGTCCAAGTACTTTGTCGGCAACAGCGCCAACACAGGCAGCACAGGCAACACAAACAACAGAGACTACACCGGCAACACCTACAACACCAGCAGCATGCCATCCCAACACACTATCTCGTACTAGTTCCTTCAACGGAACCCCCGTACCTAGTGGTTCTACTGGAACTGCAAACACACCTACAACTACGTTAACTCCAACTTCGTCTCATGGATCGTGTTTGCAAGAATACGAATTGAAAAATACCATACGTGATATTATATTGCGTTTACCTGCATCGTTGCAACATGCTGAAAATGATGGGGGCAATGATCGTATATTTGTTTTTGCTAAGGAAAGTTTGGAGATGATTACAAAATTGACTAATGTTTTCAGTCTGCAATTGGAGCACGTTGAAACGTGGGTTAATGGAGAAGTACAAGAACCAACCAATGAAACTAGTGGTGGGGTTGCAAATGAGATAAATGATCAAGAAAAGGAAAACGATGTGGAAATGAAGGATGAAAAGAATTTCGATCTGGCTAGTACTAGATGTTCAAGTGAAGAGCCAGATGGCATAACTTCGGCGACAAAGAGAATGAGGATTGACGAGTTGATTGAAAACTGATAGTAAATGAACTTACTTTATTAGGAATCGTGTATGGTTACACTTTGCTCGATTTAAAAAAAATGGCAAAGCAGCTTTAATTTGTTAAGTACGTTTGGCTTTTGGGTCACAAGGTAAGATGGAACTTTGAGTTGATCTCAGATGTGTACATCTGGTAACTTTAATATGTAACTTATGCTTAAAAGCTTTTCTTTTTTTTTTTTAATGATCAAACTTATTTGATGTAAACCCTTTACAAAAACTGGGTCAGCATCATATCTCTCTGCTATTTACTTCTGAGCTAGTAATTGTTGCAAAGAAGTACCTTTAGTACTAGTTTGCACCTATATCTGCGTGCGGCTTTTACCTCTCTAGTTAATGATTCAAACATATACGTTTTTGCTGTGCATGTGTATCTCCATTGTAAGTTTGAAGAGACACCGAAGTAAAAGGCGCACAAAGAAATATTTGTCTTCTCTCTTTAGTCGTTTTTCATTCAATTTCAAAAAAAACAAAAGAAAAGAAAAAAAAAAAAAAACCAAAAAAAGAAAAGAAGTCTGCAATCAGAAGGAAAGAGGTCAAATATACAGAAGTCTATTTACAGTTTGTGTGTCACATACCTCTCCACCTTCTATCTACATGAAATACATCATCAACACGTACTTTCTTTAAGATCATAACAAATCGACTGTTGATTTCTTTTTCACGTTTTACAATGTCTTGGACACCCGATGCAAATGCCGTTGAACAACTCAAACATATTTTTCAAGGAACTTTGTCACCAAATAATGAAGAACGAAAATTAGCTAATGAGGCTTTAGTACAGGCCAAACAGAATTTAGAAATTGAAAATTATTTATTTACAATCTTGGTATTTGACAATACAGCCAAACCCGATGTACGTGCAGCAGCAGGTATCAACTTGAAGAATATCATTTTGAAAAACAAGTCGAATCATCTGATCGATAGAAGTTATATTACCAATAACATCATTCAAGGCTTGACAAGCCCTGATGCAATGGTGAGAAATATTACCGGGAATGTAATAACTTCGCTATTTTCGATTTATGGAATATCACAGTGGGGCACAGCCCTAACCAGTTTGTTAACTTTGGCTCATCATGGTCAAGGTGATGGAGACCATACAACAACAAGCCACCAGTTTTCTGCTCAAGAAGCAGCAATGAGCGCCCTTGCTAAAATCTGCGAGGACTCGTATTATGAACTAGATCGAGAATACAATGGCGAACGACCATTGAATTTGTTACTTCCCGAATTTTTGAAATTAATGGATCTGCCTAGTATGAAAGTCAAGGCATTTGCGGTACATTGCTTCAATCAATTTATCATTTTAGACACTCAATCGTTTCTCGTCTTGATTGACCAATTTTTAACCAAAATATTCGAATTGGCACAAGGTACTGATAGTATTGAAACATCCGATGCATACACTTTGAAGAAGAACATATGCACCGCCTTCCTTTCGATTTTGGAAACAAGACCAGATAAATTGGCACCTCATATCGATGGAATAATGAGCTATTGTTTACACGTGATACAAAAGGGCACCAATAATGAATTAAGTTTGGAAGCAGGAGAATTTTTGTTGGCATTGGCAAGTTCTAGTGACTTTAAAGCTGTCTTTACCACCGATAAATTGAAGGTTATTCTACCAGTATTGTTGGATAACATGGTGTATTCAGAGGAAGAAATGTTTCTCATGGAAGTGGCTGACAATAATGATGATGCCAATGTGGCAGATAAGGACGAAGATATCAAGCCAACCAATGCCAAGTCAAAAGACGCAAGACGAACCAATGGAACTACTAAAGGTGATGCTGCTAATATTGAGAATGGTGTAGCAATATCTGAAAACGGAGATGGGTCATATAGCAATGGTGCTGATAATGACAATGGAGATGACGATGACGACGACGATGATGATGATGAAGAAGACGATGAAGATGACATGGGTGAGTGGAGTTTGAGGAAATGCTCAGCAGCAACATTGGATGTATTGAGTGAAAACTTACCGCAAGAAGTTCTCATTTTGGCCTTGCCCATCTTACAAGAAAAAATCATGTCAACAGAATGGCCCACTAGAGAAGCAGCAATTTTAGCATTCGGTGCAATGAGCAACAGCTTTATCAATTTAGCCAGTGATAAGCTACCCCAACTTGTGCCATTCCTCGTTGATAGATTACAAGATGATCAACCAAGAGTAAGACAAATTACCTGTTGGACGTTATCAAGGTATGCAGGATGGGTAAGTCAGGAAGCACATGAAGGTGGTGAGTATGCCACTTTTTTCCAACCCACATTCCAATCGATTGTTGCTTGTGCATTGGATCCTAAAAAGATTGTCCAAGAAGCTGCTTGTTCTGCACTTTCTGCCTTTATTGAAGAGAGCGATCCGCAATTGATTGAATTTTATCTTGAACCATTACTACATCATTTTGCACAATGTTTCCAAACATACCAGCGTAAAAACTTAATCATATTGTACGATTGCGTTCAAACATTTGTGGAAAAGATGGGATACGAAAACTTATCTCGAGATCCCAAGTATGTTACCATTTTGCTTCCTCCGTTGTTACAAAGATGGGACCAGTTACTGGATGATGACACGGCGTTATGGCCACTACTTGAATGTATGGCATCGGTTGCTGCCACGTTGAAAGAGTTGTTTGCCCCCTATGCTATTCCTGTATACGACAGAGCTTTGAAGATTTTGTCAAATTGTATTCTTATGGACCAGAATTGCCAAACTGATCCATCAATAGATACACCAGAAAAGGATTTCATGGTTACTTCGTTAGATTTGATTGATGGGTTGATCCAGGGATTTGAGTTTCACTCAATTGATTTGATTCAACATCATGACAAGCCAAGTTTTGACTTGACTGATTGTTTGTTGGTTTGTTTTGAAGACTTCAATTCTGATGTTAGACAATCGGCTTATGCATTACTTGGAGATATGGCCATTTATATCATAGATACCTTGAAGCCTTATTTACATCCGATTTTCATTAGCATTGGTAATGAAATAAACAACCGAAATTCTGAGACTTTCCCCGTTTACAATAATGCTATTTGGGCACTAGGTGAGATGATTATTCGGTTGCCAGCAAAAAATACAGAAGCGTACTTGTCTAATTTAATCAATTTGTTGGTGCCAGTTCTCAATAGTACTGATACTCAAGACACGGTATTGGAGAATTGTGCTATATGCTTAGGAAGAATGGGGCTTGTTGGGGCAGAATTACTTGCACCAAGATTAATTGAATTTGTTACTCCTTGGTGCACGAGATTTGTGAACTTGGTTGATAACGAAGAAAAGCAAACAGGGTTACAAGGAATGTTGAAAGTCATTGAAGTGAATCCTGATTCTGGTTTTGGTGGATTACAAACCCAGCAAGGTAAAGTTAATCTTGCCAAATTTTTGGAAGTGTTGGCTAATTATGAAGATGCTACAAGTGAATTGCAACAACAATTTTTAAATTTAATTAATCATTACAAATCAGTATTGGGACAAGACGGATGGAATCAAGTGTTGAAATTGGTGAATCCTTCATTAAGAAATAGTTTGGATGTATAATGGCGGTGTAAATGGGAGAGGGTGGGATCTAGAGAAGAAGATGATTATAAGCAGATGACATGTGCTTGATTGAGTCAATGATTAAGTGACTAACTTTTATAATAGCTTATTGATTAGTTTATAGATATATAGGATTATAAGAAAAGTAAATAGACTTGGTTTTGAAACAAATCAACAAAAAACAAAATTAAGCGGAAAAGCACACTGACTGCGTGAAACAGGTTGGAATCTTTATCAAATATTGGGTTATCGTTGGCCAAACCTCATATAAAGACAAAATTTATGAAGAGCTCAGTCTATTATCATGTGTTTTGGTATATATATTGAGCGGTGTCATCCTTTTTTGCTTTTCAATTCATGCTATGTATTATTTTTTTAATATGACATCAAATTCAATCAACCTCTCACTCTATCTCTCTCTGTGTACCTCTCTCTGTGTACCTCTCTCTGTGTCTCTCTGCCTCTCTATCTTATTGTATCGCTCCTTGTGCACACTTGCAAGTCAATATAATTAAGGGCACTAGCATCAACAATATAAAACACGAAGGTTGTAAATAACAAAGCAAAACCTTCCCCAGCAGTTAGGTCAATCAATATTAGGAAACTTTTGACTCATTCGGAACTTCTTTGGCCTTGCAAAGCAACCTAATTATAACTGCAGTAGCTATTTCTCTATCCCAATATCCTTCTCTTTTGTAGACAAGTACTCCTTGACCGCATCGCCCCAAGACTCCCTTTTCTTATAATATGACACATCCAGTGGCAATAAATCGATACCTCGAATTAACTCTTTGCCCAAGTTTTCTTCATTTTTAATCTTTTCCAAGCTAGTTAAATATGTTCGAACCGTCATTACAACAGCACCGGTTAGTGCTATTCTGGTTAACACTTGTCTTTCACATCTCAAAAAGCATCCATTGGCAAAATCAATATCTTCGACTGATAACTTCTTTATCACCTCGCCCTTTCGTGCATGATTCGCCAATGTAAAGTAATCACCATGAGTTTGTATTGACCAATTATGCCTTACCCATAAATCAGTTTGCTTCAAATTATTGAAAAACTTGTGCATGGGGCTATGTAACCTTGGCTTGTATTGTGGTACTAAGTCGTGGATGTAGGAAATTGGTTTATTGAACAAGATACTGGGGTCAAACCCAGCAGGAAACCCCACAATTGATGATCGCAAAATATACTCTTGTTCTTTGTCATTTGGATCATCCTTCAACAACAATACGAAATCCTCTTCCATGTTGGACCCAATATTGAGCAATATCTCATAGGATGGTAATTTGCTCGCATCTTTGCTAAATCTCAATCCATTGATTTTGTTTTCAATCATTCTAGTCTTGGGATCCAATACGAAGTACTGAGGAAACCTTTGTAGGTAAAAATCAAAAATCACTTCATAAAGCTCTTGTAGTGCTTTTGTTGACTTGGAATCCTCAAAAATGTGCATTGTTTGTTTTGGGTTCACCTTGAGCGATTGTGCCTTTAATGTAGTCACTTTATGATAAGTGTTTTCAATCAACAACCAGTCACTAGGAGTATTTGATATGTCCTTGACTCCAATTTTGGGATTAAAGTTTCGTTTACCAACGAATGGGCGTATTGGTAGTGGCTGTTGCTCTTGCCATTTGAAATCTGGATCTATTGGTGTCACTTTTGCAATGAGTGGGTGATGGCGCCTCTCTGGGTTATGAATCAAATATGCCGCTGTTAATGATAGGACAAGTACTACTGCAATAATCACTTGTAACTCGGACATCTTTCTGAAATACTAGGGAAAAAATGGTTTCCTTAAAAAACATAATATGTTGGAACTTTTGTTGGCTTATCAATATATTATTTACTTTATCTTTGTTGTTCGGGTTAAAGTTGCGTTATATTTTTTTAGACGCAAATTATCTCTCCGCATCTGTCGCGCATTTCACAAAAGTCCTTTTAATTTTAATCGAGTTGCGTATAAAGTGCAATACAAGATGGAGTAAGATCGAAAAATACTGTTTACCCAAATTCCAATTAAAATTTCACTGTATATCAAGTTAAACCGGTTGTTAAAATAAAGTATGCTTAGTTAGATCCCTGAATGGTGCTATTTGGTGGGATTTCCAGGTATTGAAAAGGTTAAATGCACCTCAGAACCATATCAGAAGTATCATCATGAAGTAACTTTTGTTGCAAACCAAGCTAAAATTGAGGACTAAAAGTTGACAACCAATGGATAAATGAGTTACAACATAAAAGATTCTTCCTTATAGTATGTGAGAATTGTATAGAATTTGTCAATAAAATAACTTAAAATTGAAAAGAGAACCACAACAAAGTAAACCACTAAAGGAAAGCAGCATGTAGAGGCATCAAAAGGGATTTGACAGTGAAATAACTGCAAAAGTGGATCAAAATTGTAGTTTTATTATTTATAATGACATATTAACTACTCTTATCCAAGTCGTCATATAAGACCTCATTGACCAAAGTTATTGGAAGATCCCACACTCCACTTGGAGCTTGATGTATGTAATCCTTTATGACTTGGTTACTCTCTCTGCCACTCTCATTGGGAAACTGTGTATGTTCGTCTATAAACGTATTGACATCATCCAAATCTAAAGTCAACACCTCGGTATTGTATAGTGCTAGGAACCAGTAGATAAACAACATCAACATTAGCGAATAGCTGGGGATAGCAATGCTCCAATATTTATCTGGGTAGTAATCAATGGACAATTTATGTAGTGTTGCTGGTGGTACCAATGTCCACGTAATATATAAAAAAAGGACCAATGAACTCAACACATATATGGTAAACCCTCGATATTCCGCTTGAGACAGTTTAATATTTGAAACAGTGATATCTGATTCCCTTGCTAACTGATCTTCGTTGTTAACGCTTACGTTGTGGTCCATATCTTCTTGTTGTTCTTGTTCTTGTTCTTGTTCTTCTTCTTCTTCTTCTTCAGAAGACTCCTGGTCTAATCTTCGTAGTATAGGTTTTGGTGAGGGGGACCTCAATGCTTGTGATGAACGTGACTTTAGATCTAGAAAGGACATATCAATAAGGAAAGATAGATGTGTATGGGGGTATGTATATATATATATATATATATATATGTATATATTAGTGAAGAGAAATATCTCTACATAATATTATATTTTTTTCTCTTTCTACTTCTTTTGCTTTTTCTTTTAAACCAATTGCTTTCTTGATCCTTTGAAAAACAATTGAACAATTGCAATTTGTAAAACAGCCATACCAACCATCAAAAGCACCTCAAATACCGAAAAGTAAAAGATTCTTGATTCGGTGGATTGGACGGTAGCTTGATTCCTACTGTTTCTTGTTTTGTAAAACTGTAATGTCTTTGCCAATCCATCCAACTGAGATTCAATATTATCCACAGTAGTTCTCATATTCTCAACATGAGCCAAGGGTTTGGAATTTGGTTGATTTGGTAAGCTTGCTTTGATGTTATGTGCAGTGCTTTCATCCTCAACTTCAATTTCAAAGTCAACAACCTTTTCCAGATATGTTGACATGGTGTTTGAAAAACAAAATTCATATTCACCAGCAATTTGAGCGGGGAAAACAAAGTCACCGTGTCTCTTTTTGTTCTCTTGGTATATAACGTTTTGGTTTGGATCACTAATGACATAATCAACATCAAATGAGCCGCCACTTTGAACAGCAAAATAGTACCTGATTTGAGTCGATGGTTTTTCAGTAAACACATAGAAACATGATTTTTCTTTGGCACCCAAGATAAACGTGAAGGCAGACGCTGAAATCAATTGGGCAAACACCAAAACACAAAGTATGGACTGCACAAACATTATTGACAAGTGTGCTGTTAAATGATTGAAAAAGGACAACTAAGCTTAACCAAAAGTTTTTTTTTTCAGCCAAAAACTTTTAACAAACAAAACGGAGAGAACGAAGGGTGAACGAAAAAAAAATAAAAAAAAAACTAAGACGTGTTTCTTTTTGTCTCATTTGGAGAAGTTGAGACACTCCACATATTCCCATACAAAAGTGACAGATTTGACGTATACAAACACACACGCACACACCAACATCAGCAGAAGATGTATCCAAGTAAAAAAATGTGGAGCCATGTAGCTACATCACCACCTACTCTCAATACAGAGTTTGAACACAACAGAGTCAATTACACAAGTCTCTTTAAAAAGCTCTTTACGTCGTCATTTAACCAATATAAAATTATATACAAGTATTTACCCTTCTTCTTTACTGATCTGGATGTAAGTAGATCATCTTTCCTGCGGCATCAAATCCAATAGCCCTGTCCAACTTTCTATCTCTTCTAGATGCACCATAACGATGACCAAATTCTCCAACATTCTTCATAGTAAATCGGAAAAGCTTGTTCTCGTCTTTCCTCTTTTTACCATAAACAATGTCAATCTTTTTGTCTTCAATAGCCTGTTGTTGCTTTTGTGCTTCTTCCAAATTGAATTCAGTTAACTTCTGCAAAGTCTTGGAAGCTGGTTCAAGATGTAATATCTTGGCTGCGTCAACTGGTCCAAATGGCTCATTCTCTTCAATAGTCAAGAACCTATCGGTTAATGTCTTGTGAGGCGTTGGAATTTCTGTCAAATTATCGGCAGTGTAGCCACCTTTGAATAAAGGAAACATACGTTTCATAATTGTTGCATATGATTTCAAATCTTCGGCAATCTCCTCCTACAAAAAAAAACACAAGTTAGTATATAATTTTTCTTCTAGTTCTAATCACAAAACTTTGATGAATTTGATTTCAGGGCTTGTATTATAACCATATAGTTTTTTTTCCTGTCTTAAAGACTAATCGAATAAATATAAAGGCAATTTCATCATATCAAAATCAAAAGTTTTGGCTGATTAGTGAAAGGAAAACAAATAGGGGGGAAGCGAAGTGAACTCTGTACATACCTTTGGTTCAAAATTCTTTTCTATTGCGCTGAGCTTTAAAATAGCTTCAACTCTTTGTAAATTTATTCCATATTTATGAGCAATCTCTTGCGGGTGTAATCCATTAACTTGTTCATCTTCGACAATTTGCAGTTTTAGATGTTCTGGTATTATATATGCAGTTTTCGTGAAAATATTATGAGGGAATGGATGCAATTGAGGATTCCTTCCCGGTTCTTCAACATTTCTCATTCTTGAGTATCCCAACTTGGGACTTTCTCCAACCACTGATCTCCCATCGTTGACAATATAGTTTGGCTTGTTGTTCTGTGGTGGATAGTAATATTTGTTTTTATGGTAATCACCAGTTATACTCCTAGGACCAAGAAATTGACGAAACTCTTTAAGTAATTTTGCTTTGTCCATCAATTCTTTTCTGCTTATTCTCAATACTCGACTAGAAGTTGAAAAATGCCTCATTGTGGCACTACTGGTGATGCTGCACCCACTCATATCGATTGTAACAACTCGAACGTGTGCTTAGTTTAAAGTGTGTATAAAATATTTGAAAATTTTTCGTCTGGCTGAAGAGACTCCAACACCAGTGTCGCGAAATTCAGAAGAAGAAAAGCAAAATGACAATAATACGACATTACTACGACATTACCATTGAGATATATTACTTTATGCAGGAGTTTTAGAATGGTGTCTTTTTTTTGTTTTTGTTTTTGTTTACACAATAAAAATGATTTTTAAACATTTTCAATTTCAATTTCAATTTCAATTTTAAAACACTCTAAATACTTTAAATACTTTAAATAAAAGTTTGGTGTTTTCATTGAAATTAACTGGCATCCCACTAAGAAACTAGTCTTTCATTTCACCACATCACCTCTCACATGTTAATGCATATATAAGATGTCACTGGATATATTAGCTGGATCTATACATCAACGAGATCCATCGAGATTGTTAAACTCACAACAACGTTGCAACGCGTCGTCAACAGCCATGCAACCAAAAGAATGCACCACTCCAACAGCAACTAAAAATTCACACTCCTATCAGCAATCAAGCACAGGATTAAAGCGGACCAGGCTAAGTCAAGACTCTGATGACCCATTCAAGGATAAATCACATGCCATGGTTAAAGATGGCCAAGAAGTATCCAAGTTGCTGCTGCATCACAGCTTTAACAAGTCTTTTCTCAAGAATCAAAATTTACTAAACTCACCAAGGGTTAGATCTCAAGAAGTTCACACATCTCATACACAATTGTATCAAAGCTCATTACAAGAACAGCAGCAACAGCATCAACAGCAGCAACAGCAACAACAGCAACAACAACAACATCATCATCATCATGCTGTGTCAACATCACAACTACAGCGACCACCAGCTCCCTTTAAAGAAAAGTCACGTGCTTTAGAAGAAGAGGAGGATGATGAAGAAGATGAGGTGTCACTTGAAGTCCTTGAAGATATGCATAAACTCGAGCAGCATTTTCCCATCTTGGCTACTGACTACAGGTTGATTGATAAAATTGGCGAAGGTACTTTTTCCACTGTGTACAAAGCCGAGGCAATCAATGGGAAGATCAAACTTAATAGCGACGTTTGGAAATCACCGCCGTTAAAGAAGCACAAGAATGTGGCGGTAGAGCTGAAGAAGAAAAAGAAGAATGCTATTGTTGCATTGAAACAGATTTATGTTACATCCTCACCAAATAGAATATTCAATGAATTGAACTTGCTTTACATGCTTACTGGTAACTCAAGGGTGGCTCCATTGTTGGATGTCTTGCGCCATCAGGACCAAATATTAGCTATATTACCCTACTACCATCACTATGATTTCCGTGATTTTTTCCGTGATTTGCCAATAAAGGGTATCAAAAAGTACTTGTGGGAGCTCTTTCAATCATTGGAATATGTCCACAGTAAAGGCATTATTCATCGTGATTTGAAACCAACAAACTTTTTATATGACCCCTTTAAAGGACGTGGTGTTTTAGTTGATTTCGGATTGGCTGAAAAGCAGGCCACACCATCTTCGTTGCCCAATTCTTCTTCACCTTCGTCAACAAGCTGCCCTTGCTTGTCAAGAGATACTGTTGTTGCCAACAAATCATTATCCAAGAGAATGTATATAAAAGGTGCCTACCCCAAATCTGATAATCGTCCCCCAAGAAGAGCCAATAGAGCAGGTACAAGGGGGTTCAGAGCACCAGAAGTTTTATTCAAATGCACCAATCAGACGACCCAAATCGATGTATGGTCGGCAGGAATCATTGGCTTTTCATTGTTGACGAGAAAATTCCCCTTGTTTAATTCACCCGATGATACTGATGCCATTTTAGAATTGGCGTGGATATTTGGATATGAAAAATTGATAAAATGTGCTGAATTGCATGGATGTGGATTAGAAATTTCCATGAATCAAGTTCACAAATCTAATGGCAACTTGATCAAGATTTTGTATGATTTTTTGAAAACTGAAGTTGATAATGAAAGTATACCTGAAGATAGTGTGATTTATGATACTATGAATTTGTTTAATCCAACGGGTGAGAAATTCATAAGACCTACGTATACTGAAGAGCCTGATTTATCTCAAGAAAACCGCAATATAATGATTGATGAATTTAAGAAAGAAATGGAAGACTATAAGGATCACAAGTATTTAATGGAATTGTTGTATTCATGTTTCAAATTGGATCCGACAAAGAGGTTCACCGCGAAGGAGATACTTCGATTACCATTTTTCCATGAATTATCTCCCTTGGATAAAGATGAAGATATAGTGTTTTAGAATTGGTAGGTAAATTTGCTAAATCCCTCTAATCATTTCACTTGAATAAAAATAAATTGTCTATTAAAACAGGTGATGAAGGGGGAATTAAATAAAGTTATACAAAGATAAATAAATAATAAAAGTAAACAAAAAAAGGTTTATATCATCAGTCGTAATTGTCGTAATTAAAGTCATCAAAACTGTCTGCTTCATCAAAGGAATCACGTCTTGAACGTTTTCTTTTATTGGGTATCATGGTCAATGCATTTGATTCATCTAAACTTGACCCAGATGTACCACCTTTACTTGCTTTTCTCTCCATGTGGGTATTGTCGTTGTTGGTCTTGTTGTTGGTACTGCTACTGCTACCACCACCACTACCACTGCTGCTACTACTACTAGCAGCATCACTATTACTGCTGTTGGTGTTATTGCCACCACTATTTATCATGGCTTTATTCCATTTCTTGTTCAACTTGGTAATCAAATCGTTTTGCTCTTTGACTGATTGCATAGCTCGTAATGGAGTCATTGGTGTCGTGCCAGTAGTTGATGATTCCAAGTCATTTATTGACATCTTAGTCTCCTCCTTTGACAGGATACCTACATTCGAACTGGTAGTTAAGCTTGTCTTTGCACTCTCACTTGTACCCTTTGCTGATTTTTCCGCATCATTAAGGGATGATGATACTCTTCTCCTCAGCACCATCGTCGCTGGCAAATGGGCAAAAAACTTTGCTTCAGATAAAGCTGTGCTTAGTGGCGGAGACATGGTTATCAAATGGGTATTTAGTCCTTTAGGTGAGCCTGCGTCTGTTGTGGTGGCGCTAGTGCCACCACTGCTACTGTTACTGCTACTGTTACTGCTACTTCCAGTCAAATCAGATGCATTATTAAATTCAATTTGCAAATCTTTTGAAAATGCTAGCTTTCTCTTCAAGTAAAGAGACTGTTGGATTAAGCTCGTCGATTTCGATTTCTTAGTAGGACCCAGCGATTGACTAAAGGATGACAACGATACAGTGGGTCTCATCTCCGGGCTATCCAATGTCTTTCCAATTGCTTCATGTGACAATCCAGGGCTGGTAAACACATGATTATTGTCCTCCAACGGCGAGTCATTTTGGAGTTGCCTGCCACCGTGAATCAAAGTTTCTGAATTGGGGCTGGCATTTAGGCTGTAAATATGCGAGTTGGTATGATGGTACGACACAGGAGATGTTGGTATTGTGCTTGGTGTGGTGTACATGTCATGAAATTTAAATTTAAAATCATTTTTCAAATGTTGGAGTGAAATTTCATCTTTAAAACTGCGCCTCTTTGGTCGATGGGTTGGTTTGGCTATATTCTTTGCTGTTGATCCCGAAGTCGTAGAGCTGGTCGTAGAGCTGGTCGTAGCTCCAAGTGTAGGAGTTGTCGGCACGGTTCTCAAAGTGTCACTTGATTGTGTTGCACCACTAATGTTCATATTTGTGTCGTACTCCGACTCGTCATCAGTAAGGATGGCCGATCCTTGATTATTAACATCAGAACCGACATGTATCGTCTTCATTTTAGGGTCACCAACACTTTGGTCAAATCCATAGTCATGCCTGTTTGGATAAGAATTTCCTGCTGGTGTCATAGTAAATGTGTTGTGGTTGACATGTCCTAGTGATGCCAAACTTGCCGAGCTATCATTTCTGGCATGATATCGAAGATTCTCATCAACTGATACAATTGAATTTCGGGCACTTCGTTCGAGACTCACTATCGACATACTTCTCGTTGAGCTGGGTGTTGGTGCTACGTTTTGCACGGTATTTATATTGGCTGAAGATAGGGTTGGTGTTGATATGATGTCGTTTTTATTGTTGTTATTTGCTGAAGTAGTCGTAGTAGTCGTAGTAGCCGCTGTAGAAGTAGGTGATATCGAGTTTGCATGTGGATTGATTGGCAATGAATGTGGTGGGGGTGGAGGTGGTGGTGGTGAAAATTCAAACGCGTTATTGTTTGTAGTTGTGGATGATGATGACACTAAACCAGGAGATGCGCTATGTCTTGTCATCAATGGTGGCTGTGGCTGTTGATGAGTGTTGAAAGGTGGAAGTATATTATGTTGTAATACAGTGGGTGCTTGTGTCGCATGGGGCAGTAGTACGTTGATTGGTGGCGGTTGTGGAGTTGAGTAGGAAGAATGGTTGGAATTAAGTGAGTTCATCGATGAAGACCTCTGTCTGGTATACGTTGAAGACATTGCTTGTATATCGTAATCGTAGTTTATTTTTTGTATCGTCTTGCTGTTTAATTACTTATTCTTGAACTACTATATTTGATGATGATTCCGGTGTAAAGTAAACGCTGAATCAGTAGATCCAGCCGTGAATGTTGAAATGAGTGATTGAATTCTCTCCTTCTCTTTAACAATTTGACACAATCTATGAAAAAGAAAAAATTAAAATAAAATATACAAACAAAATCAAAATCAAAATCAAAAAAACAAGGACAACTAAATCTGATCTATGTGTGTGTATGTATGTATGTGTGTATATAAATATATGTCTATTGTAGGTGATGGGAAAAGGAATCAAGTGAGTATATGGTAGGGTATGTGGGTTGGAGAGTGTATTGTGGGTTATTTTTTTTTTTATTTATTTTTAAATAAAAATAAAATTAAAAAGGACCTTCATTCCAATGTCGCATTTTTATTTTTAGTATTCCACACCCTTTAAAGACAGAGAGAACTTTAAATATCAAAACTATGCTAGTGGTTATTCAAAATCTTTGTCATCACATCTCAGTCATGTAATCTACAGACAATCATTTCCTAACTTAAAATATAACTGGAATTACAAGAACAAACGAACAAAAGGACATTGGGTGTTTTTTTTACGACACAGATCTCTCTTCACACAGTTATAAATTTTATACTTTAAAAAAACTTTACTCTTACAAATCATTCTTCTAAATATCATTATATGAACAATGTAAGCAATGTTACCTTTATCTGAATCCTTCCCCCCTCCTTTTTTTCACCATCTATTGACCAATGGGACATTTCCTCAAATACTCAGCTTTATTCTTCAACACTCTAACTGACTTGAAAAAAATCTCTTCTGGTGACATTGCCCCCGTTGATTCAACTTGGAAAATAAAATAATCTCTTTGTCTACCCAACTTCACTTTACCATTGAATTCAGGATGTCTCAATACTTCTCTTGATACAGTATCTTTTCTAGCATCAGCAACATATGCTTCTCCTTTGTTGGAATCAATTTCAATTACACCTGGTGGGAAACACTTTTGAAATTTTTTGGCCAATTCACCAGTTATTGGCTCCTTGATATCTATCACTGGTAATAACCTATATGATGCCGTTGCCACAGGGGAAAACTTGGCATGGTCGGCTCCAATACCTAATATACAATGAGCTCTCAATGAAATTTCTTGTCCTGGTCTTAGTTTTGCCAAAAGAATGTTTGGATCAGTAGGAACAACTGGATTATCTTTATACTTTTCCAATTGACTGCCTTGTGGTTCAAATTTTAAATCCTTGGCGTAGACATTACTATTTCGATACAACTCGTTAGGATTGGTGGAGTTCTTTGGCGCATGCGGATTCTTGCTGCAAGTGACATCCAATGATAACACAATAGTATTATCTTCAGTATAACGATCATTCTCATCGACATTTTTATCCACCCAAGTCAATGAATCAGGATCAACTTTCAATGGAATTAATCCAATTCTGTGGGCCAATACTTCATCTTGTATAACTGATGTATTCATAAACGAATAAACTGTTTCAACTGCCACTGATGGAACTTCAGCTATCATTATACGACGAAACGCATTAGCTATGGATGTGTCTATGTGAATCAAGTCAAAATTAGCAACACGTTCACTAACATTGGTGATTTTAATATCAAATGAATTTTTAAACTTCTCAATGTCCCAGGAATAGTCGCCCAGAGATTGATGACCAGGGAAATCAGTGGAAGATGTATTTGTAACTCTGTTGTACTCTATCCCTACTATATTATTATCGGACATTTCTTTAGCTGTGGTGGTGGTGGTGGGTGGTTGGTGCTTCAATGACTGATGATTTAGACCAGAGAGCTATTTTAATTTTTTTTTTCAAACTCTTCTCTTGATGAGGTTGTGTGTGCTACCAAATGATTTGCCAATAAGACACTATATCCATTTGATACTACATATATATAGTTACAAGTAGATGCACCCACTATATCTATACCAATTATACTAAACTAGATACTCTCGGAAAAGCGCCAGGAAATGTCGATGAGGATGTTGATAAACCACTACTCTCTCTTGAGTTTTGTATATTCACTTTCAAATTCATCATTTTTTTGATACCATCAATTAGGTCAATAGTTAGCAATTGGACATTTCCATTATATCCATCGCCTTCGATACGAGCCTTGTCTATGACTGCCTCTTCTGTGTGGTTGCTATTACATAACTCGCTCAATGGTATTTCCTCAACTCCACCTTGCAACAGCAGTAGCAGCAGCAGCAGTAGTGGTCCAACATACCTTACAGCACTTCCATCACCCGCCCTTTCAGAACTTACTCCAGCTGCTGAATTTTCCTCTCCTCCATCATTCACTTCTTGCTCCTCTTTATCTTCATCGAATACCTCCTCATTACCAACGACGCCATGCAAATGCAAAAGAATCAACTGTATTCCAAACACAATTATATCTAACACAATCAATTCCAATCGATTAAAAGGCAACCTCTCGCCAATGAATTGAACCGTTAATCCACCATGTAAGAATCTATAATTCTCACCTCCATTGCTGCTGCCGCCACCACCACCACCACTACTACTAGGACTTTTCGAATACACACCAAATATCAAATGCATCAAACCACAATATAGATTCATAAAAATCACGCCTCGAAAACTCATCTTGATCATAGTCTTGACATGATGGGTTGAGAATGAATAATATCGACTGACGTAATCAGGGTTGATATTTAGTATGGCAAAATGAATCGTACTTCGTAGAAATAATCTAAAGAATGATAAATCGCGTAGATAAATGATGATAATGAGGACAATCTCCACAACTTGAACCGATTGCTTTAGGTCGGTCGTAAAGAATTGTTTTCGCTTAGATAGTACACTTTGATTATTGGTTATGGTTTGTTCTAAAGTGGGGTATTTCTGATCTTGAAAGTTGTGAAGTTCGTGTTCTAGATTAATTGGTTGCATTTTCGTCAATGTTTTAAATCTGTTTACAATGAACTATATTGGAGGAGCATAGATTAGCTATTGCATTAAAAATATGTAGGGACGCAGTTAATAGTCAAATGAGTGTGCTTTGGGTTATATAAACTGTAATCAACAATGATGAACTTTGGTTTGAAAGTCAGTCAAAATGGTGAACTGTGTGGTTTTCTGGGTTCTTTCTTTTTTGTTTTTTTTTCCGTGTGGGTTTGGCCACAGGCTAGATAGATCTCGTTAGAACACCACAGAGCGACCTCGATACAATGCTACGAAAATGTATTGAAAAAAAAAATTTACATCAAGAAATTTCTATATATATAGTTAGTCCATCCTAGCAGCTAATTGCTTCGTTTGTTTATAATTAATGGAGATTCCATTGGATAAACATCACTCAATGTCTCAGGCTCCTGCATTGGCAGTGGCTGCTGTAATTCATTCAAATCGACATTGTAAAGTTCTAGAATCTTACGTATATCTTGTTCGTCTCTGTTGATAGCAAAGGTACCTGTGCCTGTACTTTCAGTAGGCCCAAGGTACCTTTGCTGCTTGAATTCCGTAGCCATTTCGTCTTTCATAAGTTCGTCATCACTATCTATCAAATCCCCCAAATTGTCAAATGTCACGGACTTGACAGCTTTTTTCACTTTTGGTTGGCGATCAGTCAACTGTAATTCATTCTCCACAAATCTTTCCATTTCTTCATTCCTGTGACAATTCAATCTCGCTAATCGCTCTCCGTGAGTTTCAAGACATTCGGCAGGAACAAATCCAATCTTGCCATCCTCTTTATCCAGTTCAATATCTATTATATCTCCTTCCATAGTTTCTTCGTATCTTGCTATCCGTTCGTCTTTGGTCAACTTCTTAATTAGCCACCAATAATTATCTTCGTCATTGAGTAAATGTACTGGCTCGTCGCGTGTTAATGAACAATGCGATGGATCAGGGCCTGAGAAATCGTAAAGTCCGTATAATTTACTAGGATCTAAATCTCGAGGGGGTGATCTTGGTGGTGAAGGCGGTATTATTAAATCACTTTGGTCCTCTTCTTCTTCTTCGTGACCGTAACACTGATTGTGTTTCTCTCCATTTAAGTCATCATCCAGATGTGTTAGATCGTCATCAAATGTATCAAAGTCTTCGTCATTCTCATCATCTCCAGCCGTGTAATAGAAATCATATCTCGAGTCGTCATCGTCATCTTCCTCCTCCTCCTCCTCTTCAGCGCTACCCTCATCCGATGCATACACATCATTTATCTGCGCATCTCCTAAAATATCATCAATTTGTTTTCTATCATTAGCATAATTTTGTGATTGGTACTTCTTTTCCAACCTATTTTGAGTTAAATTAAGTGAGTTCTGCCTTATAACGGTATTGCTTCCCTTTCTATCCCTTTGTTTCGTCATTTGAGGACCCTTGTTCGTTACACTATCGTCATTATAATGGGCAGTGAATTTGGTAAATTTGCTGTATTGGCTTCTTTCTTGGAATAATTCATTGGGGTTAAAGATGCTATTATGTATTCGCTGGGTCTTGTCATTCTCATTGTAGTCGTGATGACTATCGTGGATCATGGTGTTTAACACATGACTTTGTATCCTTTGTTTGCCTAATCCCAGAAATTGGTTGTTGTGCACCACTGATGACGCATTTGTATATTGTGATGACGTTGATGACAGAATGGATAGCTTACGTTCCAACTCTTTTAATATCTTATTAGTGTCGTCAAGTATCGTCTGGTCAAATGCAAGGTCGGCGGAGTCATCATTAATGCAGTTATCTTTAGGTGTATTACTTGTTGTTGTAGCAGCAGTAGCAGTAGTAGTAGTAGCATGTGGGTCCTGCTCTCGACTCCTCTGTTCACTAGTTATGGTGCTCATATGGGGATCAAAAGTTTTAAAAGCAACTGTAACTGGAGTATCTAAGTGATAGCTAAATGTATATGAATGTCTATTGTCACTAAATAGTGTGTGGTGTGGCGTGGTGTGGTGTGGTGTGTCTGTATGACTGTATTTATGTAGTTGTTTTCTAATAATATGTTGATGGTTCAATGAAATTTTACAACAAAAGGGTTTGGATTCTTCTTTTCTTTCTCCTTTTTTGTTGTTTTGTTCTTTTCTTTTTTATATTTTTTTTCGTGTTTAGTGTTAATACTTAAAGTAAGTAAAGTAAGTAATTGTATTGTATTGTATTGTATTGTATTGTATTGTATTGTATTGTACTGTACTGTATACAATGCATTTTACGAGATTACATACCAAATATAAACCACATTCTCTGTTACAAACTAAAACTACATTACTATATTTTGTGTTGTTGTTTGTACATCAGTAGATTGATAGAAATTGGGTCCTCCCAATTGATATTTGCAGTCTTCTTCTTTTTGTTGGGACAAGACAAGCCCTTTCCAACACAAAGTAGATACAATAATTGAAGCTGTTTGTTTCTTACTAAAACTAAATAGTTTGCGTAGGCGTGTGGTCACGTCAAATGAGATGTTGGTTTGTCCAAAACAAGGCTTACGGTAACTGGTAACTGGTAACTGGTAACTCGTATGGTATAAATAGCTAATTTTTGAGGGAATCTCACTTTACTAAAGAGAAACTATAAATAGAGATATATGACAACTAGAGAGTAATTTGATTGATTGATTGACTTACAAGGCTAAATACGTAATTGATACAACAAAAATTTAAGGGGGCGATGAAGGGGGGCGACGGAAAAAAAAAAAAACAAGGGACCACGCCGCGTGGGGACCAAAACAAAACAAAAAACAAAAATATTATCAAAACATCAAAGTTGGACCAGGACCAAAAGGATTAACAGGAGAATGACTTACACTGACCGAATAAAAATGAACAGATAACATTGAAGTAGAAGCATTCGGTACATCCATCAGCTACATTCAATAACTAGTCGTTTAGTTTCATAATCTTCAACTATACATAAAGTCTGCAATAGCTAAAAGCTGAACAAGAAGAAGACTCATAATACCATGTATATATATATATATATATATACTAAAATAGACTTATCCTTTTGTTTTTTGCCATTCTCATCTTCTCATCTAGTTTAGTTTCCTTTAACAACTTCGTTAATAGCATTGGCCAAGTATTCAACGTTATTGTCATTGATTCCTGAAATACTGAATCTACCATCTTCAGTAGCATAAACACTATAATCATTTCTCAATTTGATCACTTGTTCGGGAGATAAACCAGTGTAGACAAACATACCTCTTTGTTTCAACAAATGGTCCCAGTTGTAGTTGGACTTGTCCAAGTTATCATACAACTTTTGACGAACATTGTTCAATCTTCCAACAACTTTATCCAATTCTTGCAACCATTGAGGTAATAACCCACTAGATTCATCAAATATAACTTCAACTATCTTAGATCCATGAATTGGTGGAGAAGAATAGATTGGTCTAATCAATTTCTTCAATTGTGATTCAATTGCCTTGGATTCCTTAGCATTAGGAGTGATGATTGAAATTGAACCAGTTCTTTCACCATACAACCCCATATTCTTAGCAAATGATTGACACAAGGCAAAAGTAGGGATCTTGTTTTCATTGGCCAATTTAGTCAATTTTCTAATCAATTCAATATCATTGTATGGTTTACCACTAGCAAAACCTTGGTAAGCCATATCAACAAGAGGGAAAAATTTTTTATCCTGAATGATCTGCAATACTTCATCCCATTGTTCATTGGTCAAGTCCATACCAGTAGGGTTGTGACAACAGGCATGCAACAAGACAATGGACCCCTCTGGTTGTGATTGTAATGACTTTTTCAAGTTTTCATAGTCCAAATCATTCTTGCTAGTTTCATAATAGTTGTAAAACTCTGGTTCTAAACCAGCGTCTTTGAAAACAGCAACATGATTAGCCCAAGTTGGTTTAGGAACCAAGATTTTTTTGTTGGTGTAAAATCTGTTCAAAAAGTCAGCAATAACTCTTAAAGAACCTGTACCAGAAATGGTTTGAGAAGTAACAACTCTACCGTCATCAATCAATTGTTTACCATTGACGTCTTTGTTGGAGTTGTTGAAGATGAAGTTTTTGACAATGGATTGGAAGTTTTTAGATCCAATAATGGCAGTGTATTCCTTTTCCGTCTCCTTTTGCAATAAAATTTCTTCAGCCTTTTTAACTGATGGGAAAATGATTGGTTTACCCGAGTTGTCTCTATAAGCACCAACACCCAAATTGATCTTTTTAGGATTAGAATCGTTGTTGTAAGCTTCGGTAATACCCAAGATCTTGTCAGGTGGAGCCAATGGAATGTCAGCAAATTTCAAACAAGTGGCAGAAGATGACAATGATCTTAACTGTAACAATTGTTGTTTACTCTTGATCAATTGAGTCTTGTACATGATGGTGGAAGTAAATAAGTGTTAGTACTGTGGTTTAACTACTCTTTGAGGAGAAAGAAAGAAAGAAGGTACGAAGTTGTTGTTGATGAAGAAGAATAAGAAGAAGAAAATTTTTATTTTTTTTATATTTTGTATCTCCATAAATCGGTTATATAAATTTTTCACTTTATAAAATAAACTTACTTTTGTCTCTTTGTCTCTGACGAATGGAAGTCCCTCCTTCGTTTTTGCGTCTGTTTTTATTTTTTTTTTTTCAATCAATTCACCCCGCTTTACTAAAACGGACAAACAGACAGACAGACAGACATACAGACATAAATCAATTGAAAATTCTATTTACCTAAATACTATACAGTAAACTATAATATATCTAACTTCCCCAACCCCCCGGCACAACCTGGGTATATGGACTAGTAATGCAATCTAAAGGAAGCAAAGCCAACGTTATGACTCAACAAACAACAAACACAAAAAAAGTCATATGAAAGAATAACAAAAATAACAAAAAGTAACATATAGTTTAAAAACTTTTGTTAGCTATTAACTACTAACAAAATACTACTATTGTTCCTAATTAATCCGTAACTTTACACAAAAGCAAAATACCTATCTCCTCTTCTTCCCCCCTCCACCACTCTCTACCACTACCGCTACAACTACTAATGCACTCTGGCGCACCAACACCAACAAATCGGAACAGAACACGGTACGATATAACACGACACTAGACACACGACACTAGACACACGACACTAGACACACGACACTAGACACACGACACTAGACACACGACACTAGACACACGACACCCACCCGCGTACTTTTTACAATCTTTCCGATTAACCTTACTCAGTATGACACAAGACCCAGACACGGAGAGAATACTACCATCTGTCAACAGCTCAACAATTATGTAAACGCAAAGATCTATAAAGAAGATAAAGAAGACATCTAATGCCATAAAAGAAAGAACAGAAAATGGCTCACTGTGAATACAATTCGTAGCCGATATCGGAATCATAAAAACACTGCTTCTTCTTCTTCAAACCACAAAAAAAAACCTACTCTCTAAGTCGCCAACCATCAAAAAGAACGCCACACTAAAAGTACACTTTCGTCTCCAGTCTATAAAGATTTGTAATCAGGTGAAAATATGTAATAAATGTAACCAACTCTGCATATGTACTTACAATCATACGATGCAAGGACTTTGTACCTGTATTTTCCTTTTTTTTTCTGTCTCAACATCCTCGGATTAGAGATCTCCCTGACGATACATGCATTTAGAATACATAAAAACACACACCCATTCATGCACCAAAGAGGAGTCTCTCAATAATATACCCTTGAGATGCAGGAGATTCAATCGATACATCGACAAACTGTAGGGTTAACACCTCCATAGCTTAATAGTGTTTCGGTGTGAATACGCCAGGAAAAACGTATTTCAATCAGCACTTCAACCATCCCCATATCTAAATCAGTGATTTCAGCGGACAAATTTGCAATTGGACAACACAACGAATTGCAGAGTAACTCATTTAGTCTAAAAGGGTAGAACAGAACACAACACGAGGAAAGGGTAGTCTACGGAAGTAAAGCTACAAAGCACTGGCGATACAAGTTGATTTTGTAATCAACCAATTGAGAAAAAAGACATACTTTTGACCAATCACCCAGTATCAGCCTGTTACGGCTACCAGTAATTCCAACAGTCGCACATAACATCACTGTTAAAAACATGTTGAATACAACCTTTAAACGTCTTATAAAAGTGATGAAATAGAAGGAGTGTTAAACTGGGTACTTAAAACACTTGCAAATTGATCTTGATCTAACGTGATAGCTGGCAGATTCACACACACACACACACACACACACACACACTGACGTTGATTCATTCAGGAATTTGTTTTATTTATCCTTTTCCATGTAGGTGACGATACCTATGATCTAGGATCTGACTTGATGGGGATAGTGGAGAGCACAACTCACCAAACACTGTTACTCGTTTCATTGAAAGCAGACCATGGATTGGAACAATACGGAGTTACTAAACTTTTTATATATATCTGTAAAATGATACCTCTGTTGTATCTAACTGGATTTTGTATACCTATGTAGTTAGTGTTATAAAGATATGTGATCTATCCAGTATAATATTGCAGTAGAAATCGTTTTGAAATCTCTGTATACAAATTCTATATATTGAAGACGAGAATCTTACTTCCTATTTTAAAGAGCGGCTTTGTTTGTTAGAGCTTCTGTCCTTTTATGCCTACACAGGTGTTGTCTTAGGAACCATTAAATGGACCATAAGCCCATCCTATGAAGGTCTGTGTATTTGCAACCAATTCTCTTATTGCTCACATGTCAACTTTAATGTTAGTCGTGTGTGTTCAAAACTACAACACATTATCTAAAGAGAAATAAAAATATAATTACAGAGACAAGCAAAAAACCAAAGTTGTTGCAAAACAGCCAAAGCTGAACACCATTAAAGCTTCATCACATGTCTGTGATTAAGTATGTCAAGTAAGTGTAGCTGGATTTCAGATCTATAGTTTACTTCAGGAGATGTTTTTGGCGCAAAAAGTAATACACTTGGACCACTTTTACTACCATGTATCACTTTGGAAATATATTTGGCGGCATAACATCAAAATTAAACATTTAAATTAATTCAACTTACCCACTTTTTTTGATATTCAGAAATGAAGAATATAAAAGGACATCTAAATTTCCATTTCCCCCAAACCCACCTGTCACTTTCTTTCTTTTCCCTTCACCATCATTTACTTTTACTTTGGAGCCGTTATATCAATAATTTACGAAAGCAATACAAATATATATATATATATAACAACATCCAGAGTTATTTCATCAATCTTACTTGTTCAAGTTAAAAGTTACTCCGCTATTTGAACTCAATTTGATTGATTTTCATTAATCCCACTTGTGCAAGTTTACTATCACCCCTTTTGAACTTACTTACTTTGATTGATTTTTATTATTACTACAGATTTATCCTCACTCGGATCTGTAACTGAACCTTTATTTTACCATTTTGGGGAAAATGGGTGAAATCTCAAATAACAAGGTTATCATTATTGAAGACATTGATGTCTTCGAACAATTATTTGACGTCAAAATTAAGGACTATCAAAAATTCAAAAAGTTCTTTACAAAGGATATTGATGATGTTGCATTTGAAATTCCGGCAGAAATTACAATTGTTGTCAACAAACGACAAGTCATCAAGGATGAGATTAAACTAAAGGAGCAACTGACAGTGTCAAGTTATCAGCCAACCAACCCAGTTTCTACCGTGCAACAAAAGTCAAAACTGTCACGCTCTGTTCAGAATCCATACCGAAAAGCAATGCCACAATTGGAAAAGGATGTTAAGGATGTTAAGTCGACACATTACAACGGAAGACAAAGTCTTATTCCCCATAATGAAGAAATTTTTGGGTCCCCAAGAAGAGGGAAAGACGAAGGTGGAATCGAACCTGTCTTACAATCTGCATTGAAATCAGCAAACCTTACAAAATTGAGAGCTTCACAAGCACCACTGGCTCATCAAATTACGAAGACAATTTTTAAGATGGCGAAATGTTTTCAACTGCCTAAGCCAGCCTCTAAGCCAGTTTCTAAATTGGGAAAGCCTGAACAATTTGTTGCGCCAACAGACATACCAGCTATGAAAGAAGTAAGAAAAGCACATATAGCCGCACCTGTTGAAAACCCTACTGAAAACCTTGCTTTGAGAGAAGTAAGAGAAGCAGATCCAGCAGCACTAACAGACAAGCCAGCTTTGAAAGAAATGGGAGAAGCAGTTTCGGCTGCACCAATGGAGATGGAAAATGGTGTCGCAAATGAAAACCCATGGACTAAGTCTACTTATTACAGCAAAAGACATAGTCTTATTCCTCCGGATGAAGACATTTTTGAGTTGTCGAAAAGGGAGAAAGATAAAGGTGGAATCATATCTGTCCTACAATCTGCATTAGGTCTGATGAATTTAACATCAAAATTACCATCACCAACACAGAAACGAGCACGAACACAAACACAAACACAAACAGTTACCCCTACACCTCCACCAGTCCCACCGCTATTAAATCGTCATCAAGAAATATCCACACCCCGGCAACAGTCTCAAGAGCAACATCCAAATATCGATCCTTGCACGCACCCAATTGAAAGCTCTATAGAATCTGAAACTAAGTTGTTGACAAACGTGACGGATAAGATTACAAATTTTTTCAAAATCAAGAAAAAGTCACGCAATTCAACCAAAGAACAAACGCCAGTGGGTGGAGAACAAGAGGTGACTAAAAAGAAAAACCCATATGAAGGAATGATTGTCTACCCAAAGTACAATCCTTACTCAACTAGCATCACCCTTGTCGGTGATTATCGTTTCTAACGATACACAGTTGAGACATGGTTGGTCAATGATGTTTACCGATCGGCGCACTGTAGTGTTGCGGTTGAAGAGAGTATGAGATGTTACTCATCATGTGGTTTAGTGATGCAACAAATATGATGTTGTCCGTTGTGTGGGTGTGCGTGTTTTGTTTCCAGTGGATGCAGGGAATAGTGAATTTGCAATTTCATGATCCGGCCAATCTGAGTTGTATTGAAGCTGTTTTCTTGTTGACGTTGGGAAGTATGGAAGACTTTGGTTAATGTTTTCGTTGTTAGTTAATGTCCATGCCTATATATCTACGTTGCGTTGCTGTTGGGTTATCATATTAGATCAAAAAAGGATAAAAAATTGCAAAAAAATATATAAAAAAAGAAAACAAAAATACTAACTATCTTAACTTGAACATAGTTTCAAAAATATACAATCATTGTGATAAATTTTCTCTATAGTGGATTCTCTACTTTTCACTCCGATAAATTCTCAGTCTCTAATGGTGTGTCAGAACATTTGTGAATCAAAAATATACATCAATTGTGGTTTTTTGCTTTCCACTTTTGCAATTATAAGAAACGAATCCATTAAAAACTAGTCTTTAACTTTTGATTGACACGGCTACATTATCACATAGTTGTAAGAGTGTTTTAGTGAAATCAAGACATTTTTATTGTTTACTACTATCGTCTTATAACTATCAAACCTTTCTACTCGTTACTATTACCTTATAATCAACTATGGCTTCTTTAAACGCTACAACAATTGTGAATGTAGTTAGATGGCAGTGTTGCGAAAAGATAGAGCATCATACATCAACAATCCAACCTCTATTATGGGATTATCGGTTGTTTACGGTGAAGTGAACAAATTATCGGCTGAACTAAGTTGTTGGTACGCGCCAACACAACACGGCATGACACGATACACATCAATGTACACTAGAAAATGGCCAGTTTCGTGCCTCTTTCCTATATTCACCACTATCTAGCTCATCAACACTAGCAGCTTCTTGTAGTCCCCTGCAAGCCAGATGAGCAGAAACAAATAACAACGCCAAGCCACTACTTTCTCTTCTTCTTCTTGACTTTATCTTCAAATTCAATACATCCTAAAGGAACACCCTTCTCTTTCAATAATTGGATAATTGTTTTACCATGAGGTCCTTGAACTTGTACTTGCTCGTCATCAACAATAGTAGTTGAACCCGAACATAACTTGCGCAATTCTTCGGCAAATGCCCCTTGTTTGATAAAAAATTTGTCATAATTACCCACACGAGTAATAACTTTCCTACCAATTTTCATTTCAGTAACAATATGGATCTTTGGTGGTGTTCCTTTTGATAAATAGCTATGTTGATTAGATGTGATGGAGTAATGAGGAGTGAAGTTGGACAAAAATGTGGTGAATATTTGATCACGGGGTGATTCAGAATCCACTAGCTTGTTGGTTGGTTTTGATAATATCTCATCAATAACAATATGTTTTGGATTGGTGGGGCTGGCCAAATTGGCCAATTTGACATAGTCATTAAACATGGTACGCAATTCTGCCATGGTGTACAAGTGGTCAAATTCCACATTCAATTTGTTAAAAAACATGCGGGATTTACTGGTAGGTTTGTACAAGGTGGTGATTTTCATCATTGATGACGACGATGTATTACCATCTGAGCCATTTGATCCAGATGATGTTGGTTTCTTAACCTTGTTGACCTTGTGAGGAACAAAATTCTCAATTGTGGGATTGTTGCGTGCCATCAATTTAATTACCGACAAGTCTTCATCCTTTCCCTTCACTTCTAAGTAAGACGACTTTACCATTGCTTTTAGAAATTTTGATGTCTTTTTCCACGACGTCTTTTTAATATTGGCATAAGTTGAGTCGAGTATTGGTAAATTCTTGTATATATATGAAGACATGAATGTTGACGAGTTAATTGGTAATTCAATAGTTTCCAATTTGATAGTTTGAAGCAATGCTCGAATAAAGAAATTGTCCACTTCTTCTGTTGTCAACTGTGCTAATTCTTCGGCAACATCGTCAATTTCAGTCTTTGTTTCTCCAGATACAGCCACCGGAGTGTGTTCACTAGTGCTGTCTTTAGTAGGGTCTTCTTTCTTGGGTTGACCTTCCTTCTTCACATCTTCGTCAGCTTCTTCCAATTTTCCCTCTTCAGTCTTCACCTCATCGTCTTCCTTTGCAATCTTTGGTATAGCTGCATTTACCTCTTCCGGTATTTCTACATCAATCTCTTTATTCAATTTCATTAACTCATCCTCAAAATGGTGAATTATCTCCACTGCCATCCCAGACCTACCGACAACATAATCGAATTGAGTCAAATTCAAACGACAAACCCCAACTGCCATGATCACATTTGGTTTCTCTTTGGAAACTATACCAACCACTGCATGCTTCACTGCTCGTTCATCAAATGGTGGGATCGTACCCGGCAACATCAAATCAGCCCCTTTGCCCAAGATTCCAATCACGGGTTCGTGGGTCTTAATCAAGGGTAAGACATAGGGGCATTTCCAACAGGTGAATAGTGAAGGGTACAATTGAGAATCTCTAGTTTGAAACCACGTAGGGATTTCATTAGAATCAAAGTATATTGTCCCTGATAGCTTTTTATCGACTGGTGATGTAAAACTAGCCTTTTTGCTAATTGGTGGCACTAGATTGTCTAAACCTTCTTTGGCAATCTCATCTATTGGTAGATTGTATGTTTTGCATACTGCAGATAGAAGTTTTCTACGGTCAGATGATTTGATATTGGCTGCTGGTTTCACTTGTGGTGGTTTTTTAAACATTATGATAACATATGCAGAGATGGATGGAATGAATATTATAATATGTAGTTAGAGAAGGAATGGAAAAAAAAAATTGAATTAAAAACACGTATAGTTTATACATTGTACGTTGGACTTTGTAACAACCATCATCGGCTGACAACAATAACAGCTACAAACTACCAACTACAATGAGGGAGTCCAAGGAGTCCCCAAACATTACATCCATACGTAAGGTGATAACATTGGCTGTCATTATATTGATGGCCGGTATTGGATACCCATTGTTCACTTACACCACTTCCATATATCGTGCTGAATTACCAGTGGATCAAATCAATAGTTATGACTTGTCACTGATGGAGTTTAAGATACCTGTACACGTTAACACCGTAATAGATGGAAATGGCCTCAGATCAAAGTTTAAGCTGCTATATCCAGATTTGGCACAGAACTGGGTGGTTGAACTTGTTGATAATGTTCACGCAAAGTATACAGTCAATGTGCACCAAAATGCAAAAGAATTCAGCGTCGAAACTAATGACAAAACAATTGATGTAAGCCTACGACCTCAAGATGATGTGAATGCATCTGTCCAACAAGCTCTATTTGCACATGTGTTTAAAGATGAATTAGATATGTTTGTTGCATTGAAACATCGTCGATCAACCTCGGACATATCATTCGCTTATAATGGCAAGTATAGCTTGGTATTTTCATTGCTTGTCGAGGATGGAAAGAAAATTAATTGGCAAATAAAAGAAGCCCTTGAGGAGTTCGAGCCAGTTCTTGCATATTTACAAAACATCACCTCATTCACAATAACTACACAAATTCAATACTACTCCAACCTCAAAGGTCTTTACCCTGATGGAGTTGTCACTCAAGATGACCTAACCACATTTGTTGACTTTGGTGGTTGGAACCTTGTCAATTTAGATATCAACCCAACCATCAATTTCGTAACTTTCCTCCCAATACAACCACTTTCCATTGCTGATTCCGAAGCCAATTCGTTCTTGATTTCACAATGGGGTGGCTTTAAGATTTATAATAGAGGATTACCGTCAATGACAAATGCAACTTTAACTGCCGATGAATTGATACCCATTATGAATACTTTCGCTAATCAGCTATTGCAACTCCTTGGCTTCCCCAACGGCAATCAGTCATTGACAATTAAATTAGACTCATTGGAACGATTACTAGTTTACCAAAATGTTCAAAGTTCCATCGACAATTTGAAATCCTTGGTGAAATTGTCGCAATCTTTAAACGAAATTACGGTGCCGGAAGAGACTCGTCAACAAGTCCTATACAGTCTTGAGAAAGTAGATGAAGCCTTAAAGACAAAGTCAGTAGAAGCTGCTGCTCAAGCCGAACTGGCTTCTAATAAGGCCTTTTTTGAAAAGGAAATGGTTCAACAAGCCTATTTCCCGAGTGAACATAAGTTAGCTGTATTCTTGCCATTGTTGGGACCAATTGCTTCAATTGTCATTTTCAATACTGTAAAGTTGATAAAAGGAAACTAATGATGAGGAATATCTAGTGGTATAGATGAAGCACCAGCATTTATGGAATTATCTGGTATACCTGCATATAACCACAATAAATTTTTTTCTTCTCTTTTCCTCCCTCAAAAATTTTTCAGCCAAAAAGACCTTCCCGACTCTTTGAAGGTAAATCATTTCCCACCATCATCCAACTTAAATGTTCAGACTAATACCGCTTCAGCCTGTAATAAGGCGTGCGACTCCTGTATATGCCACCTCCATCCTCAGAGCTACATCCATACGTACCATTGTACACTCCAAAGAAACCAAGACCCAACTTCAACGAGAAAAAGACAAACAAAAGAAGCGTAAATTAAGACAGGAGTTGAAGTTCAAGTCGTTGGAAAATCCTATTGACCACCCTTTGCATATGCCAATTTCGGAAGCCCTCAATACCATTAGATCATTTGAAGTGGGTAAACCAGCTGACAAAACCACAATCACGTGTAATTTGTATGTACGTCAAGAACAAGGTGCTGCTCCCCTCAGTGGCACTGTTGATATACCATTCCCCGTTAATAGGAAAACGAAACCACTTGTATTCACAACGCACCACTCCATAATCGAAGAATTACTGTCGTTGGTTGATCCTCAGTTCTTGGGCGGTAAAGAATTGATTGATAAATTTATTAATCAGGAATTATTGCCTAGTGATTTCACTCACGTATTTGCCACAGGTGAAATGGAAAGTCAGTTGAAATCAGTGGCTAGGATATTAGGTCCCGCCGGGTTACAACCTACAAAGAAAAAGGGAACCGTTACTGACGATCCTCAAGTGATTGCCAATATTTTAAGATCATATCAAGTTAAGCAAAAAGATTCTCACATCAGTTTCACAGTGGGTAATGCTACTTTTAGCGACTTCCAAATCATGTCCAATTTAAAAGCAGTCAGTGATGTTATTTTCTCACAAATTGACCCTAATGCTTCGAAAAAGACAAGGTTGGGTTACTGTTTTATTACCTCAGCCAACAGCCCTGGATTAGTAATTGACTTCAAACAAGAGTAAGAGCAATTGGAAAGAGATACGTCTCTCATTACCTTTAGCTAAATCTAATAAACTTGTACATATATATATATATTACTTTTCACTCTTCTTTTTCTGTCTTCTTACCAGCTTGGCTTATACTAATACCAGTTGTAGCATATGCAATCATTAACCATGCAGGGAACCATCCTAAAATGACAACCAACCATGTCCAACATTGCAACTGATTCCAAGAAGCAATCAAATTTGCAAAGAAATCCTCACCAAAGTATCCGTTGGCAAGGACAAAAACAAAGAATGGATTCGATGTAACCAAACACAAGACAGCTAGTTTTCTATTCCTTTGTATCACAGTGGGCACAAAAGTTAGTGGTATTGCCAATAACCCAATGGTAAGTGCCAATGCAAAATGAACAATTAACAAGGCAGTAATTAAGAATGCAATAATCAATAACGCTAATCCAATCAAAGCAAAACCTGTAGTATTTGAAGCTTGTTGCCGGTGACTATTTGCAAAAAATAAAGGCAACGCCAGCAACGTCAAGGGAACATACTTTAGTGTGACCAATGACGTTTGTGGAACGATGATGGACAAACCAACACAAATAACCTCTGAGGTCACCGCAGTAGTCAACAACTTGCTCAAATGTTGAGGAATCTGTTCAATATCAATGCCTGAATTCAATATAGCATTTAATGCTCCAAAAGCATAAGCCACCGCTAACATTACAGCACTGGGCAAATAAGTTCCAATAGAAACGAAATGTTTTGGACTTAACATCAAATAGAAAAAGAAGGATTGATGGAATTTCTCCAATAAATTATTGACTGATCGGAACGTAGAGTCAATGATTCGACCAAATTGTGTCACATCATGCCCTTGACTTCCCTTAGCTTTGATTGTAAATGCTTGAATCTGCCAACCAGAAAAGGCTTCATGTCCATGCACATCTCTAGAACCAGCAACCACCAATCTCAATATCCCGGCAAATAGAGTTTTTAATCGATTGGTGAAATTTATAGCACGGTCACTGATACCTTGCACACTGCTACTGATACCCTCATGTTGACCAATTTGGTTGGCGGTATTTAGTAAATCTAGATTAGGCAATTGACCATTCAATCCCTCATAAAACATGTCATAGTATTGGAAATTGTCACCCTGTTTGCCATATTCCATGATTATAGCTGCTTCAATCGACCCGGCAGTGTCATCCAAACTTGTATGATAGGCATTAACCCATGATCTCAAACTCTGCTTGCCATCGGGTGGAACAACAAGAATGATATTTTTTGACCAGACGGAAATACGTTGAAAATAACGCATTAATGCCATACCTAGTGCCATAGCCCCTTCATTAAACTCATTGTCCGAGTTTATCCACGGCACCACTAGTGCCATTGCCTCGGTATTTTCGCCTCGAGACGCATGCATGATTGAATAAATAGTGTCGTTGGTGAACCCATTATGGTGACGCGAAACTGGTAAGCCTAAATCTTGTAACCACTGTGTAATAACTTCATTACGCTGCTCAATCGGTTTCTGTTCGAGTTGCTTAATCTCATGCCTATATCCCCGAACGATATTCCATTCACTTTCCCGAAAATATGACGTGACCTGTCCGGGCATCAATGCATTCTCTGAAATGTAACAATTGCGGTAATTCCCATCTTGTGGTAAAGTGGCTAACCATAGTATACTAAACACGGCCAAGACAAATGAAAGACGTGGTAGTAGTCTGATTGACTTTGGAATCAAATTCAATTTATGAATCTTCCTTAGTACTTTCTCCGCTAATGCCATCTTGACCTAAGTGGGGGGGGGGGTTGATCTGTGTAACAAATACGTGTTTGGTTTGGTATGATGTGCCAAATTTTCCACGAATAAAAAAAGCACAATCCACGCTTTTACAAATGCTACCCAAATGTCTTCTTTTTGCATTTACTCAAGATGCAATGCTGCTGCAGTCATATAAGTTGCTACAAAGACAACTTCGAAGACTTCCACTACCGCAGGGTGTTATTTGTGATGGATCAAAGGTATTGAAGCAGCAGTACCTACAAGGCAAGAGCAAAAGATTCGAACTCCTATTCCACCAAATCTTGGACCAGGAACAGTACAAAAAGTTGACCGAAGTTCTTGATGCTATATACAAGGTGGATAAGCCCGCGTGGTATAGGGAGTTTATTAATATACCGTACATGAAAGTGAAGAGACATTGGCCTACAATACATCTCATTGACACATTAACTGATAACTCGAGTGCAAAGAAGACATATTATTGCAAGTTAGCCAAACCATTTTCAGTTACACAATCGCTCAACTTGAAACCTGATGAGGCGCAATATCATTTGCCATTGCTCAAGAAGTTTGGCGACCAGGTGAATCCTGTAGTCAATTTAATCAAAGAAGTGCACAAGACATACCAGTTTGTCGTATCTCAAAAAGTATTTGAGGTGACAAAACATCCATTCGAAGTGTTTTACTATCCTTCTAAACTAGGCATTCCAGAACACCCCGTTGGCATTGATTGCTTATTAAGGAAAAAAGTCAGTCTGGTCAAACACGTTTTGGAAACATTTCAACCAATACTGAAGGAGCAGTTGACCAAATTAATGAATGCAAACGGCGTAGTAAACCCCAGGTTCTATCACCATCTTCAAAGAAAACGCTCAAAAGTAGACACGAGTTTTCAAGTCAAAAAATTGATCATAAAGGAAAAAATTTTAGGTGAAGAGCAATTACAGGATGTGATTCGAAAGTATTTACAGCAACAGTATTACCTCGAGAATGCAAATTATAAACTCAATAAACTTTAGCCTCTTTTACTTCAACTTCAAGACTGCATAGCGTACGTTTTCCTTGTCGGTTATCCACACATATTTAGAATTCGCTGCCAAGTTTGCTGGCTGAAATGAAAGTTCTGGCAAAGGTATTGGTGTTGTTGAAACATGGTCAAGAATATATAGACTATCCTTCGTCAATACAACTAAATCCCATTCTCTAAATTCGAAGCTCTTACTATCAGGCACTCTATCAATCACTTTGTCGTTCAACTTCGACACTTCCAATGTTTTATCCCAATAGTTGCTATGAGCTTCAACAACCTGTTGACTCCAGACTGAACCAAGCATCTGGGAAGGCGGAGTTGTATGACATATTTCAGTAGCAATAGAAATATCGACCGTTGATTGGTGGTACTCGTCGACTTGGCCTAAAATAACTCGAAACAATTCTTCTAATTCTTCTTGGGACTCGTTCAAAAACTTGCCATCGCCAGCATGTTTGATTGAATCAAAGTCACTAGGAATATATTGCAACACTTTTGATTGTAACAAGTTGGAATGAATAAATTCCAACAAGCTTGATGTTGAGTAGTTACTACTTGTTTCCTTTTCAGCAAATTTATCAACAATCATCTTCCACCAGTTGAGTAACTCGTCAAAATGCCCCTTTTCCTCTTTTATATTCAACATGAATTGATGATAAGTTTTCAACTCAGCTTTACATTTTCCTATAAGCCTGTTAATATCTTTCAAATCGAGTTCAAATGCATTCTTCCATTTGGCGATGCCGTTCAATTCATCTAATAACACAAGAATCCTCTCCATTGGAGCGATCAAGTATTGAAAGATCTTTTTGCGACAGTTTTCAAAAACCGTTTCACAGAGTTTATTCATTTTCTTGAAGCCACGATCACCGAATTGGTTTACCCAGAAATCCTTAGTTCCATCAGGAATATTATTTGTAAGTAAGATGTCACACAAATCTTGTAGCAAGTCGCCGCCGCTCACTTCCACTTTCAAGTTTGACAAATATCTGTTGATGGCAACATAGAATGTCTTGACTTCTTTTTCAATCTCATTCAAAGTTGTCTTAGACCTCTCCAAGTATTCAAAGATGTGACACAAGAGTACCATCAGGTCAGTATAAGCTTTTCTTGAAATTGTGGGAATCTCAATGCATATCAATCTATTGTCACCCCTGTCAAAATACTGTTGTTCAAATAATGCCGACAGTACTTGCAGCAGAATTTGATGATTGGTAACAATATTAATGCTCAATACTTTGTTGAAAGTAAAAGTGATGGATTTCTCATCATTGGTCACCAAGTAGTCCAAATTGTACGAAATATCATCGTAGATGGTAGGCAAACTCGTGAGAACTTCATTTTTCAAACTATAGACGGTTTTTGACCAATGGATATACATGATATCACTAAATCCGTGATCCAATTGTCTGACTAATTTACCGTCGCTTGAATCATAGATCTTTACCGTGTTGTCTGCCCCTGATAAACAAAAGTTCTTTTCATGACAGGTTATGCCCTTGATTTCAGAACCATTATTGACATTATATATCTCCTCTCCTCGAATCCGGAAACAGTGTATTGTATGCTTATCTCTCGTCAAGAGTAGTAGATTCATTTTAGGACACCATGCTATTTTTGAATGGGGATCACTCTTTAATGGAAACTCCCCAGTATGAACAACCGAGACTTCTCCATCCTTTTCATTCACTAAGCGGGAGCTTGGGTCACAATTTATATGTTTATTCTCTGTGCTGACAAGAGATACTTCCCCGGACATTTTAGGTAAAATGTGGATAACAAAAAGAATAAAATCAAATAGAACGAAAGGAATCAAATTGCTTTTATGACGATACGCGTCTATTGATCTGTTTATTTTTTGTTTGTGTTTACGTCATTGTTTTTCTTTGTTCTGTTTTATATTTTCTTTTCTCAAAGTGATAAATTTTAAATCTCAACCAATGCAAAAGAAAAAACACACCTTATAAGTGACAACATTTGCCACTGCAGACATTTGTTATTAGAGGGTACGATGATTATGGCCTGGCAGAACAACAACAGCAGCTACCACTACTCAAAATCAAACAATAGACAGGCCACATCACCAATTATTCAGCTATCTTTTGACGAGATGTAGTTGTGATTGGATAAGAAACAAAGCCATTGGTCAGAGTTGAGAGTCAGTATTGGAGACTAGACTGGTATCAGCTCCAGAACTTACACATTTCAATCTGAGCCATACACACTTTTCAACATCTAACTATTTGATCCTCCCTACTCTTCTTCCAAAACTTAATTGCAATGGATCGGACTTATTACTGTTAACAAAGAAAAGAAAAAAAAAAGTTTTTATGCAGGATCTCAACGGACTAATTGTTTTATTATAGGATAAAACCACTGTCAAAAATGTTCCGAAGTTTGATTTGGCTTTTGCTTTCACATTAGAAGCTCTTATTGTTCACCTTACTTTCAAGAGCAGCAATAGTAGTAGAATAATCCCATCTTCTTTTGAAAACTGATCCAACTATCTTGCTTCCTCCACTTTTGCTATTAGACTTTCCCTGTGTGTGTGTTTTCAAACTCCAATTTTCAGTGTAACCAAAAAAAACAAAACATCAAAAAATTATCACATTCATTTTTTAAATAAAGACAATAGAATAGAATTAGACAAAACAAAAGGTACGCAAACCAGGAACAATACTCCGGAATAATTTTTACAATACCCACCCTCTTCAAACCCTAAACTCAAAGCAGCCCTTTAGATCATGGTTAAAGATACACCAGTTTCGTTACCTACTACTTCTGAACTTCGACACACACCAATAGCCATGACACAGGACCAGCTTGACAATATGGAACATAAAATACTATATCGACAGACCAGATCACTAAGGCTTGGAGATACACAACGATTCAAAATACATTTCACTCCACATGCAGAAGGTGATGAAGTAGTAATACCGCCTACATTGTGGGTAAAAGTCAAGAACCTTGAACCAGTATCGAAGAGAGCAATATATTTAGGTATGTTTTCATTTGCGGTTTTCGCTTATTACTCAGTCTAACAAGGAGGACACTTGAAAAGAAGTTGATTACTAACATCATTTTTGTTTTGTAGCTGGGCCGTATATATTGTATGTTGATTGCCGTCAACTGGATTATGATCCCAACGTCAAATATTTTGTCACTGCGGATCAACCGGTTTTTGAACCGCAATTACTACCTGGTCAATCCTTCTACGTGCAGTTATCGTGTCATACTTTAAAAAAGGACTACTCCTGGGTAGTGGATGTTGTGTCGCAAATAATATTTAATACAAAGATTATGATTGATTTTGAGATCATGGTTGGAACGTCAAAAAAAGTGCTACATGAGGCGTCTAGTCCCGACATGAACATTCCAAATGCCGACAAAGTGGGTGCCTTTCATTCCTTGTTAAATGTTACAGAATGGGATACCAAGGATTTGTGGAATTTACCCGTGCTTCAACCAGGGAAACCAAAGCACTTGGTTATATTGACTCATGGGCTTCATTCAAATTCAAGTGCTGATATGTTGTATCTAAAAGAACAGATTGATAAAGTGGCCAAAAATACTCAAGAATCTTGTGGAGAGGAAACCGTTGTCAAAGCTTTCTTTGACAATGCAGGAAAGACTGAACGGGGTATCAAGTATTTGGGAAGCAGGGTAGCCGAGTACATTGTTGAGCTTGTCACCGAAAACGAGATGCTAAATAATGGACAAGTCACCAAAATATCATTTGTTGGCCATTCATTGGGCGGATGCGTGCAAACATTTGTTATAGCCTACCTTCGACTGAACTTTCCTTGGTTTTTCGAAACAATCAAACCTATAAATTTTATTACTATAGCTTCGCCATTGTTGGGGGTTGCAAATGAAAACCCACTTTATGTCAAGGTTGCGTTGTCTGCTGGTGTTGTAGGGAAAACTGGTCAAGAATTGGGTCTCAAATACCTTGAAAACAACTCCAAGCCATTATTGTTGCTATTACCGTCGGGATTGGCACATAAGACATTGAAACAGTTCAGGAGAAGGACGGTTTATGCCAACGCATTAAGTGATGGAATAGTGCCATTGAGAACTTCTTCGTTATTGTACCTTGATTACAAAGGGCTAGTTCCTTTGATAAACTCAAATAATATATCCTTGAGTGACGCGAGAAAGGCTGCAAGCAGTAGCGAATCATCTGCGAAAAATATCGATAAAGCTTCAGGAAAGGCGCCCAAATCTGTGCTGGACAGTAATCCGTTTCTGCCTGTGCAAACACTAATGTCATACTTTATGCCCCAGAAGCAGAAAGGTCACGGCGAACAGTATAGAAACTTTCAAACTATGGGTGCAGAAGGAGAAGTCGAAGACGAAGACGAAGGAGGGGACGAGAAACGTGAGGCACATGGCATTCCGAACCTGACATTTTTGGATAGCGCTGCTGCCTTGTTCCTCCCTCCGCTACCCTCTATGAAATACATAACAGATCCCACCAGTAGAGAAAACGTCATCATCCACGATAAAGTCTACTACGAGAAAGATTTGCCAAAGACATTAAAGAATGGTGAACATCCCAGCCCAAGTGGAAATGGTTCTGTTAATGGTGGTAGCTCGTCAATGACAAAGCGATTCCTAAACAAGCTAGATTACAATTATGAGGAGCTCGAAGAGCAAATTGCACGTGAGTACCATAAGAACATGAGTTGGCGCAAAGTGGTTGTCAAGCTAAAACCAGATGCCCATAATAACATCATTGCACGAAGGAGATTCGCCAACGCGTATGGTTGGCCAGTTATTAAGCATCTCGTGGAGAGTCATTTCGCTCCAGAAAAGGTTTACAATAAAGCAGTGGTATCGGCGATGGAGCATTCGTCCACCAGTGAATTTGCAAGCCATGACTCATTAGACGATGAACAAGATTTGACGAATTTGGTTAATAGAGATTTATTGACACAACAAAATCATGAGATTGACGAAACTACAATGGCCGAGGAAGAAGGGAATACTGTAAATGCTGCGTGGATTAATTCTAAAGACAATGGTGAAAGTGTTTTTGCTTTGGGCGTTGCTGGGTTGTTGGGTGAAGTTACGCATTTAGTTGGTGATTTCAGCGATTCCATATTTAATGGGAAGCGTCCTTCGATTCCATTTATTGGACAAATTCCATTACCTACAGCATTAGTTTCCCCATCCAATGAGATACCAGTAACCAGTGGTGGCACAACTTCTGATAAAGTCGTCAAAGGTAATGCTAATGACAACATTGACGAGTCTGGCGATTTAAGTCTTTCAAAGCCGGGAGTTATGAATGACTTTTTATAATCATTTTGTACATAATTGAATCTATTCCGGCGTTGTGGGTGATCTTCTATTGTAGCAAGTGGAATTTGAAACTACTCCATATCTGCATCATTCTGTTCATCTGCTACCTCTTCTTCATCTTCTTCAGCTTCTCCATCAACCTCATGGTCCTCCTCCTCTTGTTCCTCCTCTTGTTCCTCCTCTTCTGCTAAAGGAAATAACTCATTAATCTTCCCCACAATCTCTTCACATACATCTACACTAAATCTCTCTTCACAATCCTCGACGAGCAAGTACAATACCACCAAGGACCTTGGCAAACAGTTTACAATTTGTAATTTTTCAACCTTCATCAACTCCAATTGGTTCAAAAAAGACATGAGTTGTTTAAAACTGTCAACGTCAACTTGGGTTATTTCGGCATTGTTTTCCATAAACTGAAGTACATCTCGCGTCACTACTTCCAAATCTATACCACATGCGGTAAATCTATTCTTTTGCTTGTGATTGTGTTTCTTGTGGTGAGTGTCTTGTTGTTGCTGTTGTTCTTGTTGTTCTTGTTGGAGTGCAAGCTCTTCTTCGGGAGAAAATGTCCAGTTGTACTTGTGTTTGATTTTTTTGAGGTGGTCATATACCTCAAAGTTAGATAGGAAGCCATCTCTTGCTTTTATTATTTGCATGTTTCTTGATGATGTGTGTAAGCACTTCAGATGAGAGATGCTTTGAGTAGATGAGCACAGAAAATTTGTTTTGGTCTGAGATTACACAAATAACGAACATATTTTTAACTTACAATTTCTTAAGGGGATTCTCGAGGTGACATCACATTTGCTTCAATTCTAAACGATATCTAACACTACTTAGCAACACATTATAGCAAAACTCCAAATATAAACCTTAGCGAAACTGAACTGAAGCGGCTTCTTTTTAAACTCGGCCAACAGCACCTGACTCTCCAGCTCTATTACCATGCACTGAACTTGGAGCTGGACCTAGAGCTGGACTACGACTATGTTCAAAGTCATGTGCAGCTGCATGTACCACTGGTTGTCTCTCCTCATTGATAGCCTTTGTCTCTTCCTCAGTTAAATGATTCTCAGAAGCAGGAACAATCTCACCATCTCTATGGCCAACACCCTCCTCAAAATCAACGTGTTGTTTTCTTTCTCTGTCTGTGCGACTAGCACGGCTGAGCAATATTCCACAGCATTGGCGAACAAGACCAAGATCGATGGCAAATATGGACCCCCAGTAGAAAGGGGTGGGCCTAAAAGTGTGTCTCAAACCGTAGTTGGTGACTTCATTAACATAACTATAACCAAGGAACAACGCACCTTCAACACCGTACAAGAGCCAATTGAATAACGAGAATGGGAGCAAGGCTTGATAAGCACGGCAGGTTGCTGTTGAGCTGTTCTCCCAGGAGTTGGTGCTGCAGCTTGAAGGAAAATTGGCAGCGATTGCAGCCCAAGAAGCAAGGTAAAGTGCCCAAACTACCCCTTGTGCACCCAAGATGATAAATGAAGGCGTTGCATTATTTAATGCTAATGGAACAAAAACGCTCACATAACCTAAGTAAAGAACATCAATGGCTGCCACAGTAGTAGTGAATGAAACCCGTGGGATATTATGTCCAACTTTGGCCAAAACACTGCCACTAAGCCCCATAATGACAACTGTGGTAATAAACTCAACAGTACGTAAAAAGATACTGGTGTTCCGTCTTGGTTGTGCCATGATGACAGGTTCTTAGTAACAAACTGTTTGAGATAAAATTAATGTTGTTTATGTATGCTTTCCAAAAAAAGGATCTCTTTAATGAAAATTTGAAACTTGAAACCAGGTTGACTAAGTGGTAAGTTGAGACTCTTTTGACTGTATGAACCAACTATTATGGAAAAGAAAAGTGGTGGTCAAATTAGAAATTTGGTGGTAAATTATTCGTGTGGGATTTTGGTTGTAAAAATTGGTGTATATGACTTTTTTTACATATATCCCTGCATATAAATTTTGGCAGCCAATTGACAAACCTTCAACTACTGGTGGAATAGACCTCTCTTTGTGTTGAACCAGCTGCGAGGAGAGCCCGAAAACTTATCCACACCTAATACATCTCATTATTTGCTACACGAATGCTCCTCTTCCCCCCTCCACTTGTTGTCTTAGGGATACCTAAAAACAGAGACAAATAAAACCTTGAATTACACAGTGCACTCGAGAAGGACTTCCACTTGTTGACCTTAAACATGATATTCAAAGGTTTGGTTTAGGTTAAAGTTAGAGGGAGCAATTGTAACACGTTTTGCAATTTTAGTTATTGGAATAGTTTGATGGTGAAGTATTTTGTGACTCAACTTAATAATACAAGCCACAGAGTTGGTTAAAGAAGGTCTATAATAACAGCTTCTCTTTTGGTAAGAATTGAAAATTATAAAAGGACACACTGAGATCAACTAGGAAATATTTTATAATGCCTACTCTACAGTGTAGGCGATTTTGATATTCTTCAAATTGTAAATCATACAAAAAATGAAATACAACTCTGGTTATACCCGTATACTCAACAGCATCCATCCTTCTTCTCATAATCATGTCAAATAACACTCAATTTCCACCTACAAATGACACCAAAGAGTCCTCAGGAGGAGAAATCATGTACCTCACCCCCATTTTGGGAGTTTCGGAGTTATATAGAAAAAATATAGTTTCAAATGTATTTGAAAACCAGTCTAAATCTGAAATTGAAATTGGCTGTAGGACTAAATACAGACGACGACAGTATAATTGCAACTCCGAAGGGTCTATGTCTTTCTCATCAGTTTAAAGAAATATTTGTATTCAAAAGCACCGCAGACATCATGAAAGTTATCCCTGACTATAAACCAGGTAATGGCATTCAACTCTCCCATCCAGTTAAATGGTCTACATTGATCAAGCATATGAGTGTTCCAAAACTGGACCCCGAAGAAAATAGCGCTCTGAGTCCTCGAGTTCTTGAGAATAAATTGAAACATCTGCCTCAAGTGCGTTATCAAAAACAGGCACCTTCAAAGAAGGGGCTGTCCTCTTTGTTTTCACCAGCTAAGATTCATTAGCTATCGCTTCAGTAAACGTAAAACAATAAAGTGTTAATGATATGCATTGATTCTTGTAGTATATTGCAGCATTGCAGCTATCTAAAGTAGTGCACTTTATTATAATAGCTTTTCTCTAAATACCAGGGCCAATTGGGACAACTAGTGTCGATCAATATCATAGGATATTTGAACCGGGTGCAGTCTGAAGGATATCCCATTAGTAGAAAGATTATGCTGTGAACGCCAGATTGTGTAAAAAGAATTCTTAAATGAGTCAAAGAGATCAATATTTGAATTAAATCTTCTTGATATCCTACATTACTGCATATTATATCTGCTAGATTCAAGTGTCGATTACATACCAAGGTTCGACTTAAGAAGCAATGGTTTGCAACCAGTGTCATATTTTGATTGTCGCGTAAATAGTTGGGAGCACTATTTTCAACGCGTCAGTCCTAAACAAAACATGCACGTTTTATGAACCTGATCAGCGACCATTTACCATGAGCTTGAATTATATCACTAGGGCCAATAAGGAATTGTTCAAGAACATTATACGAGAACTATCTGATCAAACGAGCAAGAAGTTTGACAGTGATACCAAGACCTTCCAACAATTGGATCATTGGAAAGACAACCAATTGCTTGATACAGTTGCAGACCGATATGCAAGCTCCAAAAGAGATACTACATATCTCACCAAAAGTGAGCTTGTCAATTTGATGGACTGGAAACTAAATATTGGTACGTTTCGGCCCACATTGCCAAAACTTATTAAGTCTAATGATGAAGAGACTGTAAAGGAGGTGACCAAATCTGGATTCAAGATGTTGTTGGGATTTTTTAAAGACCTTCCTTCTGATTTCTGGTCTGTAGCTACAGCCGATCAACTTGCTGATTATAAGAAGCATATACGGCAAGCGATGAAGGAATTGTGTAAGCTAAAAGGGGTGGGTCCAGCAACTAGCAGTTTAATTATGTGCTGCCTCTACAAGATCCAGCCAAAGTTTACGCCTCCATTTTTCAGTGACGAAAGTTTTATGTACTATGTAATTGATCCTACCAAACCAGGTGAAAAAATAAAGTATAGCGTAAAGGAATATGTGGAGGAACTATTACCAGTCTATTTCAAATTATTAAGAAACGATCCGGAGAGTACGTTCTGGCAATTGGAACGCGGTGGCTGGGCTGTAAAGTACTTCAGTTTGTACAAGGATGACAAATTGGTTAATATCAAGTCCCCTTATGGCGACAGTGAAGAGTGGGAACTGTTCCAAAAGGGAGAGGAAGAGGACTCGACAGAGCCACCAAAGAAGAAAAAGAGAGCTGCGTGAGTCAGTTCTAACAAAGCAACTCTCATGCCCAGCTACATGATTCCGTCTTTTTAGTCTTTTCTTTTCACTGCAAAAAAAAAGACAAAAATATATAAAATACAATCATATATATTGCCCCATATAATCTGCTTCCAAATTTAGTAGCTTGAAATTGTTATCTTGATCATGTTCAATCAACGAGGTGACATTGTTCTCCACTTGATTGAATATCTTTTCAAGGTTTGAAGTCTTTTTGAACCCAGCACTACTCAATATAACTCCATTAATCGAGGTGAGAATTTTATTGAAATGCAATGCATGATTCTCAAGAAGTTTCTTGGCTTTGGGCAATTTATCAAGGTCCTCCTTCAGACGAACTAGTAGTAGTGGTGAGAGCTCATTCACTTTATCTTGTTTTGGGTCTAATCTGTATTGCTGCAATAATGCATCTCGTTTTGCAATTATTTTATCCAACATCTCTTGTTCGCTCTCTCTGAATTCAAACTCAAAGTTGTCATGTAATTTTAACCTTCTGTCCAAATACTTTTTCAAACTGATCATATAGTCAAGCCATTTGATATTGAAAACAGTGTCAACCCCCGATATTGATTCAAAAAACTCGTGATGGTAGTTTTCTTCAAGGAAATGCAACACTTCATCAAACTGATGGGCTTGCATGAGACTCTTCACGCGTTGCCTATTGCATGCGTGGCTTGAGGTTAAAATGTGAGCGTTTTCCTCTTCACCGCTTCCATTTTCAGTACTTGACCCCAAGTTTGTCAAATCGGTATTGAGGGCATTGAACGTTTTAATATAACCTTGGTGTACTAGATACCCTTTTATCAATTTGTTCAACATTTCCGGATCTTCATTCACGTGTAGCAAGGACCTTTCAGTATCACTTAGGGTGTTGGAATCACTCAGCTTCGAATGACTCAGACGAATCTTTTCGAGCAACGACAAGTAAATCGCTTCTTGATTTTCTCGCTTAAAGTGGTTCACATAACTTCTAATGTTGAACTTAAACTCTTTGAACCCCAAATTTGTGGTAATCTTAGCTGAGCTAAACTCCTTAACGTTGCCTATCCTTTCCAATTCATTCATTTTAAAGCCAAACATCGGATAAATTTCAATAGATGGGTTCCCCGAGCTTGGCGCCCCGAACAAATCATTCGAAGCCCCATGATTCGATACTATATCTTTTTCACAAATCACCTTTGCCAATACACCATTCAATGTGATGAAGACAGTCTTATTTGTAAAGTTGACGCCGAGACCAACCACGTCCGTCTTGTATACTCTACGTGCAGGGGTATCTTCAACCATTCTTGTTTTGAAAGGAATTCCAATATCAATCTTCCCCGAATCAAGATCTTGTTGATGAGTTCTTCCAATAGTACTGAGCCGTCTATTCAAGTTTGGAACTTGCGACCTGCCCAAGGATTCGGCACCCTTTATCGAGTTGTAAAAATTGGAATCGGCAAAATTAACAGCATAACTTCCTTTGAACTCGCCGGGCTTGGTATTGAGAAATAAATTCAAATCGGCACTGGAAAAGCCTTCTGAAGATTCGTTGTGGTTAATATCGTGCTTGATTTTCTCCATGTCTATTGTACATTGTTGTTTGGTAGAGTTGGAAGGTGATTTCATAGCATCATATGTAACAAATCGTTTTGTAAACCCGGCCAACACCTCCAAGGTTGAGTTAGAGCTCACGGCGGGGTCATTCATAGATATCAAGGTTCTAAAATTTGTCGATTGTGCTGCCACCTGCTCAACTTCTAGCTCATAATAAAATATTCCAAATGACGAGTTGACTGGTTGGTCGGTGATCAAATTGTAGAAACGCGCCTTGTTTAAATCCTCCCCATCTTCGGGAATGATGCTTGTATTACTTCCTTTCATGCTGATGGTTGAGTACCCGTTATCATTATTTATACCAAAATCCCATTGTGTCTTCAAAAAAGATAGATACTTTGAATGAATCAACGGACTCCAAGATAAAGGAAGAGGATAACCAAAATATGTTTCCTTGTCTAGTGCAATCAAACTCGGAAGGTGTCCAGATCTTGACTTGGGGTGGGAATTGGCCAACTTCAAAAGTTCTTTCAACGTCAATGGATAGTATGCCTGATACTCATCTGATGTATTCTCGTTATGAAGATTTTTAAAATCAACCTCTCCAACTTTGTTCGAAGCGAATACTGAGGACGTGCTAGTGTTTTCTCTTTCCGTATTATCGGCGTTCTTGGCTCCATCATCCTCGTCTCCACCTTCGAGCAATCTAGATTTGAATATACTAAATAATTCATGCACATATTTGTCGTCATGTGTGCTTAATTCCATGGGGTTATTCCCCAAAACACCGATGATTGCTAGCTTGTATAAAACTTTCTCTTTAATTATAGAGTGGAGAACCGGATTGTCGGAGAACGTGAAATTATCTTCCTCGCTCTCTTGTTCAACCTCCTCAGTGACCTTGAAGTAGTCGGGGGAATCTGTGGTGATCACATTGCTAAGACTCAATCGTTCACTTATACGAGCTAGCTTTTTTCTCAATTGGGAACCCTCATGAGTGCTAAGTAAGTAAGGGGGCACTATGTAGATGCTTGATGGCGGTGACATCACTGGTTTTCTTGCTTGATTAGTTAGTTGACCTTAGAGAAAAGTGCGGCAGCGACTAAAATTCTGTTGATAAAAAAACGTTGTGGCAAGAGTCTGACAGTGCAAAAGAGTTCTGCTAACGCGATTCAGTCATGAGTGAAAAACACATTTCAAGAGCCCAGCAACTCATTCCTGCCATAGATCTCAAGGTCATTTCACAGGGGGCTGAAGCTATTGTATTTCAAACCAAGACTCATCCATACTCATCTCACCCGTACTTGAAAAACCATAGCCAATTCATTATTAAGTACAGGCCGCCCAAGCCCTACAGGCATTCCAAAATTGATGCTCAGATTACCAAAACGCGAACGGCAGGAGAAGCCAAGTTTATGTACAAGTTGAGCAAATTGGGGATTGCGTGTCCTGCGTTGATTTCTTGTGACTTGAACAATGGGATCATTTGGATGGAGAATTTGGGCATTGACTTGCCAAACGGAAATGTAAGCTCAGTGAAGAACTGGCTTTGGTACCTTGAAAATGAAGGACGAGAAGATGATTGCACTAGTGATACAGTAAAGGAGGTTTGCTACAAAGTTGGTCAATTAATAGGCAGGTTACATCTTGCAGATATGATTCACGGGGATTTGACTACATCGAATTTAATTCTAACAGGTTCGCAAGACTTATGGGAGCCTGCATTGATAGATTTTGGGTTATCATCGTTCTCGGGTTTAGCAGAAGACAAAGCGGTCGACTTGTATGTACTAGAAAGGTCAGTGACTAGTACTCATTCAGTATTTGCCAAATTATACAACCTGTGGTTATTAGATGGGTATGAGTCTGCTCATAGTTTGAAAGAGTACAAGAAGTTTGGAAAAGCTAAACACACAGAAACGATCAAGAGGTTGGAGGAGGTTAGACTTCGGGGTAGAAAAAGAAGCATGTTGGGATAGACTAAGAATTTGAGTGTGGTTTCAGCAAAGTGTGATACCTTGGTACTTAGAGATTTAGATAGTATTGAATATAGAATAAAAATAGATGTTTCCAGCGTCATGTAAGGAGGTAACACTGTGCCTGAGTATTGTATAGAACCAGACTAGTGTTTCAGATTCTTACAAAGCATAAGCATCCAAAGGGAGCACTAATACGTTTACCAAAAGAGTCCTGTAGATCGCTTAGATGCATACAGCTAAATACGATTCTATCTCAAATGCCCTCGTCAGTTTTTGGCTTCTTTTCAGAAAGCGTACTATTTGTTTATTTTTTCCAGAATTGGGAGAGGGCGATGAAATTTAACAAACAACCACTAACCATGCTTCACATAATCAAGGGAACAGCCAGACATGCTCCATTACTCAGAACCCAACAATTGAGACTTCTTACTCAATATGCGAAAAACCCACAAATATACATCCACGAAAATCCGCCACATCATTACAATTTTTCGCTATCTAAAAATCCCGATGCTCTAGGCATTGGAAATTCTCTGAGCACCGATCCTAAACCAGAGAACTTCACCGCCAATAAGAACTTTGTTGATATATTCCACAAGACATTTGAGAGCAAGATCTATGATGACTTTACATTTATTATGGAGGCAGGTACAAATGCCAATTCATTTATGCCAGTTTACGATTTCAGAGATGTTCCCAAATACTCGAGACAACCGTATATTGCAAATGTGTTTGGATATTTGCAGGTAGATGGCAATGCCAAGATTGTTCCAGGAAGTTGGCAGAGAAATAATTTATATGAGTTGTGCAATGGTAAAGATGGATTGTGTCATTTCAGTGAATACATGTATGAATCCTTGCAGCAAGAATGTGAGAGTATCAAGAAGTAGCACTATAGTCATTGTATAAATCTAAATATAAAGTAGACGTCTATTTTTCTATAACGTCCTTTATAAATTTAACAACATCTATCAACTCGTCTTCGCTGGCACTATGGGCCACCCCTGGGTATGTATGGAATGACAAATTTTTGTATCCCAATTTATGATAAAGCTCACTAGTGCGTTTCCCAAAATCATAAGCAACAAGTGGATCCACAGTACCATGTCCTTGGAAAATGGGAGTGTCAAAGTTTACATCCTTCACTAATCGTTTTTCCAACTCGTCACTAACGGCGCAGAAGCCAGACAAGGCAACAACACCGCCAATTTTGAAGTTTAGCAACGAAACTGTTGCCAATGAGACAGCGGCACCTTGACTGAACCCACCAATGATAATCTTGTGTGCTGGTATATTGTGCTTTTCAATTTGTTCCTGAATAAGAGCTTTCAAAATGTCACAACCCTTGAAGAATCCATCAATGTCCTGCCTGGCGTTTGGGTTACCAAACTCATATATGTCAAACCAACCAGGCATTACCATACCACCATTGACTGTGATTGGGATTTGTGGTGCATTAGGGAATACATAATTGATTGATTGCGCATCGGAGACCAAATGCGTTTGGTTAATTAGTTGTGGCAACCAAGACCAGCCTTCACCAGTGTCACCAAGCCCATGGAGAAAAATTATTGCCGATTTTGCAGGTGATTTTGTAGCGTTGAACCTGATTGCTGATATGGAGCTCATGTTGGACTGATTGATAATAATCTGATTTAAAACGTGGTACCTGAAGCTTTCTAAATGTGAGCTCAGATCATTTTGTTCCTGGCGCTACCGATATAAATGGTGGCTTCAAAAATGAACAGTTAAAGTATTTCTTGCAATGAACACTATTCTGTTAAGAAGATTACTGCCTGATAAGCTGTTGAGCCTTTAAATCTGAAGTCGACGTAGATATTGGGCTTTCCAAATTTTGCCGTTACATTGCAGACACGTGTGGACATCCTTTTAATAAGAAGTTTGTGTCAAAAGGAAAAGTTTCATATTCAAACTTAAACGTTTGTAAACTCTCAACTGCACTTGCAGGAAAGTTTATCACATGCTAATTCTAATGCTAATGCTAATGCTAATGCTAATGCTAATGTCTAAGGCATCTTTTGGTTATTTTCGTAATTGATTTGCAGTTGAATAAAAACGTTCCTAGTTAGTGATGCACACAAAGATATACAAAGTATTTTATCGTAATTCTCTCGTCTAAGAACTCAACTAAATAAGTTACGAAGGATAGCGATTTAAAATATGAGTTGCGTGTCTTATAAAAGCCAAGGGCTTAGGTCGAATGGACTGTTGTGTCTTTCAATATCCATTATAGAACGCACTTGTGTGTTTTTAGTCTTTGTTTTCAAGAAAAAAAAACAAAGTTATAATATCTAAGCGAAACAGTAGTTTGCTAGCAATGCTTTCGTAGAACCTTTTGGTTTGGTCTTGGTACAAACCCATTTGAGGAGTAAAATAAAATCAAAGAAATGGGAAACACAGATGTTGTGGTAGTAGATTGGGTTATACGGAGTTAAGATAATTAGTAACCTTATTAAAAAGAAAAACAGGATTACGTAACACAAAATACGGCTGACCTTTTCTTTCAAACCATCTTGCATCCAATCACACATACAAAACAACAAAATACAAAGTGTTGACTGACTAAACTAAAAATTAGAAACCCTCCCTCTCTCTCTCTTTCACTTTCCCAAGAAAATTGAATCATAAAAAAATGTATGACTTTTTTTGTCTATTGGAAAAACACGTTACTCAAACACTGCCATTGAATATCTTGTCATGGTCATAACATTAGCAATTGAGAAGAGTAGCCCTTCAAAAGGGAGGCGCATGAGAATCTGAACTGGTCACAATCTCTTCTTCTTTTATTTCTTTGTACCCCCAAGCCTCTCTCTCTTTAATCTTACCAAACCCCAATTTCATTGTTATTTACTACTACCGCCGTGCACCAAATATTCTATTGCATTTACGCAGTTGTTGTTCTTTATATGTATATATTCATAATGCATCGTTAGTAGGAGAGAAAATTTTAGTCATGAAATGATTTACAAAATTAAATCGGTCTTAGTTTCCTGCATTTGTTAGTTAACCAATCGTAAGGCTTTATCACCAAAAATGAATCATTTAGTCTTTGTCATCCCTTTTTTCTTGTGAAAAGCTCTATTTAACTCGCTATGCATAGTTTTCTTTGTTTTATGTATCTATGTATCTATGTATTTATATTAGAAGATTTGAATTCGTATTGTGGTTGATAACTGTTGTGTATTTAACCCACCCACCCCCCCTTGTATCTTTGGTATTTTATATTTATATAGGTTTCCCAGTGCTTTGCCTTTTAGTTGAATTCAACAACAACAATAACAACAACTCAACATCCAAAGGTTCAATTGCTAATTGCCTAAATCAATCGACTTTACGTTACATCTGTATCAGACAAAGTTTTAGTTGCAAACTCATATAATTTCTTCAATTTAAACCTAAAGCGACACATTTATACTGATCTACAATGAACATTACTAAAACAACTACTAGTATTATCTTACGCCTGGTTGAATTTGTTTTTGCTGTTATTGTATTGGGTCTCACCGCTGGTGTCTTAGCAGGCTACAACACCAATATTTCCCGTGTGACATTCAATTTAGTTGTTGCCATATTCAATATTATTTGGTTGGCTTATATTGCTTTTATTGCGCCAAGAGTTTTGAGGGCTCAAACACCAACAGCGGTGGTTCTTGCATGTCAAGGTATATTTTGGGTGTTTTACCTTGCTGGCTGGGCAGCAATTGCTGATGTTTTCCCAGATGATTGCAACTGGTGGTACTACATGCGTGACTCCGAGGATACGTGCCGTGCGTACCAGGCAATTCTTCCCTTTTCTTTATTAAATTGGGTTTGGTTTAGTATCGAATTGGGGTTGTTTATTGGCTACAGTTTAGTTCCTGAAATTAGACACCTTGGATGGAACCATTTATTGCAAAATACCACCTATTACTGGGGAACTATCTTTAATGCAGAAACAACAACTTCAAAGGGTTTAGGTGGCTTGAACTTTACAGGCACTGGCGCTGGCGAGGCTGCTTCGAAAACTACTCCTGCCCATCTTGATGAAGAAGCAGTAGTTGGTGATGGTGTAACCGATGAAAACATAAACAATGCTCATATCGATGAGGAGTCCAAAGTTGTCACCGAGGGTTCAGATCACTCTCCTCAACCAGGATTAGATAATGATCCAAGACTTAATAATGCAACTAACTAATCCAGCTACACACCAAATCTGAGCAAATATTTGATAATACCTTTGGAGCGATTTATAGGGTATATAAGCTTTGGTAGAACACAACTGAGAAATTATTATACACTGTCTAGTCGAGTATAAAGTCTATCTTTGAATCAATTGACAGCCTCTAGCTATGCAACAACTGGGTTTACGTTGGATCGTGTTTGCTTGAGATAGACTTACTCATTTGAACGACAAAGTAAGCAAGTACCTTTTCATTAGTTGTTTTAATAACACAAAGTATGGAAAAGCTGCTTCACCATATCCTCGCTCCAGTCCCTCTGCTACTGCTGCTGCTGCTGCTGCTGCTGCTCTTATATACTGTATATCACAACTAGCCTTGAATCAAACACCCTGTCATCAATTAGGCATATTTCGCTGTTTAAATTATCATGAAATTTGGCTTTATGTATGACTTTCGTACACTCGTAAGACAAGTAGCATGCAACGTCATCTGGAGTTCAGTCTTGGGACACGCCGCCCCACTTCATACATTTCTAGTTTCAGTGCAAGCAACTCTATATACAATGCCGGCAAGGAAGCGGAAATTCACATTAAAAAATGACCAAGCTGTACACTAATACGATTTGTGCAAAAGTCTCTACTTCTCCAATATATCCCCACCAAAACGCTTCTTTGGAGTGAACATAATAGGGTATTTGATATCCAATACAATATTCTGAACCAATGAAAAAAACTGTGAGGAGATCCAATATAGTACCAATGCAGCTGGTGCATGGATTGAGATGGCCATCATGAAAACAATAGACATTCTTGAAAAATTTGCAACCGCATCAGTCAAGTTCGGACGATACTTCAACCTCTGTGTCAATCGCGACAACTCTAAAGTGCGGAAAGTCCATTCAATGTTACATAATGAAATGACTCCCAAAATTAGGGGGAAAACATGCATGGGATCGGCCACTGCCAAGTCCTGGAACCATAAGCAACCTTCCGTGTACAATGAAGGGTCTAATGCCTTGTTGTGTAAGTTATCCCACGATGACCAGCCACTCAAGTCTCTCATTGTCAAAGACATTATAATCCAGAGTGGGATTTGAAATGTAGGTAAGATAAAATTCTTCCATATCTGAACACCATTTTTCTTGAAAAGTTGCTTTTGACGTTTGCGGGTTTCCTTAGTACTTAGAAGCAAAATTTGTTCATAAGACATATTGGCCAACGGGGCTTGTGCCGCTTTAACCGAGTCGTCTGTATCTGGCACTTGTTGTAAATTTTTCGCTTTTTGAACCCGTTTCGCTAGATTCATCTTTAAAATAGGATTAAGTGCACTGATTATCGGTTTCAAAGTACTCTGTTTCTGTATTCTCTTACGTTGAATTATGGCTAATGGCAACGTCCAGACCGATCTGAGGGCAAATGTGGTGACAGGTATTAGGGCCCACCATGGTAAACCACTAGTTTCATGCAAACTCTCAAAGGCTCTGGTAAATGTATTTACGATTGCATTATGATCAATGGAGTACTGTCGAGTTGAATTTATGAATGGTCCAGGGGCTTGTTTTAAACGTAACCCTAATCTATAGCTTCGTAGTATCATTTGGGTTGATGCTAGATTAATATGAGGTGATGTTTTAAACAATTGAAGTGAAAAAAAAAAAAAACAAAGAAAAAAAAATCACCAACCACTGACAAACCACACCGCCATTCAATCTCAATCAACCGGTATCAAATTATCAAAGACACTAAATATGTCAACTAGAACAGAAAGAGCCTGCATGTTATGTGGTATAATACAACCAGCCAAGACTTTTAAAACCGGCGGATGTCCGAACTGTGAAGGATTATTGAATTTTCGAAATAGTGACCAAGACTTCAATCCCATCACCGACTGTACATCTCCTTCCTTTGAAGGATTAGTAGCCTTGGGAGAAGACAATAAGGAGTCTTGGGTAGCGAGGTGGCTAAGGATAGAAAGTTTTGTTCCCGGCTTGTATGCTGTCAAGATTAATGGTAAACTACCTCCTATAGTGATTGAGCATTTGGAATCGCAGGACGTAATATACAGGCCAAGGGATGGAAGTGCAGAAGATTAGAGTGAAAAAAAATAGGTATTATCATTACGAGTGGACAATGCTATATAATTTAAGTAATGTATTTCTATATCAATTTAAACAAAATATTTTAGCTTGTTTATTAAGATGTAGGTTGGAATGAGGTTAATACTTTTTCAATATTGTCAAGAGTTGAAGTCTTGTCCCATTCGTTTCTATCATTCCAGACTATATCCATCAATCTGGCCATGACCATTTCTAATCTGTCAATGGTAAACTGGTCGGTGATTTTGACAACCTGTTTCTTGAGCTTGTCGAACAAATCTTTGTTGAGTACTATTTCCCTGGAGTGGTCAATTGCAAAAGAATCCTCAGCTTCAGATTCAGAATCTTCTTTCTCCACCTCTGCTTCCACTTGTGGTTCTGCCTCATTCTCCTCTTTCTGTTCCTTGACTTCCTCCCTTGGTTGCTCGATTTCTTCTTTCTGTTGCTCATTTGATTCAGCGAGTGACTCTTTCTTGTCCTCATGGAAGTCCACATCCATTGCTGCAGCAGCTATCTCCTCCTTCTGATGAGAAGCGTCCCCATTAGGAAGAGGTGTCAAGACAGACTCCTGCTCTGTCGCAGTGGCAGCACTGCCATTATTTTCAACATTAGCCACCTCTGCGACTTGCTCAACAGCACCATTCTGCATCTTCAATTTCAACACCTCATATTCCTTCAATAATTTCTCTTGTTTTGCTTTATCCCTCTCTCTCATCTCCTTACAAGCTTTTAAAAATTCTGGTGTAGAAAAGTCATCAATACCAAATTGCGCATTAGTAATCATTTCATTCGCCTTTAGGATTCTTTCTCGATCACCAGACGTGATGCAATCTTTTAAAATCAACTTGAGGTCCTTGAGAAACTGTCTAGGTTCACTGTAAAAGCCATTCCATAATCTTTCCTCAATTGTATCAAGATCCATGTTGTAATAATTCTTGCCAGTTGCTAACTCCTTAATCATATTTTCATGACCCGGTTCGTCGGCTCTAGTGTACAAAACTTGATAATTGTTGAGTGGATTTTCCAACACTAAAGGATCGAATAAATGGTAGAGCAAGTTTTCGTCAACAATTGGCTTTTTGAACCGTTTGTACCTTACTTTGAACAAGTCCATCAAACTGGCAAGCTTAATTTTGAGAGTGTTTTTCAATTTTGTATCATTGTACTCTTGTTCTTTTTTCTTCCTCTTGATTAACTCCTGATTTGACAAATTGGATACAGTCTCAACAACTTTGAGTTGTTTCAATTTCCTTCTGGGTCTGTTTTGCAAGTCATTAACAAATTCATATGGCTTCATTAAAATGGTCTTCCACACCGTCAGGAAAAACTCTTTTCTCGCCAGTTTGGTTGCATTCTGCAAGATGACATTGTTTGACGAATTTTCCAAACCAAATAGATACTTGATTCTATCATCCAAATAGTGCAACGGAGTTTCCGAAAATCCAAGCAATAAAATCTTTTCGTTGCTTCTCAACCCACGTAGTAGACTTGATAATGTAGCCTTTGCAGAGTCGGGTAAAATTTGATACCAAACATCAATATTTGGAATCAATATTATGGCAGGCTGATGTCTCCTAGCTTCAATGAATGCCTGAATGATAGCCAGTTCTGTTGTTCGCGTAGAATCTCCAAACATGGTTCCAAGATCAAGTGACTGTACTTGAAATCCTTCCAAGTAGTTGAGAACGGCGGCACTAAGATACTGCTGCCCGTTCCCTTCCTCGCCGCTTACAAGCAAATGGGGCCGGCAAATTCTAGCATTTTCCAAGTTTTTCAACAACTGTTGTTTTCCAAACCCACCATCTTTGTCGTGAATGGTTGGATCAAGGTACTTGGCTTCTTCTAAAGTGGTGAGCTTTTTACGTCCAGTAACACTGATGGAGACAGGTATCAAATCTTTTAATTTTGATTTAATCTGCTCAAAACTGTCAATTAGCAAAGGCTTAAGATTTTCAGGCAAAGGAGCAGACCCGGACGAGGTCGATCTTGCACTGGAAGCAACAATTTTGTCAAGCGCCATCATAAAGTCCTTGGCAATAACTTTAACCTTTTCAGGCTTTACTGCCAATTTGTGATTCGTCTCGTAAATCTGAGGATATTTCCTTTGGATACTATTCAACGCCGCTTCAGTACATAGAGCTCTCAAATCGGCACCCCCATATCCCTTTGTAAGTTCAGCAAGGTTGCTCAAAAACGTTTCATCCAATGGCGGCGTCCATTTTCTTGTATGAATGGTTAAAATTTCCTTTCTCGCGTTGATATCAGGTAATGGGAAATAAAATTCTCGGTCAAATCTACCTGGTCTTCGTAGAGCTGGATCAATTGCATCAGGTCTATTTGTCGCCCCAATAACAATCACTTGTCCTCTATTATCCATACCATCCATCAATGCCAACAAAGTAGAAACTATACTAGCATGGATTTGCTCTTGTTTAGACGATCTCACCGGAGCCAAACCATCAATCTCATCAAAGAAGATAATGGATGGCTGCTGGTTCTTGGCTTCTTCAAATAGTAACCGCAACTGTCTTTCAGCCTCTCCGACCCATTTACTCAAACAATCAGCACCTTTCCTCATGAAGAAAGTAATCTTTCTCTCAGGCGTGGAACAATTTGCTGCCAATGCTCTTGCCATTAATGTCTTACCAGTTCCCGGTGGGCCGTGAAACAATACACCTCTTGGTGGAGTAATACCAAAGTTTTGATACAATTCTGGGTACAATAGAGGTAACGCAACCATTTCTTTCAATTGGTTGATGTAGTTGTCCAATCCTCCAACAACTGAAAAATCAATATTCATATCCACTCCAAGAGGGTCAGTATCACTTAGGCTGTTCTTCGCCTTTTTCTTATCATCAGATCCACCAGTAAGCAATTTACCTTCTGACTTTGAAGGCTTCTTCTCCTTGTGACTAATTGTAGCTTCGCCATTAATGGGAGCAATTTCATCCTCTGAACTGTCTGAGTCACTTACATTTTGACCTATTGCGGTAAGGTTATTAGGATCGCTCATTCCCGGTAAAGGAATACCTCCTGGTGGGATATTTGTTCCAAACAACGATATCACGTCACTGCCACCAAAAGGACCTGCTGTAGGGTACAAGATTTTGCGAAAGTCACTCTTATTAGCGGGTCTTCCTCGCCTGTTTCTAATGCTGGCTGGCGTTGAAGGTCTTTCAAGCATCAAGTCATTGGTGATCGGTGGGGGAATGGTATAATCCACTTTAGCTCTTTGTCTCAATTTATGTTGTGAAGGTTCAGAGTCCCTCATTGGCGACGAATCATATAGCTCAGCTATTTCCCTCTGTATATCATCGACGTCATCTTGTCCATCATCGTGAGTATCGTCTCCAATAAAGCCGGGGTCCAATTCTTGTAGCACTTTTCCTGATCTTGTTGCCCTTCTGGGCTCGGCTGATTCTGACCTACTCTTTTTCTTACGTCCTCTTTTCTTCTTTGGCCTGACTCCATATTCACTTTCTCCGTCATCCCATTCGTTCTCGTCTTCAACAATGAAATTATCGCGTTTTTTTCTTTCAACAAATTCGTCATCAGAAAGGATAAAATCATCCTCCTCCTCGTCACTATCGTCACCATCATCTCTAAATTCTTCATCTTCGCTATCTATGCGGGGCTTATTTGACCTCCCTTTTGCTCTTCCTTTTCTGCCAACTTTTCTCTTTTTTCTTCCTGGACCTCTAATCTCTACATCGGATTCCTCGACGTAATCTTCACTATCGTCATCTTTTTCAGGCGACGTTGGTACTCCAAATGGGTCATCACTATCAAGTTCGTCTTCCTTCTTGGCGTTGTTATCCGCAGGTACCGCATCAGCCTGTTCATCTACTTGAACATCAGTTGCATTTTCGTCATCGTCGTCTTCATTGTATGAAATGTTCTTTGTACTCCTCCTAGGTTGTGCCTCTGCCTCCTCATAGTCGTACTCATTGTCATCGTCCGTTGAATCTATTCTTCTAGAACGTTTAGCCATTGTTCTGTTTTACTAAGGAAGTTAACGCCTTAGACAACTATCCAAATGTTTTCACTGCAACAGAATTTTTCTAAACAATAGTTTTACAATTGAATTGTAGCAATGTAGGGTCGATTTAACTCCTACTTTTGTAATATCGACGTGGAAGTGGTATTTTGTAGATCTAAACAAAATTAAAAACCAATAGATTGTATAGAATAGTCCCAAAGTAACAATGTTTTTCCTCTTTTTTCTTTTGTTGTTTGTATGAGGTGTATGAGATTGTTGGAAGATAAAATTGGTTAGGGCACGTATTCTATCCATAGTTAAGAAGCCAGTTCCAATTCATTTTTACATCAACCAAAAAAAAAGAGTCAAACATAACACCACATTAACGATGGAATTGAAGATACAACAGCGTAGAGACCGCCTCTGTCACAGTCGCTCCATAGCTATTTGTAAGACGTGAATATCTACCAAAGTGCTAAAATGGAGTGCAACTGTGCAACGTCAACAATCTACAAGTCCTACGGCTCTCGATTACATCTCATTGCAAAAGCGATCTGTGGCAATCTGATTTTTTTGCAACCATTTAAAATTTTTTTGATTAAAAAGTTGCACCCAATGGTATGTATAGCCAAGGGCCCTATTCTTCTTGTCTACCCCAAAAGGAGAGATCACCCTCTTTGTTTTTTTTTCTTTGATTGTTTTTGGGCATTTTGCACACACTTCCATTTTATCTTTTTCTCTCTCTCATTAAACATTGCTGTAACGTTACTTTTTTTTGTGCCTCGGCTAAACCCTTTGGCGAACAGTTTCGCTCTACGAATGTCTACACACAGAAGACAAAAGAGGCCACTGTCCATTGAAGTTATACTTCCCCGTCATACAAGTAAATTACATACAAATTCTCCTTTTTCATTCACTATATTGTCTCCTTAAATAAATAGTTCCTCGATTTGAAAATCTTCAAGTGGCTCCAAACAATACTTGACCTCTTTTGTTTTCAAATTGGGTTCCCAGCGCTTATACTCGTCAAATAGCTTTCTGAGTTGTTTAATACTACCCACGTGTTTCACACTAGCAAACTCTTGAATAAATGCTCGGAAATTGAACACCAATACATTGAGATCATTAGTCGATCCCCGAGGCTCCTTTCTAATCTCAACATCTTTCAACTTGTGTAGTTTTGTTGACTCCAATGCGAATCGTAAGCTCTCCAAATACACTTTTTCATCGCCAAAAATATACTTGTTTGTCTTGTTTATGTCCAACTTGTCACTAAAGTTTCTAATTATATTGTGATCCCGAAAAACTCCTAAATTCTTCATTTGACAAGCAATGTCCAATGTAGTTGAAATAAATGGCGCCGTACTTACTTGATACAAATTCCGATAGATGTTGGGATGATCAAAGCACACCCCCAATGACGAATATAACGGAATAAATGAATCAGTAGTTGTAGCTGAGAATGTGAATTTGACATTTTGTGATAGAAGGAATCTCATCGATTCGGTTAATTTGCGTGATAGTGTACAATCTCTTCTCTCATAGTCAAAAATTTCCCGAACAATGTCATTTTCAAGTTGCGTGTATGCTCGATACACAATTTTAGCAAATTTCGACGGTACAGGGCCCATCAAATTTCCCGACATGCTCAAAACGCCAATCCTTTTCCTGCATAAATGATGGTTCTGAGCTAGTAGCTCAGCTAGTATGTTGATAGCAATTGGTGATGATGTGCTATACCCAACAACGTATATGAAATCGCAGTCATTGAGTTCCTTTGTGTAATTCTGTAAAAGTTCAAGTGCGTTTTTGACACAAGTTTCTATTCTGCCTTGTCCATCAATGGCAATGCTCTCTATATCAATTTCTTCTTCAGAATATTCTGGGTTATGCTGTTTGATCCAGGTATGTATTGCTTTTGTCGCCATCTTGGCATATGCTATTGAATTACCTGTATACTCACCAATTAGTGCCCGCACTAATTTGACGGGTAAAAAATTATGAAATGCAATAACAACCACTTTCTTCAACTGTTTGCTGGTGCGTTGTATCAGTTCTACCTTCTTGCGATATAGATGATGTTCAGTATTGTATCCCAAAATGAATTCCTCAGATAGTATTCGTGTTTTCGTCCTCCAGGTGATTTCACGGTAATTGCCAGTAAATTTAGGTAAAACAACAGGTGCAGATTCATCTCCGTTGGTAACATTTGGTCGCCTCAAGGTTTTCTCAAATACTTCATTGGCAGAATTTGGTTTGTGCTTTTTGTGTATTAGGACTGGTAACTTCCCAGTTGGCGTACCGAAAACGCTCATTTCAAAGGTTTGAAACCCATTGGTGCTCTTGTATGCATAGTGGCATTCCTCTCTTAATGATTCAATAATGGCTTTTGCGGCTTTATACGCCTCGCTTGATTCGTCACTGACTTCATCTTCCTGTGCTTGTTCTTTAGCACCAAGAAGCCAGCCAAACCAGCCCGATGTAGCTCTATTCACTTCTTCACTCTCTTCTTTAGCAATAGATAGGTCTCCTTGTAGTAATGGCATGTGCTCCATCGTAGGTGACTCTCCGCCACTAGGGAATATGAATGATGTGTAATATGAATACCACGAAGGTTGTACCTGTGGTGATTCTCTGGAGGTAGAGGAAGAAGCAGTTGCAACTGCATCAGCCGAATTCGAAGGTATGGGTGATTCCATTTGTGATATAACTCCGTTAGCTTGAGTTGTATCATCGTGAGCTATTCCATTACTGCTATCGACGATGTTTTGCAGCCTCGTGAACCAAGACAAGACAGACCTTGAGGTAGAATTCGGTATCTCTGTAGTAGGAGGTATATTTGCTACAATGAGCTTTGATCCCTCGTATGAAGATTGGTTTTTATCTCCTATACTGTTGTTATCTTGTTGAGGAGAGTTGATTTGTTGGTCCATAATAATACATGAATGGCAAAAGTGCTGTGCTATAAAATGTAGGCGGTAGTAATCGTTCTCTTTCTGGTTAGTTTTACCTGAGCTTCCTCAAAATCTATCGCCAATGTATACGTAATGGTTGTGTGTTTAGCCTTTGTATTGCTTGTGATTTTGTTGTTTATCTGTTTGATTGTTGTGTGCACGCGGAAACGGGAAGTTTGACAAAAAATTGTTCTTTTTCCCTGAAGTATCCACTTCTACGTTTAGCCACTACATATCAACGATACATGAGTACAGAGACATGGTCAGACGGTATATTAAAGCGATTACAAGTTAGAGATGAAATAGAAAAGAAAGATTCGCAATATTATTATGCATTTCAACATTTGGTGGAGAAGCTTCAACTTGAACAACAACAGCAGCAACATCAACAACAAAAACAAGGTAACAGTGACGATCAAATCCAATCTCCATTTACCTCTAAATCGCCATCTCCCTCAACTGTATTAAGCATAGACAAAGGCAAAGCTAAGCCAACCTCCAAATCGACTAAATCCAAAACTGCGACAGTAGACAAGACCAATGACAATAATGACGCCACAGCTATAATCATTAAAGAAAATTATCAATTGCGGAGCGAAAATGAAGATTTAATTTCAAACTTGAATTCAATCACTTTGAAAAATGAGAAATTGGAAGCAATGATACGGGAGAAAGATCGTCGGATTGGAAAATTGGAGAAGTTAAGTGATAAATTGCAAAACCTTATTGATCATTTAAATCTTGAAATGAAGGAAAAGAACAAGACGATTGAACTAATTAATGACGAGAATTTAACTAATCAAATACAATTGAATGTGTTGCGTGATAAGCTTGATAAAAAGTGAAAGTGGTACTATCGGTGTTTTGATCTTTTTGGAAAGAGCGTATTTGGGCAGAGCCTAATTATAATCTAATGGACAAGTATATCGTTTATACTATGCTAAAACTGAATATTCCTTACTTAGGTTATCCAATTTCTATACTGTCATAGATATTATAAACATTCAATTTCATAGTTATATATATATATATATATGGAAAGCAAAGACAAAAACACACTTCCCTTCAATCAACAAAGCTCCCTTATTTACTCGTGTCAAGTACATACCTTCCCATGATTTTACCTTCTTCCATTAATTTGAAAACCTCAGGCAATTCACTAAGACCAACAATCTTAATTTGACAGTTGACTTTACCTCTAACAAAGAAATCAATAGCTTCTTGGGTATCTTTCCTATTACCAACATAAGAACCTTTAATTTCAACTGATTTGACAACAGCATCAAAAACTGGTGCAACAACTTTAGAACCAGCTGGCAAACCAACAAGAACAACTTTACCCAAAGGTCTAACATATTCGACTGATTGATTAATAGCCTTTTCAGAAACAGAAACATTGATGACACCATGTGGACCACCATTGGTTGCCTTCTTAACAGCAGCAATAATGTCCTTCTCCTTGGTGAAATCAATATAAGCTTCAGCTCCTAAGCTCTTGACGTATTCTCCTTTATCGGCACCTCCATCAATACCAACAACTCTGTAGCCCATGGCTACGGCATATTGAATGGCCAATGAGCCCAAACCACCACCAGCACCAGAAATACAAACCCATTCACCAGCTCTTAATTGAGCAGTCTTTAATGCCTTGTAAACAGTAACACCAGCACATAAAATTGGGGCAACTTTGGCCAAATCGGCTCCTTTAGGGACCCTGGCAGCTTGAACGGCATCAGCAGTAGCGTATTGTTCAAAGGATCCATCATGAGTGTAACCGGATAAATCAGCTTGTGGACAGTTTGGTTCCGCACCTTGTTCACAAAATTCACAGTTCAAGCAAGAACCATTCAACCATTTAATACCAGCATAATCGCCAATTTCCCATCCTTTAACATTGTCACCCATACCAACAACAACACCGGCACCTTCATGACCACCAACAAGAGGCAATTTAGTGTCCAATGGCCAATCACCTTTCCAGGCATGTAAATCGGTGTGGCAAACACCCGAGTATTTGACATTGATCAACAATTCATTTGACTTTGGTTTAGGCACGGGAATATCTTTGTATTCTAATTTACCTCCGTTTGTTTCGAAAACAACAGCTTTTTGAGTCTTTGGAATTTCAGGCATTATTGAAAAGAAACGATAATTTGTAGTAGTAATATGAGGAGTAGTAGTAGTAGTAATTCTAGTAGTTAGTTTGTTAAATCTAATTGACTTGAACAAATTGAAAGTGAAAAATTTTGAACCGATTGACATTCTTTGGTGATGTATTTATATTGTTGGCATTTCTCTGTCTGTTTTATTGAAATTCAACACCACATGTGGTTTTACATGTTGCGGGTGAACCGTGTACATATACTTTGGCTTAGTCTGCGCATATGGGATAATAATGCATGTAGAAGCTCTTATCTGCAAAGGCATATACTAACAAAGTTCATAAGAATAATAATGTAAAGTCTATTGTTATTTTGTTTTGTGGACTCAAATGTAAAGATGTCGGAGATCGGCTTTTCGGAGTGCTGCATGTGTATGGGTGAGTGATGTATGTGGTGTTGTATGTGGTGTTGTGTGGTGTTGTGTGGTGTTTGTATGTATGGATTGTGGTGGTGCGTAATCGCATGTTAATTTTTTTGATTTAAAGTTGTTGATTTGCTTCTTGTCTGTGGATCCTTTTGTGTACGGACTTTATTATTCCGTTAATTGCATGATGTTGAATGTTTCTGCACCACTTTTGTTCTTCTTCTTATTATTTCATTCTGTTTCAATTGTTTGTCTGTTCATGAAGTAGTCACGTCTTTCTATGGGGGAGTGAGATCCTTGTATCCATTGGTAAAATAGATTCACTCTACAATGAGACATTCAAAACTGTTGGACAAAGCCATAATCCCATCAGATATGACAACCATGATGAAGTATTTTTTTTTGTCTTCTTATTGGCGTATTATTATCATTCTTATTATTATCAATCTCTTCTTGTTGTCAGATAGATGATGTAGAGGTTGGTTTAGAGAAATAGGATATTTACTTGCTCTTATATATGTATATATACTTCGTAGTAATAAGTGTTATAGAGGTTATGGGAAATAACCACTATAAGTTCCTGGTTAATCCTTATAGGGGAATAAAGCTACCAGTTTCTTAGCTGTTCCAGTATGTCTGTCAATAAAGATTTGGAATTTGTCGATAAATAAGACCTCTGAAACAAAATTATTAATAACAAATAGGAGAAATATTTAGGTTACTATTACACAAACCAAATTGTATTGTCAAATATCACCTCATTTTATATCATTCATGACCAATCACTTTCTTTTATTTCTCTAAATCACCTACAACAATAGTATAGAACACATACTCAAATGCAAGGGATAATGTAACATTCCTTTACCATTCCTATACCATTCCTATGCCATTGTTGAATAACACTTTTCAACAAAACTAACAGCTATACCAGTTTTTTAACTGACATATAACTGACACCAAATCCACCCGCTTAACTTTTCAATTTTTACTTCTTTTGAACACGCAAAAAAGCCAACCAAAATTAAACAATGGTGTAGATTAAAAGGAGAGGACAAAACTTTCACCCACAAAAGATGATTTCCTTTTTGTGGCAAAGCCAATGTGTAATAGTCCGAAATCTGAATACCTTGCCCTGGTTTTGTCTTTCATTTCCTCTAACCGTCTCTGTCTGTGCTTGTGTATCTGTGGGTACGTTCACACCCACTTGATCACTCGATACATCTTAGAACTATTAACTCGGATTGATGGAGTCCTTCCCTTCCCCAAAAGAAACTCACTATCTAGTTAATTCTCATTCTATCAGCCAAACCCTCACCAAATATGCTTAATATCCTTTTGGCCGAGATACTTTTCTTATTTCTATTGTTAAAAGTGTAAGTTGAGGCCCTATTTTGGCTAAATTCGTGCGAATTACAAGTTGTGGGGGTTTTTTGAGTGGTGCAGATGGTGGTAAATTTCGCGCAATTTCTCGCAGAATCCATGAACTTCTAGACTCAGCCTTTAACCCTTTTGCATTCACCGACTTCAAATCGCTACCTGAGTGGTGAAGCTATACAAACGTACTCTTCCCTTCATCCTAAATTAAACAAAGATCAGATAAACCCCAAACAGTCTCCTCTACAGACCGTACTACTCAAAGGTGCATTTATTTCGACATTAACTGTATGTGTGGTAGCTTTACATGTTCTAAAACAAAAGTAAGGAAAAAAAAAAAAAAAATACATGGGTATGACGTAACCAATCAGTGATGCCCCACAACCTATGTCTTTAGCTACGTTTCTACATCATCTACAACAGAGTAATCTATTCAATGCAATAGATGATCACCAACGAGCGAAGTCAGAAGCAATTGAAGCTATTAAAGTCTTGAACATAATAGCAAAGAATTCCATACATGCCAAAGTCCCATACTTGAAACCGTTGTCGGAGTATGCATTGAAAATTTATGAAAAGGCACAAGAGAAGCAGCCAACATCGACCAAACTTCTTTGGTTATCAGCAAAAATTGGAGACAGCTTTTACTTCCCATTGATTGAATTCGGTGACGGACTAACCTCTGGATTTGGTATCTTTTCAACAGAATCATCAAGTTACCACGATTCAGACCCCTCAATAAGGACTATTCCAAGGGGTGTTGATGCCACTTTTACATCAGTTACTACAGCTCATTGGGTAAATGACAAAGTTCACTTGTTGAATATATATCAGGATCTATTAACCAATTGTTCGTTTGTGTCATCATACATTGCCTTGACAAACGTCAATTTCTCCACCTATGCACTCATTTCACCTCATGGTGTATCGTCCAAATACCGGATTATACTAAACTTTAATGGATGTAAACGCACTGTCGATGTTGATGATTGTTTACCGCAAATTGCTGACTCCAACAGGAATTTAACTTTGAAATCTTTCACCGACCCTTTGTTGTATTGGCCAGCATTGATTGAGAAAGCATATTTAAAAGTGATGGGACATGGTTATTCATTTGAAGGCTCAAATATGGCCAATGACACCTATCTCCTTAGTGGCTGGATTCCACAAGTTTTGAAATTAAAAGGCAACAGACTGTTAAACGAGTTTTCGCGATTATGGAACATGAAACTACACAATGAAGTAACCTTGGGAATTGGAACTGAAAGTTTTAGTAGCCAGTTCAGTTCGTCAATTAATTTGATTGGGGAACATGACTATGTTATTGACGATTTCGATGGCCAGTGCATCACCTTGAAAAACCCGTGGGTTACCGATCGGCTATCTACAAGATTAGTCAAGGTTTATGATTTAACTCATTTCAAGTATTTGTATATAAATTGGAAACCACAGGCCGATGCAACAATATACCAGGAAAACTTTATTTACACTGTCAAGGACAATATAGTGGATCAACCACAATTTACAATTGAATGCGAACAAGAGACATGGCTATTACTTGAAAAGCACTTGCCGGTGGATAGCCCTCATTGGATGAGAGTCAACGTCTACCAAACTGGAAACAAAGTAATGTCTCCTTTTGATCATGAAGAGCATTCCATCTTTGAGACAAACAACAGACTTCAATCGATAAAACTACCACCGGGAACGTACACATTAGTTATTTGGTCCAATAAGCCAGGAAGATATTCGCTAATGTCATATGCTATACTCTTTTCGAAGCTGAGGTACCAATTTGCTCATGTGAAATCACGTGATGGTGAATGGACTAATGAGACATGTGGTGGAAATTGGACAGCGGCGTCATATATAAACAATCCTCAATTTGATCTCATTGTAACCAACGCAACTATGATGAAGGTTGCTCTCTTTGCAAAGGGGCTTGTTAATTTTGATATTTTCTTTGCTGACAAGTTGAAATTGGGACAACCAATTCAAAGCTACAATAAGACCAAATGTCTTACTGAGGATAAATATTCACAAGATTATCAATCCAAACAACTTCACATCAAACCGGGCACTTATAAAGTTGTTGTATCTAATTTTGATGGTTCTACGACACCGTTCAAGTTAATATTCAACTCATCGGAACCAGTTGCCTTGGACAAAATCCCGTCATCCATGTCATTGTATGCATTGAATCAATCATTCCTTTGGAACCAAACAAACAGGTACAAGTTGTATTTTAAAACAAATGTTTACAACACGTCAATCCTCGCCAAGATACGCCACACTAATGATGAAACTGCATTGTATAGTCGACAAACTGATTATCGACCTGCGATGAGAGCATCGATTTTTAACGCAATAACTAAAGAGCCAGTGCAGATAAATGAAAAATTTAGAGATGATTGTTTGTATGGGTTATTTGTCGAGGAGAAGCTCAAGGACCCAGGAGAATATATTTTATTGATTGAAAGGTTTGAAATTGGTAAGGGAAGATGTGATGTAGTTTTGGGAAGTGACCATAAAGTAACCTTGCTATGATTTAGGAGCTATTTAATAGCTAAATTACAATAGCTTATTTTCAACCCTGACTTTGTAGATATTCACTTTCACCTTTGTATGAGACAACACTGGGTAGCGCATTTTTGACAGGTGTAATTGTTTTTTGTTTTATTTTTTTTTTGGTCAACGTATGCGTGTTGATTACACCAATTTTTCAAAACTTCAACAACTCTATTCTGACATACTACACACCAAGCACTGCCTCCCTCCAACACACACAATGAGAAGCGTGTCATTGCTATTGCTCACATTTATTTGCACGATTGTCCAATGTGCTCTAACAAATGAGCAATTGCTCAAAACAGTTCAAAATTCCAAACACAAGTTATTAACTTTAAATGACGAAAACTATGAAAGTATCTTAAAAGGTCCTAGAGATTACCACGTCGTGGCACTTTTAACTTCACAGTCGCCCCAAATCAATTGTGTATTGTGTCACCAGATTACGCCAGAGTTGGAAATTGTTGCTGATTCATGGGTCAAGGATCATCCAAAGGGAATAAAAATTGAGCAAGAAGAAGAAGAAGGGGAATCAAACAAGAAAATAGTAGCCAAGAACATCTACTTTTTCAAATCGGAGTTTGCCGAGTCTAAGAAGTTGTTTTCCCTTTTCGAATTAAACACCATTCCCAAAATTTTCCATTTCAAACCAACTAAAGCACCGGGACCAAAGAATTTCTTGCATGAGAAACAAGAATACCAATTTTTCCAAGGTGATCACAAGTCATTGATGCTAAATTGGGTACAGGATGTAACAGGGCAGAAAATAAACTTGTATGTTCCTATTGACAACACAAAGCTAATCATTCATGCCATTATTGGATTCGTTTCGGTATTTTTATTAAAGAGATATCGTACATATGTCGGTAAAGCACTCACATCCAAACTTTCATGGTGCATTGTTTCATTAATTACCGTGTTACTATTCACTACCGGATACATGTTTAACCAAATTAGGGGAAGTCCTTATGTACTTGAACATGCTGATGGTAAAACTGATTATTTCGCTCCTGGCCAGCAAACGCAATTTGGTATTGAAACACAAATTATGTCATTCTTGTATGGAATCTTGAGTATTTTGGTTATTATCTTGATTAAACGTGCACCAGAGATAAAAAACGATTCAATTTCATTGATATTGGTCTCCGTGGTGAGTTTGTTGATCTTTGTGTTGTTTAGTTTGGTTTTGTCGATATTTGGATTGAAGGGTATGGGGTTCCCATATAGATTTATTAGATTTTTTTAAAATAAGAGCCATATACTGTATCCAAAAGATGAATGAATATATATAGGCATATGTATATATATATCTTTGTCTTGATAAAACTAAATCTCTTCTTATTCATTCATCCGCGATACTCGAGAATCAATCTTATCTAATTGTTTCAAACTCTTACTCAATCGATCCGATAACTCTTTAATCTTGGTAAATTGAGACACCAAATGTTTTTCGCCAATATCATTAGATTCAACCAACTGCTTGAAATTTTTCAATCGACTTTCCATAACTCGAAGTCTTGTTAGTAATATGATTTGCGATTGGTTTAACAGCTCGAAATTGTCACCAAGTGTATCTAAAGGACCAGTTAATAGTGAGTGGGCTGCAAGCTCTATTGGGTGGAGATCATTGATGATGGGGCGTGGGTCATTTTCTGATGATTGATGCAAAGTCAGGGATTTATTCATTTTCAAAAGAGTGAAGCGGACTTATGAGCAGTGTGGATTACGGGTGCTTGATTGTATTGAGGGAGCATAGACTTGTTTATCTGATTTATTGTTTTTGAATGTCGTTTGTTTTTTTCACGCGACAATGACAAGAGAGACTCAAATCTATCGACTCCACAGGTTGAGGAGTTGTAAGAGATCTGTGCTTCTTGTCAAATTAAGCATTCTAAAGCGCCTTTTCCTTTGCTTCTGCATATACACCCATACATATCTTATTTATATATTACCCTGATGTTATTGACCCTTCTTCCTCCATTGAAGAGTCCTCATCAAAATTGATGTTAGAATCCGATGCATAAAGCTCATCATCGTCTCCAACATCGACCCGGCTTGCTTCCCAATTACTCAATTGATGCTTATCGGTCAAATCACCACCAGTCAACACGCGAATCAATTGCAATTTGGTTGTTTGTGGTAATTGATCAAACTCAACGTAGTTCCTCTTGAATTCATTTACATCGGGAGAATGCCCAATTGATTGACCAACTCTAACCAATGTTTCAATACGCGATTTAGAATTTGATATCAAATCGTTGTCGAATTTGAACTTTGTTCTGTCAAACAATAATATGATGGTTGATCCACCAAATTTAAAGTATCCAACTTCTTCTCCTCGTTCGATGGAATCACCTTCTTGTTTAGTAAGGCATATTGAACCAACCATCATGGCACCTACAGCAATCATGATAACCGTACCATACTCTTTAGTTTTTATGGGAATAATACTCCGTACATTTTCTCCAAAAACATCCAACTCTGACCGAATGGCCATTGGGTTAACTGTGTAATATTCACCGTCGATGTACTTGATTTGGCCAATAGTTCCTGATACAGGAGAGTGGAACCTATGATAGTCTTGGGGCGCTAATCTAAATATTCCCAATGAACATTGATCAGGTTTATATAAATTGGTCAGGTTCAAATTTTGAAAATTCCCATTAAATAACTTGGCCAACGTAAAGTTTCTTCCCTTTATCCACAAGTTTGTGGCATCGTTGACGGAATCAAATACAGTGCATCTGCAATCAGCTGGCGAAGAAACAATACCTTCGTTTTCCTTGTCTTCAATAACACGAGCATTAGGTTTCAACTTTCGGTAAAAAAATTCATTAAAAGTTGGATACCTATCAGGGTTATCGATTAAACAATCTTCAAGACTAAGTTTATGAAACTTGATAAATGATGCAATATCAGCCTTCAGCAGAGGTGAGTCAAATTTTTTACCTTGCTTCTTACTAAGACTGCTTAATAATAGCCTCACCCTTTTTGATTTAGCTTTATCCAAACCTTTGTATAGCAAACGTATTCCCAATCGAACATAAACACTCATCTTCTCTTCCACAACAATCCCCGTCAACCGGTCTTGGACAAAAATATTGGCTGTATTACCACCCAACTTATACTTCCCATAGGTAAGTTTTATGAGTGCTTTTGAGTACCACTTCTTTGTGGCATGGCGCGGAGTAGCATAGGAAGAAACAAGAAGCTTGTTTACAATACTCCAATCCTTGGATGCACAGATTGCAAAATGCGTGATAATATCCATATCTTGTTTCCTAGAGAGCCGCTTTTGTGAACACAAGGGACAAGTTTCAAACACAAATAATCTGTTTGAGTTTTGATCATTTAAACTCACATGGATTTCCAATTGCTCAATGATTTCATCATAGGTCAACGAGTCAACTGCTGCATCCTTGTTCAAGTTTTTGAAAAATTCCTCGACTAAACCATCTGCATCGTTGGTTCCCAATGCATCCAAAAGAGACGCCAATTCCATGTAGTCATAAGCCTCTTTTTCTTCCTTACTATCGCCCAAATCGTACTGCTTTAATAACACTCTCCAAAACTCCTTTCTCAACTCGTTGTACGTTTCGAAACGGACCCGGATTTTCAACTTTGGTGTATACTTTCCCAAATACTTTTGATCATGCAAATCAAGATTCAAAGACATAACCTTGAATTTTGATGTATCCACAGTGGATTCCACGATTTTTCTCCTATTTGAAAATCTTCCACGTCTAACTGACTTGACTATATTATCGTCCTCCAATATTTTGACATTGGACTTCAGGCTAGTATCATTGTCGCCGGTAGAATATCCCGGTTCTATATTGATGCTTGCATCTGAACTAGACACACCACGATCCATAATAGTTTGAAAAGGTGATAGCTCAATGAGATCACGAAGAGCCAACTTAATGTGAGCAACATTATCATGAAACGAGAATCGATCCTTATCGAGCACAGAAAATTGGACGGTGAAGTTACTTTCATGAGCTAAAACTTCAAAGGCAACACGCTCATTAAAAATAGGCAGCAAAGTGTGTCGCTTCCAACTTGTTCGAAAAGTCTTTTTCCCAAAAGTCACAACCACGAAAGGATCCATATCAAAGCTAGTACGTGTAAAGTTTGTAACTGGTGGCAAATCTTCACAAGAAACAATTTCAATAAACACAACACCTAATACTTGTCGTCCTCTCAATTCAAACTTCCTATCCTTGGTAAGGTCGTTATGAGCATGCTTGGATTTTCTTAGGCCCAACCCCCTCTTGGGTTTGTCTTTTCTTTCTCCACCTCCTTGAAACGAGTTCGCATCACTGTATGCATCCGTTGATAAATATGACGACCGGTCAGATAATGAGTTTGCATACCTGTCATTATCTCGAACACTAAGAAACTTGTCCTTTTTGGAGTTGTTGGGTATCTTTTCATTGTTGCTTAAGGCAGAACTTGAAGATTTCTTTGTTGCTACGGACTCCAACTCCGATACATCTGTCATTGCATCATCATAAAATCCTTGCTCATCGGGTGTCAACAGGTGAAGTGCTCCCGAATCTGGTTCAATCAAACTTTTCAACCACGCTCTGAATTCCTGTTCTGTTACATTTATTCTCAAATTTTGCATCTGTGCTCCAATGTTGGCCCCTATGTTCGCCTTTCCTTTGACTTTACTCGATTTTCTTTTCTTTACAAACAATTCAAACGAAAGTAATAGTGACCCCGTGACAAATGCATGCACTGTGGAATTGGAACTAAGGCCGTACCATTTTAATTCTGTCTTTTCAATAAAAGTGCCGTCTTCTTTTAAAAATAGCTTTTCTAAACTCAATCTTAATTCTCCTAGATAATTCTTGTACCGTTTATGTTTGTCCCATACCGAGATGGTCAATATCGACGACAAGTCACCTCGTTTTAATGAGATATTTAACTCATCATCCCAACTCGGCTGATTTGTATTGGTTTTCCTGTGAGTCACTTTCTTTTGATCGTTGATCTTTGCTACTAGCACCGGATTGATGAATTTCCTTGATGTACTTGCATTTGCGTCCTTCTCTGCATCTGTTGTCGTGACCAAGTCGGCAGCTCGATTAGCATTTATTTTCAAATATAACTTATACGGCGATGCGTGATCATTAGTGGTTTCTATGTTAATTTTGGGTGGGCCATTATTTTTGACATCTGTAAGTGATAATCCAGACGTTGAATTGGTATTTGAATTGGTTCCGGTGTTTGATTTGGAATGATCCTGGCTTCGTACCCCAACCATTTGCCTCTTATCGTGTTATTAACTTCCTTTTTTTTGAGCTTGTGCGATGGATGAAAATATTTGTACCTTGTAATGTAGGAACTGCGGTGACGTCGGGGCTATACGGTGATCATGGAACTGGTGTTGACGGGGTGGCTTATTTTTGTTTAGACATGTACACGAATTGAAATTTTGCCGCTTTGCTGGCATATAGTACAATAAGGCTGAGAGCGATGGTGACAAATTGACACGACGAAATTAACCTTCTATTTTTAGCCATTTCGAACGACAGCTACCTGCATAATCTGACCTGTCATGGTTTTACGAACCTAACTAAGCTTCTAAGAATAAATGACAATGAAGAATAAGCTGGAAGTTTTATTTGCATAACTCGACTTTATAAACTGAAATTAAGTGCCATGGCCATAGTAGTGGCCTTGAAAAATGCAACCACAGTTGTCCGAATCAGGTCGTGAGGCGATATCCCATGGTCTTGATTTCACAGCCCCTTCCTCAATGGATAAACGCAAAGACCTAATTGTTGGTCTTAGCCGCAACACAATGTCATTCCATCTCACCACTTCCACTCAATTCTTTTTTTCTTATTGCCATAGTCTGGTTTGTTTTCGACAGTGACTATTTGGACTTTGGACGGTTGAGTCTAAGAAGCATCTTCGGGCGCTCTTGAGTAGGATCTGGTTTTCGACTATCCAAAACGACACAGGAGTTGCATCGCCTCAAGCCGGTTTCCGTCTCAGTTTCAGTCCCAGTTTCAGTTTCTACC